TGATGAAACTTGAAAATCAAAGTAATTTTGCTAATTGCCGAGTTTTGATATTAACAACCAACAGTTGAGTGGTGAAAATTTGTATTTTCATATAAAGTTTTAACAATGAGTGATAAATGGAGTTATTTTTTGTATTTTATTCCGATTTTTCACTAATTCTCTTGAGTATCCATTAAATAAATTACATTGAAACTATTTCACTTCACTTTTCTTTTACTGAATTTACCTGCAACTTTTCAATTCTCACATATTCATCAACTTTTTAAAACTTTGTTCGATTTCGCTGTTTTGTTGATTCATACAAATAAAAAGAAACGAATAGAAAATTCAATTCATTCAAGATTTCAATTTTGATCAATTTTAGTCTTTTTTTGTCTGCAACACTTTCAACAACAAGTTTACCTTGGGAAACTTTTTTCTGTAGGTTTTCCAAAGTTTTTTCAATTGTTGGTGAAACGAATCCTCATGAGAAACCAAACATGATGAATAAAGAAATTTATCATTTCAACTTTACATTTGAAAACAAAAATGAAATAAAATTCAGTGATAAACAGAATATTTTGACTATGGAAATATTGAAAGTGTTTGATCTAATAAGCTCGAGAATTAAATTGAACTTTTGAGTTTCCAATCAAATCAAATGTCAAATTTAAGTCGATCAAAAGTCGAGAATTGCATGATTTTCCTCGTCGAATTCAACTTTTCAACTAATTGCAAAATCAACTTTTGCGTTTCTATCAGAAATTAGCATCATTGAAAGTACAACTTCGAGTCATGGTTCGAAAATGACATTTAAACTTGAGAAAAGAAGAAAATCTAAATAGCAAAACAAATCGATTTTTTAACCATTATTTGCTTTTCTATTTACCTGAACCTTCAAAATATCGATCAAAAGGCCGATTCAATCATTGTTTGTTCAACTCTTAATGAAAGTTGTTTTTTGAGGCAAAAAATTACTTTGTTTTGAATAAAGGTTGTAAAGTGTTTCAGCATTGAAACAAAGACGCCTCCAAATCATTACCATAACATTTCATCTTCGTGATAAGCAATGATTTCGATTCTTTGCTTTCGAAGTTGAAAATGAAAGCAACTTGATTAACATGATATTGTGAGAATTTTAGATCAACTTGCACATGTTCAGGATGGTATCATGATGATATGAAAATCTGGAATGATGATTGTAATGAGGATAAAAAACGATCATGAAAAGAACATGAATTTGAGGCTTTTTTTCTTCTTTACCTTTACCTTATTCAAAGACAATCATCAATCATTGGCATAAATTAATGAAAGAAAAGGCGAAAAAGTCTCAAAGTAAAAGGTGTGAGAATGAGAATAAAATTTTGGAACTTTGTGTGAGTTCTGTTGATGATAAATGATTAACTCGAGTCTTGCCTTTCAGTTGCAATCGAAAGATTTAATTCGAATATTTTATTGAAAAATTTTTCTTGACTTTTGTCTCATCTTTTAATCTCATGATTACTTGAGCAACTTTGAATTTTCGAAGTAAACAGAATAGAAATTGAAATTTTATTTTTTTCGCTCTCGTTCTTTTTCTATTGATTCGATTGTCTTGTCATTACACAACAAAATGTTAATGCTATTATCAACGGGATTCATTGTTGACTCGAGTGAATCTCATGTCTAGACATTTGAATCTGTCATTATCTCAATTGATTTGTTTCTCAGAACATTTCCTTCGTTTCCTTCAATCCCACTCTTTAATTACTCTTTCCACGGTTCGATGTGTTTCATATCGATGACAAGAAACAGTGCAAGTGTTGACTCAATCAGCGAGCATTACAACCACAAAATTATCCTCATTAGCCATCAAAGAAACAGACTTATCGAGTCGAGCAAAAAAAATCAATAAGTCAAACTTGCCTCGAAATCTGTTTGCAAAGAATTGAATGAAAAATTGAAACATTTAATGTTGAACCAAAAATAGCAAGTTAACAAAACTGAAAAGCCATTTCATACTTTTCAAGTTCAATGTTAATAACAATCAACATTTCAACTGATTATCGATCTTTCGAGCAACAAACTTAACCAGAAAACATTCAAGTTCAAGTTTCTCATTGAAAAGCAAAATATCATTTTGTAAATAAACTGTGAGCCAATCATGAATTGATCAATAATGTCGTTTCGAGTTTTACTTTTCAACTTTGCATTTCCATAAAAAAAAAGTTGCAATTTTGATGTTCTTTTTTCGAAGACTAAATTTTCGATTAAATTCAATTTTTGTTTTCTCTTCTCAACCCGATAATCAGTTGATGGCATTAAAAGATTTAATCGACTCATTATTCGTATTCATTTGTTTGTTAACAATTGAATATCACTTGATAAACATATTATTACTATCATCATCATCATCGGAAGATGCTCTTCATAATAAGCGTATCAGATTATTTTATTATTATTATCACGTTATCAGGCGAAGCAGCAAAAGGATGACAATAAAAGTGCATTAGCCAATCAGAGAGGGAAACTGGCTCATGATGATGATGATAATGATGATGATGCAAAATGAAAAAAAAGAAGACAAGAGAAAAGAAAGAAGAAAACATGAAAAACAATTTAGGTTTCATCGATTTATTTATCATCAGAGCCAATCAAATGTAGAAAGTAAAATGAATCTCATGAGTCTTCTTAACGGTTTGATTGTTTTCCAGGCAAATTGAATGATTCGTGGTTCCCAATGATTCCTTTTTATGGTTTATTCTTAATATTATCTGATCATCATTGTCATTATTATCATCATCATTAAATTGTGTATCTCACTTATCATTATTGTGAACATTATTCTGAATTAACATCGACAAAAAAAGTAAAGTTTCAAGATGAAAAAGGCCAATGCAATGGAAAGATGAAACAAAAGGAAAACGTCAAATGAAATTGGTAAAAATGGAAACTCGGGAAAATCTGAAAGGAAAAACCAAAATCAACATGAAAAAAGGTTATTGTTTCAAGTTTACATTTTACTCAAACAAAATCAAATCAATAAAAGAATGAACCAAATTTCATTTATCTTGATCAATTCAATTTTCGGGAAACAATGTTTTACTTTTTCGTTTGTAAATGTAGAGTACAATTAGATGATCAAATTTGATGAAAGTTGCCGGCAAAAGATGAAAAATTAGCCAAATCTTTCCATTATTTTCAAATCGGTAATTGACTAGAAATGAAAGAGAAATGACAAAAATCAAATGAAACCAATGAGATTGAAATCAATTTGTGAAATCCTTTTCTGATTGAAATTGTTTCTTCTAAAAGCCAACTTCTGAAAATCAATTTTCGAGCAAAACTCCATCGATTGAGTGACCCAGTGTAATTTTCAATCCCAAGTCAAAAGAATTTAAAAAACTCTTCAGCTTTTCAGGTATAAAAGCAATATTTGAAGCAATTAGAACTGATCAGAGTCATATTTGACAGCAATCTCATTGAAGGGCAAACATTCAAAGTGAAATGAATCAACGGCTATAATACGCGATTCAAATGCTGGAAAAAATTCCTTGCATCAGTCGATAGTTCTGCCAACTATATTTGTACAAAACTATCTTTTTATATGTACAGCATTCTATCACTTTACGTTAAAATTGCATCAACAGAAACGTTTTAACTTTAGACTGCAGCCAAAGAGTAATTGAAGAGAGCAAAGGCTTCTCAGTTGAGGCTGAACGAGACAACCTTCGAAGCTTTTGGCAGAATCATTCTCTTTTGAGCAGAACTTTCATATGAACAAAACCAGCATCCAATAGACTAAAACCGGCAGACTGTAAAGACAGTTTACATAACAACAAAACAGTGTTCAAATGACCAAAACTTATTTTCATAAGACAAAAACTCTGGATTCAAACAGTTACTCTACTCAGAGCATGTAAAGAGTAACAATGTTATGTAAGTCCCGGTTTATCGTGATAGATGGGTTCAAGTTGAGTCTAGCAACATGTACCACTTAAATCACTTTTTTTAACTCGACCGGGTTGAGTGAGAATACAAAATACTGAACTGCGAGAATAAGAATAAACTGCTGATCGTTTCCATGCAAGCTGATAACACGTGAAATCAAACTGTTCCAGTTTCTCACTTTGAACAGTCAAATCTTCTTGGCTTCCCTTGGATTGAGACAGAATAAAACACTTTCTTAACTAACATTATACATTAACATGGAGAATCAATATTGATTTTAAATGAGTGGCACTAATCATGAACAATAAGCATTTGCACACATTTAAACACATGTAACAGTCAATCTTGCAATTGGGAAATTAAAGGAAGATAAGGTTTCTATGTAAACTTTACTTGGAGCGCGCTTTTCAATTTTCCTTGGAAAATATTATTGCTTGAAAAATTGGCGCGAAAATATTGCAGACTTTTACTCGATAATGATTTATTGATAAATGAGGTTTCACGGATCGAACGAGAATCTGAAAAATTGAAAGCTAAAACAATGGTTTAGCAATTAATAAATATTTACATTTTTTTTCATGTTCCCTTAATGATAGTCATGTTGACAGGTTTGATGTTTAATAGTGAATGCTATTTAAAATGGTTTATTTAATCTCTTTAGTTAATGGCTTGTCATTAACGATGAATGCTGACGATGAAGACAACTTGCTCTTCTCTCTTTTGTTGAGCTTAATTTCTGTTGCATCCTTTTCTGTCTAGTCTCTTTGCTCTTGTTTTTTACTCAGTTTCATGTTGCTCTTTCCCTAATAATCATGATAAAAAGGTTAAAGGCAGGCAAAATGAGATTATATTGAAGTAAACTTCAAGTGTCGAGATGAACACGAACACACTTAACCCAAACGTATTAACAGTTTTAACGACAAAATAATTAGACTCTAATAATTTGTAATTGAATTTCCTGATTTAATGATAATGGCCTTTCCATCTTCCACTTTTAACCCTTTTCGATCAACTCTATTCTTTTCGTGTTTCTCATCTTCTCTCAGGCGATCCAATAAACAGAATTGGAAAATCTGTAAACTTTTACTTACTCCAAAAGTTGCAATTGACTTTTTTCCTTGAATACTTTTATTCCTTCAATTTGTACACTAGTTGATCAATCCAATAACAATTGACACTTGACACTTGTTTCACACTGAAAGTTCACTCAACACTTTTCCAATCAAATGAATTCTCCTTTTCTTCTGTACTATTCCACTATCTAATTTATCCTTTGCAAGTAATCAATTTGATGATCCAATGCATTTAAATGATGCTTTAAGTTGTTGATTAGTTTCGTTTAGTTTTTCAGTTGTTGGGTGCTTTTGTCACGAGTTTGTTGTCGCACAAAATTTCATTTACTTTGGTCAAACTTTTGATCCAACACTAATTGATATTGTTTCAACGATTTGTGGATAAAGGTGAAATTGATGTTGCCTTGTTTAGTCTTGGATCTTGATGTAATGACAAATCACCAAATAGAAAATTTTGTTTTTTTCTTCTTCTAATCCTTTTCAGTTTCGACTTTATCTCAACTGAAATGGTTTTTATCCTGCCAAATGAAAGTATGAAATAAAGAATTGGAATTACCTTTGAGTTTACTGAACATGTCCTTGCGACTTGGGTTCATGTCATCATGGTAACATAATCATGCCATCTGATGCTTTTTCGAAGAACTTCATTTTCGAAATGAATGATGAGGACAAACTTGATTCAGAATTCGTTGAATTGGTGTTTCGCGGTTAAATCTAATAAATATTTTTCGAGTCAATATTGTTATTTCAACACTCAAGTTCACTGGTTCACTCAGGGAAAATGTCTCAAAGTTCAACTCAATCGATGAAAAATAAACAACTTTTGCTGAATTCGAAGAAAATCTTGGAGTTTGCTAAAGTTATCAAAAACTTGGCCATGCTTTGCATCTGATTAACCTAATGCTCTTAACATTTTGCTAAAAATCAAAATTTTTGATAAGTTAACCTTTTAATTGGATAGAGTGGCATTGAACGCTTTTTGTCTATTCTCTATTCTTGTCTTTTCTCGTCATTTTTAGCACTCTTGTCACTCCCACACTTCCGATTGATTCCCTGAACAATCTCATTCAATTTTCTTTTCCTCTTATCCCAATAAAATTATTTTATTACTCGGGAGATTAATCTCCGGTATGAATAAGTTTTCGACAACATTTTCATGTTTTACCTTAAAAATTGTCGAACAATCAATTCTTAACTTGTTTTCCAACGAATATTGATGACAGGAAGTTGATACATTCAATGTGATGTTAGACAAGCGATGATAAAAAAAAACAATTTCATCGCCATCGAGTGGGCTATGATATGACACATTTAAGTGTAAAAAAGATTTACAATTAACCTCTGAATCAGCAATAATCTTTTAATACATCACAAGAATAAGGAAAATGTATCTACCTACAAAAAGGTGATCGAAGTTGTAACTTTGAACACAGGGATTTTCTCGAAAACTATTCGTCATGAAATTTTAATCCCATCAATGGACTTTTTCACGCCACTAAAAACCTAACAAAGTACCTAATCGAAAGAATTTTTTCTCTCCTCAAGATTCGATTATTATTGGATTCACTTTAGTTGTTCGCTTAAAATGAATCGATTAAACCAGTCGACCCAATGGTCCAATGGTTAGAGCGAAGATTCCGTGAAAACTGACTTTGCCCACTTCTATTCATTACTGAAGCATTAAATTTTTCAGTAAGTTCACTAGTTGGTGAGTTTATAAATAGTCAATATTTAGTCAAGTCAGTCATTAATGTATAAATCAACTAAGCTTGGGATTCTAAGGCACTTATGATTAAGCTCGTCAAATCCTGGTTACTAAACTGGTATAAATTGGGTAAACAATATGATTGATCATTAGTATCACTGAGCTTCTGAATTGACTTTAAATTTAATCGGGGGAAATTGAATTCGAATTTTACATTTCTTTATTTTTTCGTTTTCCTCTCTTCCTTGTTTCCCTTGATGCACAGATTGAATTGATGCATTAATAGCAATCTCTGTCCATTTAACCGCAAATGTTTGCCTCATCAAACAATTGTGTAATTCATTGTAACCATCTTATCACCGGGAATCAGCATTGTTAATACAATAAAGAAGCACCATGTAATCAGCTACTATTGAAACCAGAATGAAGCAGTCAACTTTTCCATTGCGATCATCAGATTCAAATTACATGTTGACTTGATGTTTCATTTTGATATTTCATCTTTTTTTTCCAATGACAGATTTTATTTGTGAAGGAACTGGAAATGAACTCAAAGATATTCACATTAATGAATCAACCCATTGTTTCCCATATTTACATAATGAAATGCATCAGGTGAAAATGACGATAAAATTCAGTAACAAGTACTGAAGATAACGATTGAAAGCAAAATTTATCTGCGAAATTTACGTTTACGGTAAAAAAACAGATTTGATTTTATTCCCTTTTCCATCGCATTACAATTGAAGACTAAAAGACTGTTAATTTGTGCCATTTATCTAATTGAATGTAAAAAAGAAATTCTTTTATCATTAAATGAATTTTCTCCTTGACTCTCACTAAACCTTGTTTTACTTCTGTGTACTTATTTTGATGAGTTGAAGTTTACTGCACTTGCTGTGGAAACGTTACAAAGATGACACTTTTACTCATAGTTATTAGCTTTATCGGTGTTCTTCATGGATCTGTCCATGCAACTCAAAACAGTTCCGATGTTGGTCTAACGATTGGCGATCTGATAACCTCAAGAGGCTTCATCCATGAACCGCACTACGTGACGACTCCGGACGGTTACATTTTGGGCATTCATCGAATGATCAATCCATTGAGCAGAAAATATATTTCAGGAAAACCAAAACCAATTCTCCTTCAATGTGGCCTTCTTTGTTCTGGATCCGAGTTTCTCGATAACTCCGACAGCGGTTACCTCAACGAAACAATGATTGCTTATCGCCATGTCCTCAACATGATTGATTTCGAATCAGAAGGAAACAACTTGGGCTTCCTTTTGGCGAATCTTGGTTTCGATGTTTGGTTTTTCCATCCAAGAGGAAACATGTACTCGCGAAATCACACCACACTGGACCCTGATTCAGGTAAGAACAAAATTTGAAGAGAACAAAAGGAAATCTAAAAATTCGACTTGCAACAGATAAAAGCTATTGGCAATTTACTTGGGATCAAATGGCCTTAATCGATCTTCCAGCAACTTTTGAACTCATCATGAACCAAACTGAGCAAAGTATGAACCTTTTCTTTTCTGCTTTATTCTCACCTAAAAATGGATTGCATGATAAAATTTATTGAAATCTTTCTTTTAGCTGTTGGTTACATTGGCTACTCTCAAGGTGGAACTACGATTTTTGGGCTTTTATCCGAGTGTCCCGAATATTCGGCAAATGTGGTTCCAATCATCAACATTGCTCCAGCAGTTCGACTTGACAATTATGCTGGTCTTCCCTATCAATCCATCCTCGAGTCTCCCCTGGTAATGAACTATGTGATGAACAGAGGAGGGGAATGTTTTGGTCGACAGCAATTTTCATTTTGTGAGGAAAGTCCAATCATGAAGATTGTGTGCAATTTTGTCACCTTTAACTTGCTGAGCATTAATAAAAATCAAGTTGATCCTGATCGAATTCCCGTCTTTATGTCACACATTCCTTCTGGTACTTCTTGCTGGGACATTTTACATCTTGTTCAGTTGATAAAGAATAAGAATTTTGCCAAATTTGACTTTGGAAAGACAAAGAATTTAATCAAGTACAATTCAACTTCACCGCCACTCTACGATCTGGGAAAAGTGGTTACAAACGATCTATACTTAGTGCATTCTATTGGTGACCATTCAGCTGATCCAGCAGATATTACGCTTCTTAAATCACTTCTTACTTCAGGTAAAAGAAAAGCTACTTTTATTTAATCAACAATTGAAGGTGTGATTCGCCTTCTTTTCTGCTGATTAACTGCAACCCGATCTAAAGTTTTATATTCAACTTGACTTTGATATTGATATTGAATAGCAATTGAATCGTAAAGTGAAGGCTTTGTGAGTGAATGTCTATTGTTCAGGGCTGATAACAACAACAATTTCTGTTATCGCTATTAATCATCATTCTTCATCATTCCGGTGAATTACCAGTGTTTAACCATTCAATTTCAACGTTCAGTAAAACAATGTTCAGTAATTATTACTTTAATAATTGACTAATTTATGCATTTTTTGCCTTTCCATTTATTCGTAGTTCCCACCATTTATGATCATGTAATTCAAGACAAAACTTTTGACCATTTGGACTATTTCATGTCTAAAAATATTGGAACTCTGGTTAATGGTCCGATCGCTGGAATGTTGGACAAGTACAATCCTTGATTCATTTGGTTCTTTTTCATTGAAAACACAGAGTCTCTCAACTTTTGATCAAAAACTTTCTCATTTCATGGCTTTAACTTGATTTAAGAGTAAACTTTTTTTTTCTTTGCATCACTATTTTTTTACCCATTGTAGCCTAATTTATCATTTCAATTAAATGTAAAAAGTGAGAAAACAAACATCAATCTGATTTTTTACAATTTTAGACTTATGCGGAAATGATGTTTCCGAAAAGTAATCTTAGAGATTGAATTTGTTTTCCAAAATTGAATTGCTCGCAGGATTTCAATCAATCTTATTCCACTAAACTGTGTTTAGTTATAGGGATAGATGCAGACTTGGTCACAGCCATAGGTTAAAACGGATCGTGATACAATTGGAAGATTCGGTTTGCTTGGAAACCATTGGATTATCATAGTTGTATCGTTTCTCTGAAGTATTCCAATCAGTCATTATCTTATGTTGCTGAAACTGCTTCATCAGGATCACTTTGATTAATGTACATTTTCACTTAAATAATAATCATGTTCTTCATACCATTGCTTCTGGATCATTTTGATACCAAGCTCGAATGATGGCACCATGATGAACTACATTAACTAGCTGAACAAAATAAAAGTGGATTCAAGGTGAAATGAGTATGGTTCATATCAATATAAAGATGGTTCGACAGAAGTGATTACACGAGATGAATAATTAAATAGAATGCATCAGCATTTAAAGGCTTTTAAACCTGACAGGTCGATAAGCTTATAATCAGCCGATACGTTTGAAATTGTCAAGTTGTTTGTTTACAAGTTACAGCTCAATAGTTTTGATAAAAAGCTTTTATACATTGAAGATTAAACCTCTTCACTCTTTACCGATAGACACTCAACAAATAATGGCTTAATCCAGCAAATCATTAATGATTCCTGATTGAATAACGATGACATAGAATAGCGGAAACTCAAGAAGAATACAAAAATCTGTGCTCAAAAATTCACTAAATTGTTGATATTCCATGGAGCTAATGGCTTGAATCATTCCATCAAATCTTGAAAAAAAGGATCGATAAATTTTCTGAAGATGAATTGATTCTCGGGTCACTCAAGCTGCTCATCACAGGTAGCATAGTTTAAGAGAGTTGCAGGGTTGATAAGATAAAGACTTGAAACAATCATTTCGTTTAACTAAACGATAAATCCAAGTGAACAAGTTAGGCTTCAATTTATAAAGAAAATGAAAGATTGAATAAAAATCTCTACTTTTTTGAGTTTCATTTCAAACACTTGTACTTTGACTTTGAGTTATGCAAATCAACAGTAAAAATAATCAAAGCTTTCGAGTTGAGCCAAATGTTTTCTAATTGCTAGTATTGCATTATTTGCTTTTGCACTCATTTGATAAATATTTCGAGTTTTGCATTTGATTCGTCGAGCGAGAAATAAATTGGGACAAAAGATATTTATATTGCACTAAAATGCTTGTTGTCGATGTTTATTGTTTTGCCAATTTTTTTTCTTGTTTTGTAAATTTGATTAATCACACAGCCTCCAAAATTTATCAGAGAATAATTACAATTTGTTTCTTTTTTTCACAAAAATTGATGTTCTTCTTTAAATGGTGGATTCGTTTATTGGTGTTGGTTTCCTGTTGCTGTTTGTCTTTTGTTTTGTCATGGTTAACATCAATAGTCGAGATAAATACAGACAGAAAAAAGAGAAAAATTAAAGGTAATAATTTCAACATTCATCGAAAGTTTACTTATTTTCATCTTCTTTTGTTGGATGTTGCCTTGTGTCGTTGCTGTTGCTGTTGTTGTTGTTGTTGTTGTTGTTAAAGATTGACATTTAACTGGATAAACTTTCGATCAATTGTTGAATTAATTCAGAATAATGTGGTTGAGCAGTTAAAGATTGAAAAAAGAAAGAGAGAAACGAAAGATAGAGAAGAGAAAGAAAAAAACGATTTTTACTCAAAACGATGTTGATGTTAAAACAGCAAACCTCAATGTTGTGTGTTTATGTGCTTGTGTGTGTGTAATTATCTCAATTGAATTATTCTTTTAGTTTTCCGTTGAGGTGCTGATTGAGGTGGGAGGTTGATGGAGGTGGGAAAAGAAAAGTCAGAATGTCTTTTGTTCATTTCGCAAAATGACTATCCTGGAGTCGAATGGAATTTATTCTGCATGTTGCTGAGCCCGTGCTTTAGGAAGTCCAGGCTGAAAAGAAGAGAAGAAGAAAAGTTAGAATTTTTGGATAAAATGAAAAGTTGAATATCGACATTTCAAGTCGTTCTACTTACTCCTGGACTCATGGCTCGGCTGGCTGATGCAGAGCTTCGATTACGCGCTCTCAATTTGGCCAAAGCATTTTCAGCCATGTCAGCTCGTTCCTCAGCATCTTCCAATTCTTGCTGAACTTTACGGAATTTAGCCAAGTTGAGGGCAGCAATTTCTTCAGCCTCTTCAATTTGTCTCTTGTAAGTTTTAATCTTTTGTTGAAGCTTGTCAACCAAATCTTGCATTCTTTCTTGATTCTTTCGGTCTTCCTCTGATTGGAATTGAAGCTCCTTAAGGCGTCTCTCGGCCTTTCGTAGGTTCTTGGCAGCATCGCCGTGCCTTCTTTGCTCAGATTCAAGTTCTTGTTCCAATTCACGAACCTTTTGTTCCAATTTTTGGATGACTTTTTTACCACCCTTAAGAGCTGCTTGTTCAGCTTCATCAAGGCGAACTTGTAATTCCTTGATTTGTTGTTCCATGGCTTTCCTCATCTTCTCTTGTTGTTGAGCGTGTTCTTGCTCAGCTCGCAACTCGTCGGCCAAACGAGCAGCATCAACCATGGCCTTCTTAGCCTTCTCCTCTGATTGTTTAGCTTCATTCAACATTTCGTCGAGATCAGCTTGTAATGCCTGCATTTCACCCTCCAACTTTCTCTTGGCCATTGAAAGGGAAGCGTTTTGAGCAGACAATTCATTGTTAGCCTCATGAAGTTCACCGTTCTCTTGTTCAGCGTTTCGTCGAGCTCGGTCAGCCTAAAGCGAAAAACAGATACAGAAAATGAATAAAAGAATGCAAGAAAAAAGAAAAACATTTCCACGACTTACTTGTTCAAGAAGCTGTCGAGACTCTTCAAGCTCGCCATGAAGAGCATTGCACCGTCTCTCGGCCATTGCGTATTGCTCACGAGCCTCATCTCGAGCTCTTTGCTCTTCTTCCAATGAAGTTTGCAAGTCTTTGATCATTTGTTGGTATTTCTTAATAGTCTTTTGTGCCTCAGCATTGGCCTTGTTGGCGTGGTCTAAAGCAATTTCAAGCTCATTAATGTCTGATTCCAACTTCTTCTTCATCCTGAGTGCCTCAGCCTTTCCTCTGGCCTCAGCCTCGAGAGAAGCTTGCATTGAGTCAAGGGCTCGTTGATGGTTCTTTCGGGTGTTTTCAAATTCTTCTTCCTTCTCTTGGAGTCTTCGGTCAATTTCTTGTCGAACTTGAGATAATTCAAGTTGAGCTCGAAGAACCTTGTTTTCTTCTTGTTCCAAAGCAGCCTCAGCTTCCTCCAAAGCAGCTTGCAACTCTTCCTTCTCCATCTCTAATCTCTTTCTCATCTTTTCGAGTTCATGAACTGAGCGTCCACCTTCACCTAATTGATCCATAAGATCCTTAATCTCATCTTGAAGGTTCTTGTTCTCCCTCTTAACGGCTTCATAATGTTCTTGTGACTCTTCGTACAAGGCTCTAAGTTTGAATAATTCGGTAGAGTAGTTTCGGCATTCCTTTTGAGAAGCATCCAACTCGGCAGCCAAATCGTCAACCTTGTGCTTCCAGTCGGCGACAATTTTGTCGAAGTGTTTCTGCTTCTTCTCAAGTGAAGCGGCCAACGAGTTAGCCTTTTCAACTTCAATGGACATGTCTTCAATTTCTCCCTGTAATCGTTGCTTGGTCTTTTCTAAGCCAGAACACTTGGCATTGAGCTGTTCAATGTGTTCCTCTGACTCTTGTAATTTGATCTGTAACTTCTTCTTTGATTCTTCCAATTCTTCCAATCGAGCCAAACCTTCAGATTCAAACTTGGTTCTCCAAGCGGTGATCTCAGCATTGGCCTTGGATAATTGACGTTGCAAGTCAGCTTTACCTTCAGCCTCTTCTTCCAATTGTTCTCGTAAACCATCTAAATCGTGTTCCAAGTTTCGGTATTTACCCATGATAGCAGCTCGTTCCTATTTGAGACAATTTAAGCAAAGAAAAATGTTGAGTTGATCGAGTTTTTAATTCGAAATAGTTGAACTTTTAGACGAGACTTACCCTGCTTTCTTCGTCAGCAGTTCGCTTAGCTTCTTCGAGTTGTGATTGAAGGGAAGCCTTCAATTTACCTAATTGGTTAACTTGTGATTCAGCTTCTTCCAATTGTCTTTGAAGTTCACCATTTTCAACGGCAAGCTTCTTCTTGGAGGCATCAAAGTCACCCAAGGTTCGGTTCTGTTCGTCAATCTTGTGCTGTAATTCGCCTAATTGCATTTCTAATTGTTTGTTTTGCTTCTCAAGATTGGCCTAAAAAAAGTTTAATCAACCATCAAAAGAGTCGGGAAAAGGTTAAAGTTACCAAAAATGAAAAATGAACAAGAAAAAAATGAATTAGCATTAAATTTGAAATGAATGATGAGCTAAAAATAAAAAGTGAAGGACAAGGAATGGTAAGGTCTCTGGATTTTGGTAAGAAAAATAACTCGGTGTAAACCACGAATCTCCAGTTCTCCAAAAGACGAACCAAAACTGTACCTGATTTTTCGTGGAATTATCAACAACGGCTTGAAGATCTTGATTTTCAGCTGCTAATGTTGCTCTTTCCTTCTCTAACCTGAAAGTTTATTATAATTTTATGGTAAAAAAATATTTTTGATGTCGAATGAAGAGAAGAAAAAAGATAAAATCGTCTATGAAATGAATAATTCTGAATAGAGAAATTTATCATGACAGTAAACAAAGACTGTGCATTGAAAGCAAGAAAATTAAGTAAAGCAATAAGAGCAATAAGCAGTAAGAAGCAAAATCAAATGCGCTATTTTTAAGCTCATCTCATTAAAAAGCAGCAAATGCCTTTTTAGTCTTCAATCTATCAAAGCAAAAGCAGTAAAAGCAAAGCCACAACTTTAACCTCTTTCTTGTTTATACCAATTATTAATATTTAAAATCCATTCGAAATTAGATTTTTCCGAAATTCCAAGTTTCCCAAGTTGAATTGAGGTTGGATGAAAGGTGAATGGTTAGGGATAAGGATTGGCTCAATGAAGTTTCTTCAAGTTTCAAGTTGTCGCAAACTTGAAGAAAGTTTCATTGAAATTCCTAATATTTTTCATTTGTTATTTACCTTATCCTTAGCGACATGATCCATTCCAGTTTTCATGTCATCAAGTTCACCCTTCATTTGCTGTTTCTCTTTTTCGATTCTTAATTGTTATCGAAATTTATTTAGTTTTTTTATTCAATCACACCAAAAGCAGCGATTTCAAAAGCAGCAGCGGCAGAAGTGATGAATAGAGCGAAAAAGCAAATCAAAGAAATGAAATGAAGCGATAGTTTGGAGCGAAAGTTTTGGGTTAAGAGATTGATATTTACTAACAAGGATAAGAGCGAGGTTTTTGCAAGTTAATTGAGGATTGATGGGATAATATTGAGCCAATGTTAGTCTGTTAAATTGGTAAATGTAAAGAATCCTGAAACTGCAAAAGGTTAGAAGTGTTAGGCAAAGAGTTTTGGTTTTTGCAAAGTTTTTGTTTATCGTTGATGCAAAGTTTAGGTTGACTTACTTGGCCTTTATTTTGACTACGTTATCGAGCTGCTCTGAAAGCTCAGCAACAGCGTCATTATGTTTCTTCCTAAGGGCAGCCATGGCTTGTTCATGTTGAAGGTTTGACTCTTCAAGATCACGTCTAAGTTTAGCCAATTCAGCTTCTCGGCGTTTGTTAAGTTCAATTTGGGATGTTGTTGCTCCTCCAGCTTCCTCAAGACGCTCAGATAATTCTTCAATTTCACGGGCCAAATCAGCTCGTTGTTTCTCTGCCTTGGCACGGGCTTGTCGTTCAGCTTCAAGCTCTTCTTCAAGCTCCTCAATTCGAGACTGAAAGTAAAAAAGATATTTTCATTTTCATGTCAACTAATGTCAAACACACACACAAAGTAGACACAGATATGATTGAATAAATGAATCAACAAAATGAATAGAAACTGAAATGAATTACTTCGTAAAGGAAATGAGCCACTCTTGGTGAAGCATTGTACATTGGATCTTGAGCTTGTCGCACAACGCGTTTACTTTCAAAACTTAAACATGGATTTGGTGACACGTAAGGTTCCTTTAGTGCATAAGGATAGTGAGTATTGGGATCCAAGAATTGACCCTGAGGAACACTTAGTGCTGACCTGGGTCCAGTTGGACAGATAGCTATGAATGGTGGTTCATCAGTGTCGGATAGAGTTGACTGATTGTGCAGATTAGACTCGGATAAAGTTGGACTGTGCGTCTGGTAAGGACTACGATGTTTACTTGGACTAACTGAAAAGGCTGGAGGTGAACAAGGTTCCTCTGAACTAAGCTGTTGTATCAAAAGAGCACCAGTGCTACTAGTGGCACTACCACGAGGAGGACGAGCAAGGATAACTTCAGCCGAAGAATCGGGCGACTCTGAAGGTTCAATTACTTGGAAATTCGTAGATTCATTGGGATCAGAATTCATTTTGAAACAATCGACAAGACAAGTTCACAATTGAAAGCAAAAAAATCAAACACTAAGACAAAATATTTCGTTAAGTTTTTGACAACTTTTCGTATTTCGTTCAACTCGAAACTAAACTTTTCAAACAAAAACAAAACTTTGAAAAGACAACAAAATAAACTAAATTGTTAAAAAAATTCACCCAAATATTAAAGTGAGCTGATTCGTTGAAAGTAAACCCGAGTCAAATCATGTTGAAGGAATGCGATGAAAGGCAAGAGAGCTGATGGAGGATGACAAGGGAGAAGAGACTTGATCAATAGCGATTGACTAAAAGGAAAGAGGGAAGAGGAAAAAAACTAGATGAAGGAGAACGAAGAGGAAGATGATGATGGAAGGTAAAGATATACCCAAAGCAGGACAAAAATATCAAGTAAAGGTAAAGCACAAGAGGATGGGTAAAGATGAGCGAAGGAGGAAAGGGAAGGAAAAATATATCACTCGAATAGCTGCACTCTCCACCTACAACTTGATCCCAGGACAGGGAGGGTAATGGCATGTATAAATATACACATCAAGTGGTGGTTCAAAAGGTAGTTGAGCATGAGCCTTGAGCCTTCTCACTTAGCTAGACATCCTTGTTGGGTTATACGGCACCTCATTCGCTACTCTAGTTTATCCTCTAAAGCATATTTTCTGAGTCATTTTTGTCACAAATTTTTTCCACCAAAATATTTACAAAAAACTTAAAAATAGCTAAAGTTAACTTTGAGAAATTGTTTCTTTACATTTGTCATTCCATTACAAAAATGTTGAATAAAACTAAATTTTTTGGGTTCAATTTGAATAAAAAGAAACTTTTCATTTCGAAAAAATTGTTGTTCTGAAACAAGATTCAATATTCAACTGAACATTTGATGAATATTGTTAACTGTTTATTTCCAATGTTGTTCATGTTTTGTGTCAACTTTGGAAGTTTTTGTTCTTTCTTGCAACAATTAATTGTGGAAAATGTTTCAAGTTTTTTCAACATTTGTAAAGGTTTTGTTCATCTATTTTGAGCAATGAAAATATTTCAAGTTAATCTGATAGGAATTAAGGGAAAAGTTGATATAAGCTGTTGATTGAGAGATATTTTGCCTTCATGTTTGCAATCGTTGAAACTTGAAGAGCAGAGTATTTACATGTATAAAAATGAATGACACTTGGAACTGATCCATATTCCAATTGAGTAAATTTTTTGGAGAAACAAAGTTTTTGTACCAAAAAAGATTCACATTTTTTCGCTAAATTCATTTGCATATCTTTGCCTCTCTCACTCGAACCCATATTAGTATTACAATAAATCAACAATCAACTGAAAGGCAAAAAAGAACTGGAAAACTAGGAAACTCGATTTTTCCCAGTTTCCGTTTCGTGTCTGATAATTGATTGATTGTGAGAAGTGAAAAGTTATATAAATAGTTTCGATTCATTGTAATGCTATTAAGGTTCACAAGTTTTAAACACTTTTCCATGCTTACCTGAATCTCTTTGATTTGCTTTTGAAGTTTGGCTACCAATGATTGTTCGTCTTCGAGTTTGGCGGACAATGATGCCATTTCTTTTTCCTTTCGTTGAATGGCTCCTTCTAATTCCTTCTTGTTCTTTTCCAAGTCAGCGACAGCTTCTTGGGCAAGTTTAAGGTCAGATTCAATCTTTCGCTTGTTCTTTTCAACATCAGCTCGAAGTTTCTTTTCTCGTTCGAGGTTGTCTTCTAATTCGTCTAAGGTTTGCTCAAGCTTGGCTTTTACCTTGTTAAGATGGTTAATCTTGTCTTCTGCACCTTGAAGGTCTTCAGAAGTTTTCTGGACAGATTCTTGAAGGTGTTTCTTTTCCTTGTTCAACTTGTTGATCATTTCATCTTGATGAGCAATTTCATCGTTCAAGTTGCGAATTTGATGATCTTTGGTGGCTTTGTCTTGTTCAGCTTTTTGTAAGGAAAGTTCAAGATCTTCAATCTCTTTCTTCAAATGGGAAATGTCTTGTTCCAACTTTTTCTTGGAACCAGACAGTTGAGTGTGAGCATCTTCTTCGTGTGATAAACGATCTTGTAATTCCTATCAAAGATCACACAAAGTCGAGAAAATGCACAAAGGCAAGAATAAAGAGAAATTAGAAAATCAAAAGTCGAAACCAAAGCAATAAAAGATTGCGAATAGAAAGAAATAAAAGGACGAATCGTTGGAGTTGGGATTGGGAATGTTAAAGGTTCAATGTAAATGATTGTCAATGTAACTCAAAGTATTGTTAAGTTGTGTTAGGTTTGGTTGGAAAAGGTTTAATTGATGGATAATTTTACCTGTAACTGTTGTTCCAAATCGTGTTTCTGTGACATTGTTTTCTGAAGACGTTCCTCAACATCACCGGCACCTGATCTTTCGGCCTCCAATTGAAGGAAGAGATCATTCTTTTCTTGTAACAGTTTAACATTTTGAACTTCCAATTCTTTTCGAAGTTTGGCTTCTTTTTCCTTCTCTTCAGTTTCCTTTTTAAGCTTCTCTTCCAAGGCTTTGATTTCGTCTTCAACCTTGGCCATGGTCAACAAAGGCTTAACCTTAGAGTACAACTTCCACCAGAGCCAGTTACGAAGAGTCAAGAATTTACGTAGATTCCTTTGGATAACAAGTAAAGCAATACGTTGTTCTTGAAGTCGTTTAAAGGTCTTCTTAACAAACCACCATCGACACCAAGCTTGTAGCCATGTAACTATTTTGCTTAACCTCTCATCTCGCATCTCCTCCAGACGACCCAAAATACCAGCTCGGAAGAAGATCTATTGGCCAGAAGGTGGAGCATCCCAGTGAGTCGATGGAAGCAAAGGGAAGGAAAGCAAGGTAAGGCAAGTCAGAGGGACGCAAGGAAGGAGGTTCAGTGGTGAGTTAAGACACACATGAAAGCAAGTGAGTGAAGGCGTATCATTGGAGAGACATTCATCAATTTCGTTAACAAGATGATAATGAGGAAAGGTGAGTGTGGTTTGGGTTGGGATTGAGGCGTAAAGGGAATCAAGGAAAGGGAATTTCCAAGAATAAGTCAGAGTATTTAGTGAATTGAAATTTGCAGTTATAAGTAGAGTTAGTGATTAACGTTTTCAATGGTTAAAAGTTTATGTCACCAAAGAAATTAACAGAAAAATTTGCCAAAAAAGGTTGGTTAATAAGTTTGCATTTTTCAGGGTTTATCATTTTTTTTAAAGTTTTGTAAATTCGGTGATAATTTTCCAGTCAGATAAACAGAGATGGATCAACATTTTGGTGAGTTTTTTGTTTTTGACAGACAGACGGTGGAACAAGATAAAAGATGAGGAAGAAAAAGAAATGTTTAGTGTTAACCAGAGCGAATTTTAAGCATTTTCATCAGATTTGCGTTTCTACTTTCACTCTTTTGCTTTTCTTCATCTTTTCGTTTTTTGAAAAAGCATGATAACTCTTCATGGTTCATGTTTCTTCAAGTAATTCAAAGAATGAACAAAATTTGATTGCAATTTAAGAGTGAAAACACTTTTTCGTATCCTTTTAATTTAAATGCTTATAAATTAATGCCAGCATTTAGATGAGTCAATTGGAACAATAATTTTCTAATGTGTCTGAGTCGAGTTTGAATTAAACTGAATCAACAAATTAGTTATGAAAACTTTTGTTAACTTTTGTTCCAACTAACTAATGTTACCAGTTAGTCAGATATATACACATTTGAAGGGAGTGAATGGATGATGAAAATACCTTTGTGTGTCCATATCGGAATTCCGTTGTATCTAGATTAATGTGTCTCAATATTTTTTCAGTAGCGACTTTAGCATCAATAAATCCTTTGGGTAACTCAGTTGCAGCAAGAATAGCATATCTGGATATTTGTTGTGATGTTGGTTGGGATTGTAATAGAAATGGTTCAAGTGCAATTGAAAGGAAAGAAAAGTGCATTTTAAATAAATAAAGTAGTTTGTGCTTTGGAAATGGTAAAATAGCTAAAGTCAAAGGAACAATCGAGTTAACGGTTTTCGATGAAAAGTTAAGGTGAAAGGTTGAATGAAAATCTAATAAAAAGTTAGGAAATTTCTATTGGGGAACGGTAAGCGATTACGTTTAGCGACAGAAATGGGTACTAAAGTTGAATGGTTCATTCGAGTTGAAAGATACAGCAAGAACGAGCAAGTTTTTGACGATAATTGGTACGGAATTTTCATTTTTTGGATAAAAAGTAGATTAAAAAGACTTGATTCAACGAATGTGTTTATATCTGATTTTATGGCGGCTTGATGACGATTCGATACGAAAAGAACGCGAAAAAAGTAAAAACGCTTCGTTTTGTTTCAGTTAAATACATGCCTTGGTGTGTCCCAATCGGAAGTTTTCAGGTTCAAGTTGAATTGCTTCAGTAACCTTTGCGGCAACTTGTTTGGCATCAACGAATCCCTTAGGTACAGCGGTAGGAGCCAAGATAGTATAACTGTATTGCGGTTACATCAGTTGGTTTGATTTAAGATTAGATTTTTTATGCGAGGTTCGAAGTTAAAGAAACGAAAAGAGAAAAAGAAATTGACAATTTGTCCGAAACTCTTGCAATCGATTCTAATAACCGGTTAGTCCAGGTTTATCAAAAAGTTTAGCCTCAATCCTTTTAATTGTATAAAAAATCTATGAAAGTGTTTTTTCGTAAGGTTAGCTTCAATAATGATTTTAAACGAATTGCTCCGGGAAATTGAATTAGTTTGTGAACGAACAATGGACTAAATTGAATTTGAATAGATTGGTTGATAAATAGAATTGAAAATCATACCGTTGTTTGAAATCAGGGTAACCCATTCTGTTAGGGAAACCTTTACGACAGATACGAATACCTTCAAGCACACCGTTACAGGTCAACTGGTGCATAACAAGATGAGAATCAATGAATCCTGTTGAATGAAGAAGGAAAAAGATGATTAATTTTCATGATTGGAATGGATTTAAAAAGATATTCTAAGGGAAAGAAAAGGAGTGGGAATTGAAGGATTAAGGTGAAACGACATTTACGAATCGATGAGAGGCTCTACGGATGTAACTAAATTATTTTTACGATTATTGGATGCAACGGTTAAAGAAACTTTCATTTCTTTTTGTACATTGGATTCTTGAACGAGACGGAGTGACAATTTACAATTATATTATTCTAGTTATGGTTTTTAAGCGATTTTAGATGGGAAATTTATTGCATGCAGGAAACGAATAACTATCGTGAATCGTGAACGGGACGGAATTAAACGAGACGATGAAAGATTTAATTTTCTTTTGGCGATATTTTACCTGGTTTTTTCAATTCGTTAGGAATAATACATCGAATAAAGTGAGGATGAGTTGATTTCAAGGTAGTCATAAGTTTGTTCAATTGTTCCTATTTTAGTTGAACCGGACCGAAATTGACGCAAAGGTTATAAACGCGTGTAAGTGAGACGATATGAAATGAAAAACGATTACGAAAATTATGGTTAGTTTGACGGTAAAACGCTTTTGTCCTGTCAGTTTACTTCAATTGTTAACGAGAACGAACGATATTGAAGTATTTCAACATTGTCATTGGTTGATGTTTATGGACGCTTTGAAGTTTTAACGGCATATTTTGAGACGAAACGAAAATTCAATCGAATCTTGCAAATGTTTGAAACGCAATGTTTAAACGAAAAAAAATCTTGAATGTTACTCAAATTTTTCGCATCTTTTTGCTAAATCGGTCTGAATGTAACAAAACGATATTGCTGATATGGCAGTTGGAATGAGGAGGAAGAGAAGTGGGCAGAAGATGGGAATGGAAAAGGAAATATACCTGGAGTTTTGGTTTCATTGGGAATGATACACCGGATAAAGTGAGGTTGGGTTGATCTTAAGGTAGTCATCAGCTTATTAAGTTGTTCCTGTAAATAGCGTAAAAAGTCTGCTTAAATATCACTGTTGCAATTTTTTTTCTTCCCTGAAAATTCTTTTGGTAACTAACTGTAAAATGATATAACTCTAGACTTGTGTATTGAATAAAATGTAAAATTTGATTTATCTGATCTAAACTAATTTCTTCTTTTGGAAAATTGATTTTTCGTTTATGCTGCAATAAAATGACATCAAGTGCAGAGTGAACGAGTGAATGTAAACTTACCCTGTATAAACCAGATACAGTCTGGAAACCAGAACCCTTCTTACGTCCACCACCACCTTTACCACCAGCACCCTTGGAAGCAGTTGAATCATCAGCACCAAGACCGGGATGGTCAGCGAAAATTTCAACCAACAAGTTGTTGGATGAGTGTTTGAACTGGTCAACGACACAATCGTTAAGAGGATCCTTGTTCTTCTCAAGCCAACCAGTGATGTTGTATGGCACAGTACCGGCATAATGGACAAGAGCAAAGTGAGCCTCACTTTGACCTGGCTTGGGAGGTTTGGGTTTCTGGAAGTTTGGTGATTTTCCAAGATGGTTGGTGTTCAGTTTGTCCAAGAAGGTCTTGTCGGAAGCTTTAGGGAACATACTTTCTTCCTCTAAAATTGAAAGGATACCCATAGGCTAAAGTGTGCAGAAAGTCAAGTTTAATCAATTCATGTTTCATTACGAAACAATGGAATGAAAGAGAAAAGAAAAAATATTAATATCGAAAAAATAAAAATGAAAATATTGCATTCTACTAAAGGTAAAGTCTAAAGGAAAGAGTCTATTTTGAATAATGAGGAAAGAAATGAACAAACGGGAAAAATGTAATGACGGCAAATGAACGTTAGTAAGACATTTTGATGGTCAGATGAAGATGAGGAAACTAAATGTGCAACTACAATCTAATGTACGGTATTGTTTTGGGTCAGGTCAGTTCTAAAGATTCTAAAGGTTTTGAATGGTTCTATTTGATTCTAAAGTTGGTGACTAAAGAAAAATTATTTTCTTCTTCTAATGTAAACTTTTACACTTTTGTTTTACCTTCTCGATAAGTTCAATACAAGCTTGTAAGTCCATACCAAAATCGATGAATTCCCAGTCAATACCTTCTCTCTTGTACTCTTCTTGTTCTAGGACAAACATGTGATGGTTGAAAAATTGTTGAAGTTTTTCATTTGTAAAGTTAATACAGATTTGTTCAAATCCGTTAAACTGTTAATTGTTAACCAACAATTAAACATTTATTTTCAGTCCAAGAGAGAAAGTTTTGTGGGATTTAAAGACGAAAATGATTCAAGTTTAAAATTGAACGAAATTTAAGTCGATAAATGAACGCAAAAATTTGATTGTTAAAATAAGTTAACGATGATGACCCATGATGACAATTGTAGTTGAAATTAAAACGCAAGTTTAACGGAAAGACGCAATTGAACCGAAATGGCAAAGAGAAGAAAAGAGAAGAAGAAAAGGAAAAAAATTAGTTTTCGTTGAATATAACATCATACCTTTTCGATTAAATCGATACAGGCTTGAAGATCCATTCCAAAATCAACCCATTCCCATTCAATTCCTTCACGTTTGTATTCCTCTTGTTCGAGGACAAACATGTGATGATTGAAAAATTGTTGAAGCTTCTCATTGGTAAAGTTGATGCAAAATTGTTCAAAACTATTGTACTATTAAGTTAACAATTACAAAGGTTAATCCATATTGGTGTTGATATAAGAATGAGAAATAAAGGAAGGAAAAGTGTCAGCAAATACTAAATGTAAATTGTGATAATCTAATGATTAATCAAACGTTATTTTGGTCAATTAGTGTTAGTCGATTTGCAATGTTAGTGAAATGTGAAGCTTTAACTTTTTGTTTGAAAAGCTGTATTAATTAGCATTTAGCTTTTAAGTTTAAAGCTTGATTTTGAATGAAATTTTCAATGTTGCGCTGCTTTTGTTTTGTTGGAAAAAAGTTTTTGTTGTTTGCGTTAATGTTAGCTTAAAGGTTGGGGAATGTTGACTTACCTCGAAAATTTCAAAACCTGCAATATCAAGTACACCAATGAAGTATTGTCGCTTTTGTTTAGTGTCCAAAGTTTCGTTAATCTTTTTAACCATCCATTTGAAGAGACGATCGAAAATGGCTTTAGCCAAGGCACCAATAGAGTATGAAACTTGCTCCTTGCTTTTACCTTGGTTGACAAACTCGTTACCGACCTTGATTCGAGGTTTGCACAAGTTTTTGTACAAATCGGCAGCATTAAGACCCAACAAGTGGGCAACTCGTTCACCCTCTTCAGTACCATCAGCTTCAGCTTGCTCTTCTCGGGGTCGCTGTTTGAATTTAAGTTCACCTAAATGCATAACAGCAGCAGTAATCTTGTAAATGTTGTGCTTCTCTTCCAGGCTGAAACCAAGAATGTCGAAAGCTTCCTAAATTTTGTCAATTTCAATCAACATTCAATTGTTGCAAAAAAGAAATACGAATTAATATCGAAAATCAAACCTTTTTTGTGCTTCAATCAAGGCATAAATAAATTCAAGTTTTCATTCCAAGAGTTTTCATTTTTGTCTTGAATGTAAATATTGCTATAAAATTCAAGACAATGATTTCTTGAAATGATTTGTGCTGCTCTTTAGCATTGAAATGTAAAATGATTGCTTGAGCGTAAAAAGAAGCAAAGCGTCAGATTTTAGGTTAGTTGTGGAAACAGTGGAAGATGAAAGTCTTTTAAAAACACTGGCAAGGGATAAGAGCTTGCAATTTGAGCAGTTAATTGTTTGGTTAACCAGTAACTAGTGGACTCACATCTGTAATCCGAAACTCTTCGGCATCATCAAGGCCTTCAATTTTAGTTTTACCCTGGGATACAAAGTGATATTTGGTAACATCACTACCCAAAAGGAGTTGTTCTGGGAAGGGACAAAAGATAAGATTATGTGTGACATAAGTCAGGATTAATGTTGTAAACTAGTGTTAGGAAACTAAAGAGTACGGAGTATCGACAAGATTCAGAACTACGGAGGGAAATTTACGAAATGCAATTTTCATGTAAATCAATTTTCGAGAGGGAAATCGGTTGTTTCAATCGTCTTCAAGTGTTGAGTGTAAATTTAGTTTACCGGCTCAACAGTGGCAGGCAAGTTGCTTCGTTCAATACGGTTAAAAGTTTTAAAATTAATGACTAAGACTACGATTAAGAAGAAATACGATTCAAGGTTTGTTCATTCATAAACACGGTAAAAGATGTAAAATTAAGTCTATTTGGTTTTAGAGTTTTGAGGTTTCGTCTTTGCGTTTCGACTGTTTACACTCGATACTAAATGTTTCTTTTCTTCGGAAATCGAAGGAAACTCTTTTACTTTCTTGTAACTTCGTTTTGTGCACTCGATTGATTGCTTGTGCTTGATGCACACTAAAATTCAACACTCACATCAGTGAGAGCAAATTCAGCTCCATCATCCATTCCAGGAATTGTAGTTTTACCCTGAGAAACGAAGTGATAGTCGCAAACATCGTTACTGAGTAAACACATTTCTGTTGCGATTCATTGCGAATATTTGTTAGAAAAGAGAAAAAAGCAAAGATTAATAAATATGAACGACTGACACAAAAAAAGAAACGAATCGAATCGGAAATGTATCAGAAATACGGTAAAATCTTGAATCGAGAAGCGATAAAAGGAATAAAGCTTTTGCGAAAAGCTTTGGTCAGACTAATTATCAAGTTGAAAGTGTCTTCAACTGATCCATAAGTTTCCGATGAAAACGTTTTAAACCATTAATTGGACGAAATATCTGGCAATACCTGATACTCCTGCAACTGAACCAGAAATAATCTGGTAAAAGATGTGATATGATCGTTCAGCAGCTTGTTGAGAGATGACACGAGCTTTTTCCAATAAATCTGTAGGAAAGATGCAGAAGAATTCAATTAAATTTAGAATCCATTGTTCAACTCGACTCAATCAACTTACAAGTTTCAATATCACCACCAGCCAGTTTACCCATTGGACCAAAGTGAATTCGAATGAATTTACCGAAACGTGAAGAGTTGTCATTACGTACAGTCTTGGCGTTACCATAAGCCTCAAGAACTGGATTAGTTTGGACAATTTGATCTTCCAATGAGCCCTTCTTCTTGTCTTTGGCTTCTTCCTTCTTTGAAGAAGCACCAACCTGAGCGAAGTAAGCAATTACTTTCTTTGTGTTCTCAGTTTTACCGGCACCAGATTCACCACTGGATTCATTCAGAGGAAAGGAAAGAAAAGAAGGAAAAGAATTACAACAAAATTCTTACAGAAATTGGGGAAATTAAAGTTCGCCAATTGAACAGAATAAAAGAGCGCTAAAAATATCGAAAATTGATAAAAATCTAAACAATTTCGCTTCGAATTCAAGTTATTTAAGAAATTTATCCTTCAAGCGCCCTTTTCCAATGAAGATATTTGCAAATTAAATTAATAAATGAGCTAAATTGCAACCAAATTACTTCATCAACTTTGTTCCCTTATGACAACATTTAACGAGCTAATCAAACCTTAACTTGCTTTTCCTCACCCAAACTGCTCATCTCAATTTCTTGGAGTAAAGCCCGATTCTTGATAAGTAAACCTCGAGTGTTTAAAGAAGAGACAATTAAACTTTGGCCCATTTGTAGTTGGTTGAAATGAGCTAAACTGAGCTTCTGACTGTCCGGATCAAATTAGTTCAAGCTAAGCATTAGTCTTTGAAAATTTGGTGCAAACTCGAAGGCAGAAAATAACCTATTTTTTGAAGGGGAAAAGCTTCACCAGTCTCTTGCAGGGTTGCTATTTTAGGAAAAAAACAACTGTAACTTTGCACAATATTTACTATTACTTTCTGCCTGTGTTTCTGCTTCCACTTTTCTCGAAACTGTTTATAAAGTGTTTAATAATTTTGCCAAACTCGATTTCAAAATAAATGAGCTTCAAATGAGATTTGCAATTGTCTAATTGTGATAGCTAAACAAATGCCTGATTCCGTTGAATCAATGTAAACCATAACAGTTAGATACTTACGTAATCAACATGGATTGATTTTCTCGGTCTGTAAAGTAAAGAGCAAATATAAATTGTAAGTAAATTGGAAAAAAGTTGATTGCAAGTTCAATCCAAAGTTTCCATTCATCAATTTAATTCCATGAGCTTTTCATGCTTTTATTTATGAATCGCCTTGCGATGAAATGATAATGAATTTAAGCAACTTTACATCTCTCCTCATCAAATGCTGAATAATCAAGGAATCTCATTAAACATGGAAAGATCAACATTTTTCAATGAGCAAAATGTGTTGACTTTGACTTAATGATGATTTAGTTTATAATATATCGAAGTCAGCTTGGAGAGCAAAAGATGAGGAAAAAAGATGATAAAGGATGAAGATGAAGATAAAGATGGTTATTGGAGAGAGAGAGAGAGAAGGAAAAGAGAAGCTCGAAAGAAAAGGAAGAAGAAAAGAAGATGAAGAAGAAAATGTAGTTTAAATAGTTTCTCAAGCCAAATAAGGTTAACCCAAGAATTGGCAAGTTACTCTAATGTACATTTTCATGTTCTTACTCGACTTGATTCACAATGAATCCTCAAATCTCCACCTTAAACGCACTCTAAATTATTAACATTCAATGAGCCCAAGCTCCACCTTAACAGCATATTTAACACTCGATTCAAGCATTATCTACTCAATGAATGTAGCAATGAAAAGTAAAAGTAAATTGATAGGAACCAACAATATTCAATATTTTCTTTTCGATAAACTTCGGCAAAACTTGTGAAAACATTAAAAGCCAAGTAAACCTAATCATCTAGAATTATTTATAATTAAAAGGCGGAACTAGTTAAACAGTTTTCAGTCAAGTTGATAGAAGACAAGGAATATTCAGAGGAATTCCTGAGCCTGCAATTGTCTCACTTCGCCATTTCTTTTCGTCTCTTCGTTAGTCTTTCCTCTCCTCACCATGTATATATAGACTACTGTTTAAGTCAATCCATTGGCAACAATCGTTAAAATATCTTCTTCCTCTTCTTGTTCATCCTTTTTTTAACATTCTCTTCTCTTTCTTTTTATTCCTTTCTTTTCAGGTCACCCTAATATCTCTTGGCGTCAAGTTAATGAAGAGAAGACAAAAAATGTTCATCTCGAGATGCTGATGAAGATGAAATATCACACCTTTTAAGTCTATTGTAAAGTCTCTCATCTTTTTTGGATCACTTTGACTTTATCGTGAAAATCATTTGCATCTTCATCACTCTACTTTAACTGGAAAATTATGATTGTTTTAGCACACATTTCACCTTTCAAATTGACATTCAAGTTAATTCATTTGACTAATTAATTTTGATCAATTTTGCTTTTTTTACTTTTCCAAATGAATAACAAATAAACAATTTACTTTTCTAGGTTGTTATTATTCTTGAATTTAGAGAAAAAATAAACTCAGAGTTTGTTTTTTTGTGTTATTTATGCTCGCCTGCCATGTAAGCTGAGAAAAATTCTGCAAAATTTTGGTTCCATTTCATGAGCAAATATGATGAATTGAATAATTGCTTGACTAATTTTAGAAAGCAAAATAATCTAACAAGTAAATATACTTTTTGATCGAAAATTTTAAAGCTTTTTTCGGAAAATTTTGCTTCTAAATCTATAGCTAAGAAAGCGATTTGAACAACTCTGAATAAGAAATGAAAACTTTGAAATAACAAATAGCTAAGAATGATTGTTTTTCAGCGAATTTTGGGAAAACAGAAAATTTTGCTTTTCTAATTTTGCGGATCCATTAACTTGGAATCGATTTGATGAATGGAAAGATGGATTGAAATGCTATTTTATGGTTTTCGCAAAGAGCAACTTACTTGTCAACATGTCAGTGTAGGCACCGTCACAGATAGCGAACAAGTGAGGAGGCATTTCACTTCGTCGCTTTCCTTGGTACATCTTGATTACTCGTCCAGTATAAATGGGAAATCGTTTGTAAGGATTGATAGCAACACAGAAAAGTCCAGAGTAAGTCTAGAAAGCAAAAAGAGATAAAAATATAACAGAAATTAGTATTTTGATGAAAGTCCAAAAATATCTCAGACCAAAAATAGTAATAGTTAAGAGAGTTATTAATGGCCTTGTTGACGGGCAAAGGGAAACTTACATAAATAAGTTGGGCAGTATAACGTTCTTTAAGATTGTGAAGGACAGAAGCATCGTTAAGATAGGTAAGATTAGACATATCTTCGCATTTCTCGAACTTTGGTGGATTCACTTGTTGAAGTAAATCCTTTTTCACTTGTCGCTATTTAATCCAATAGTAAATGGTCATTTTGCAAATTCATCAAAGTTGTCCAATTACATGTCCATAAAGTCCATAATTGTCCAGAAATCACAAGTGTGCAAAGGAGAAAAGAAAAATGGATTTTCGAGATTAGCAACCAACATAATAAAGACATTTACCAAAATTTTCAATTCCAAACATAAATGCAAAACTCAATTTTTCGCTGAATAAATTCTATTCGATTGCATGAAGATAGAAAATTTAACGAAATTTTCCAACATTTCAAACTTTTCTTCGTTAGAGTCTTCAGTGAAACTTTTTGAATGAATTCGGCTTGTGTTTACTGGTTTTCTGGTTTTCTGGTCAAGCACAACTTACCTCATCACCTTTACCACAATCAACGGTTACGATGTCACCTTTGGTTGAAGAGATATTTCCGAGGATGAAACATTCCTTTTCATCGGGAACCCAAACCATTTTTTTACCATCGTAAGGTTTGGTTTGATCTTTTCTCTTTTGCTCAAGAGAAATGAACAGGTATTGAGTTGGATCTGGATCTTCTGCCATTGTTGACTTTTCCAGTTACGAAATTGAAACGAAAAGGTGAAAACAATTTATTGATCAATTGCACTAGTAAATCCTTTAATTGTGTTTGTGCACAAGTGTTAAGATTGTTTGATTATCCGCAAAAATTGTTTACCAACTTTGGTTGGGACTTTTGCTTTTGTGTTTTTTGTTGAATAGAAACTAAAAGAAAATTAAAAATTAAAAGTTGAAACAACAGCAACAACAACAACAACTGATGAAAATTTGCTCTCAGTCTTTTTTATATTGCACAAAAGATGAAAGCAAAAATGACTGAACAAGAATCAAGTGTTAAATATGCTGGTAAGGTGGAGCTTGGGCTCATTGAATGTTAATAATTTAGAGTGCGTTTAAGGTGGAGATTTGAGGATTCATTGTGAATCAAGTCGAGTAAGAACATGAAAATGTACATTAGAGTAACTTGCCAATTCTTGGGTTAACCTTATTTGGCTTGAGAAACTATTTAAACTACATTTTCTTCTTCATCTTCTTTTCTTCTTCCTTTTCTTTCGAGCTTCTCTTTCCTTCTCTCTCTCTCTCCAATAACCATCTTTATCTTCATCTTCATCCTTTATCATCTCTCTCTTTCCGTCTACTTTCTCATCTTCGTCAACTCGCGATGTTGAAAAAATGCAGCAAAACTCTAGTCTATTTGTACTTGCTCAAATTGGATAAAAGTGTTACATTTAGACTCTTCTCTCCTCTCCATTTCTCTGTGAATTCAAGTTTCAGGAAATAATGAATTCAGGGAAAAATTATTAATCTCAACAGATGGCGATTTTTGTGCAATTTATGGTTTTAAAGTGAATTACAAGCTCAATCATCATTAAGTCAAAGTCAAGTTGCTTTATAATTGAAATTCAAGAGAAATTTAAATTCCAGATTCAATACTATTTAAAGTCACTATTCAATTCTTGATTATTCAAAAATTGAAATGAAAATCATTCCATCCATGAAAACCTTGTCATTCAGCACCGATTATTGACAGCTTTTCGTGCCATTTCACTCAAATTCTAGCATGCTGAAGCTAGATGAGCATTTTTCTAGACTTGGATTTTATTGTTATTTTGTGGGAAAAAGTACATTTTATATCAGCATTGAAAAGATATTAATGTTTGGAGGAAAAGAAATGATTTAGAGTTTGGATTGCAATCGATAGCAATTTAAGGCTTGATTTAAATTGATTAATTGTTATGTTAATACAAGATTTTGGTCTCTTTTTGCACTCATGAGACAGTTGTTTGTCTAACCCAATTGGCTTCAGTTACTCTTCGAGTAATGCAACGTTTTAATAAATTCAACATTCTTTATACTAACAAATTGGTGATAAATTTAATTTCAATTATATTCGTCATTTACAGAGTTAATCAATATTGTTGAGGAAAATAAGAGACAGTTTTTGCAACTGAAAACTTGTTGTCGTTTAGGCAAAAGGATAACACAACTTTTACAAATCTACATTCTTTTATTTCATGGTTTTTGGATAGTAAAACAATTTCAAATTCATGCAAAATTCAGCCAAACATATTCTTTTTGGCGATGAGTACAAAAAATGTGTACAAAAAGCTTTCTCGTTTATAAATTGTCTCGGTGCATTTGGTGTCTCGTCATCAATTTTCAATCAATCGAGGTTGTTGAAGAGCAAAATTTTTCTAGTCATGTTAACCAACATTTCAATAAGCGTTCTCTTGCCTCTGGTCAATAACAGAATTCTTAGTAGAGGATGTTACAATTTGATATAAGGTGGAAAAATTGCTTGGCAAGGTTGCCACGGTAAAGTTAAAGGTGACTTGACTTGTATCCACAAATGGCCATCCATAACACCAACATAGACGTAAAATATTTGAAAGTTCATTTCCAGTTAGACCATAATCAAAAAACCAAAAACTTAGTCAATTTACAAAACTTATAAAAGATTGAAAGCAATAGACATTTAACAAAAATGGGATTCACCCTTTGGATGAATCCCTGCAACTGAAGTTGCTTTTTTTGTTTGCGGCGATGTCTTGAGTATTTCAATACTCGATATAGCCTTTGGCTTTGCAGATTAGGTTACGATTATGTTAAATAGTCCGAGTTCACGCACTTTTGTGCGATGGGATAGCTTAGAAGCTCTTCCCTGACCGGGTTCGATCCGCAGACCTTTGGATTGTCATCCCAAGCCTTTGCTCACCTCACCACTGGTCAGGGTGAAAGGTTAGCTTCTTAATTGCATTATATTCAAATCATATTTTTAAATTAAAGGATTTCATCTGAAACTCATCATTAGGAATCAGGTTTAACTATCGCTTAGTATTTCAAGATCCTTTAATACTTTCCAGCTATCATCACTGACCAGTTGCATGTTGATATTTTCAGTTGTCTTTGAATGGACGTTGTTTTTTAAAATACCATGCTAAATTATTGTACTGGTAACCATGTTAAACAGACTATTAAACACTACTCAATATCAGACAAATGCTTTTCGTATTGAAATTTACATCAAATTTTCCAAGCCGAGCCTTCATTTCAATCTGAATTTCTTATGCATAAATCAACATGATGTTACATAGCATCTGAAAATCATTTAATATCTAAAGATCTAAAGATCATCTTGATTCCTTGTTATTTAAGGTGGATAAGACCAGAATAACACCAATTGTTCTCACAACCGCCCTTCAAATTCAAACTTACCGTATAAATACAATATGGGTACAGCTGGTATTGTATTATATATTAGAATCACAATTTAAAATAGATTAGTCAATTTCAAATTCACTAAATATCGATATTGATAGTCACCAGGAAAACGCATTTTTGAACCATTTTTAAAGGTTGAGAAGACGAAAGGATGAATTTATTAGATGTTCTTGTCCAAATTTGTTCTAGAGGATAATCTTCAAGAGCAATTGGCTCATTAATTTTATTTTTTGGTTAAACTTAAATCTACATTCTCTAACACAATCAACAAAGCGCGTAAAATCAAATGTTCATAAAGGCTTTAAAATCCGATAGGTGGAGCCAGCACAAATTTCTAGCAAGCTGCAATTTCATTTCATTTGATAATAACATTGAGCGAGCCGAACAATAATTGAATAAAAAAGAGTCGATTTTCTAAAAATTTAGGCGAAAATCAGAACCAGGATAAAACTTCTGACTGAGTTTGTGATTTAACTTCATCCATTGATTCGGATTCAACTCTTAATGACTTCAGTCAGGCACAAGCTGTTTCGGCTCGTTGGCTGGCTTGCCTTGGCTAGCTATGGTATCTAACCTAGACTCTTCCAGTAGTGCAAAGTTTTAATAAATTCAACATTCTTTATAAGAATTGGTGATTTTCATTTCAATTATATTCGTCATTTACCGAGTTAATCAATATTGTTGAGGAAAATAAGAGACAGTTTTTGCAACTGAAAAGTTGTTGTCGTTTAGGCAAAAGGATAACACAACTTTTACAAATTTACATTCTTTTATTTCATGGTTTTTTGGATAGTAAAAACAATTTAAAATTTATTTAAAATTCAGCGAAACATATTCTTTTTGGCGATGAGTACAAAAAATGTGTACAAAAAGCTTTCTCGTTTATAAATTGTCTCGGTGTATTTGGTGTCTCGTCATCAATTTTCAATCAATCGAGGTTGTTGAAGAGCAACATTTTTCTAGTTATTTTAACCAACATTTCAATTCGCATTCTCTTGCCTCTGGTCAATAACAGACATGTTTAGTAAAAGATGTTACAATTTGATATAAGGTGAATAAGTATTAGAGGTTAGCACGGAATCTCAAAAGTAATTTGTCTTATCAAGACACATGGCCATCCATAATATTTGAAAGTTCACTTCATATCGACCATAATTAAGAAACAAAAGCTTAGTCAATTTACAAATCGCATTTTAAAAGATAGTACAATATTGGACCCAAATTAGACAAAAAATGGGCCACCCTTGCGGGTGGAACCCACCAACTTGCGTTGGTTTCAACCTAAGTTGAAGTTTACTTGGTTTAAATTCAAATGACTTTAAATTCAAGATTTGTTTTTGTTTTAGATTGGTTTTGTTTAGATTTGTTTTTGTTTAGATTTGCTTTTGTTCAAGGTTCATTTTGTTTTTCACCCTGACTGGGTTCGATCCGCAGACTTTGAGGTCGTCACCTCTAGCCTTTGCTTATCTTACCACAAGTCAGGGTATAAGAAATGCTTGTTATTTTCATTATGTTCAAAACATAAGTGCAAATGAAAAAATTTGATTTGAAACTAATTATTAGCAAACAGGTTAGGTTTAGTTGTCCGTGAATGGACTTTAGCTTTTAAAATTTCATAATTGTCACCCAGTAATAAATTATTGTGCTGTTAACCGTGTTTAAACATTACTCAATATCAGACAAATGCTTTTCGGATTGAAATTTACATCATTTTTTTTAGTCGAATCTTCATTTAAATCTGACTTTTTAGACGCAAATTATCAGCGGATCAGATCTGAGGTTTAAATTAACTCTCCATCAATGTTTATTTAGTTCTTATTATCAAATTTAATATCTAATGTTGAGTATCATCAATGAATTTAAAGGTTGATAAGACCAGAATAACATCAATTGTTCTCACAACCGTTCCTTCAAATTGACCCTTACCGTATAATACAATATGGGTATTACAATATGGGTAGCTGATATTGTATTCTGTATTAGAATCACAATTTAAAATAGATTAGTCAATTACAAATTCACTAAATATTGATATTGATAGTCAGTCACCTTTGAACACGCTTTTAAAGTTAAGGTTGAGAAGCCGAAAGGATAAGTTTAGTAGATGTTCTTGTCCAAATTTGTTCTAGAGGGTCATCTTAACGAACAATTTGCTTATTTTTACATTGCATGGCTAGACTTAAATCTACATTCATCAATACAATCAACAAATTGTAAAAATATAAAATGTTTATAAACGCTTTAAAATGCTTGATCCGATAGGTGGCGCCAACACATAATTTTAGCAAGCTGCATTTGATTTCATTTGATAATAACATTGAGCGCGCCGAACAATAATTGAATGAAAAAGAGTCGATTTTCTAAAAATTTAGGCGAAAATCAGAACCAGGATAAAACTTCTGACTGAGTTTGTGATTTAACTTCATTCATTCATTCGGATTCAACTCTTAATGACTTCAGTCAGGCACAAGCTGTTTCGGCTCGTTGGCTGGCTTGCCTTGGCTAGCTTTGATATCTAATCTAGACTCTTACCTTGTTTTGATGGGAGCTTCAACAAAACAGTTGTTACTAAAGTTTAATGAATTTATGTGTTTCAATCAAAATGATTATGTTTATTAAATAAAGATACTTCCTTCACTCTTTGGTTATTATGGAAAATGACGTTAAAATGAATTTCTTAGGTGGTGAAGTGAAAGATTTACCCTGGGTCAACAAACGAGACCGAAATAACCTGAACTTAACCAAAGATGGTAAACCAGGAGAGTTTATTATTAAAACATTGTTCAATGAGTTTGTAATTTCAACCGAGAAAAAGATTGACTTTGTATTGACAAATGATACTTTGGAAAAGCCAATATCTAAATCCCTACAAAAGGGTGAGGATAGTGTTTTTGACCAACTTTTAATTGCCCTTGGATCGGTTGCAGAACATTGTTTACCTTCTCTGTTGTCTACTTTGTTTGCCTGGTATGATAGGCAGTTGATAGCTACAGCTGATTACATTGAAACCAAAGGATTCAAAGCCAATCTATCTGACTCTCAATCTAAGGGTACTAATAAAAGTTCCTCCTCTGGCTGTGATATCTATGAAAAATCTGAACAACTTTATACCTTGGAGAAACGAGATCTTTGTGTTGAATTTATTTTCTGTCTATTCCTGATAGAAGTTCTTAAGCAACTTCCCCTCCATCCTGGACATGAAGATTTGATCAGTCATATAGAGAATCTCGCTTTCAAGCATTTCAAGTATCGTGAAGGTGCCAAAAATGATCCCAACTATCAAAATATCAACATTGTTGCTGACCTTTATGCCGAAGTCATCGGTGTATTGGCTCAAGCCAGATTCCATTCTGTTCGTAAACGGTTCATGGCTGAGCTCAAAGAATTGCGAAGTCGAGAGCCGAGTATGGTCACTACCCAGTCCATTATTAATCTACTTATGGGCATGAAATTTTTCCGCATTAAAATGGTTCCTATTGAACAATTTGAAGCGTCTTTCGAGTTTATGCACGAATGTGCCCATTACTTCATTGAAGTCAAAGATAAAGATATCAAGCACAATTTAGCTGGATTGTTTGTTGACATTCTTTCACCAGTTGCTGCTACGGTCAAAAATGAAGTCAATGTTCCTTGTCTTAAAAATTTCGTTGAGATGCTTTACCCGTTGACTCTGGATTTGTGTGTTAAAAAGAAACACACTTATGCCCTTTTCCCTCTGGTAACATGTTTACTATGCGTTTCTCAGAAACAGTTTTTCCTTAAAAATTGGCACTGTTTTCTTTCCATGTGCCTTTCTCATCTTAAAAATCGCGATAGTAAAATGTCCAAATTAGCAATGGAATCGCTTCATCGTTTACTATGGGTTTACATGATTCGTATCAAGTGTGAATCAAATACTGCTACCCAATCCAAGTTGCAAAGTATTGTTTATTCATTATTTCCGAAAGGATCCAAAGCTGTTGTGCCCAGAGATGTTAATTTAAGCTTTTTCGTCAAAATAATTCAGTTTATTGCTCAAGAAAAATTGGATTTTGCTATGAAAGGAATTGTTTATGATTTACTTTCAGTTGACCGTCCAATAAAAGTGATTTTTGCTCCTGAGCGAATGACAATTGGTTTGAGAGCATTCATTGTGGTTGCCGATAGTCTACAACAGAAAGAAGGTGAACCGCCAATGCCTCGAACACCTGGAGTAATGCCTTCAGGAAACACCCTCCGAGTGAAAAGAACCTATTTAAACAAAATGTTGACTGAAAGAATGGCCAAAAATATTGGTGTCAACGATTACTATCCTCATGTACTAAAATCTCTTAACGATATTCTCAAAGCTTTAGATCTACAATTTGGTAAACCATTAATGCTTACCACAGTCCAAAACATAAACAAAGAGCCTGATGACATGATAACTGGTGAAAGGAAACCTAAAATAGATCTCTTTCGAGCTTGTATTGCAGCAATACCACGTCTAATTCCCGATGGTATGTCCCGCACCGATTTAATTGATCTACTTTCACGATTAACTGTCCACATGGATGAGGAACTAAGAGTCTTGGCATGGCAAGCTTTACAGCATATCATAAACAATTTTCCTGAATGGAGAGATGATGTTGTTGAAGGTTTCATCAACTTTATTTTATCTGAAATCAATGACACTTTTCCTCAACTGTTAGATAATGCTCTTCGAATGTTACTCCAGCTTCTTGCCAGTTGGAAGACTTCTATTCAAGCTAGTGGAACCAGCAAGTCTCCTGATGAAGCAGAACTTCTTACATGTAAAGGACAACACACTATACTTATTATTCATCGATTGGAAGCTATTGGTTTGGTTATGCTTGTAAGCTGTCGTCAACCAACCCGACGTTTGGCTGCTAATTTGTTAAAAGAAACTCGAAGCTTGTTGAAATGTTTTTCTTCTGTAGCTGAATCAGAAGATCCTGTGCTTGATGTTATTGATAGGATTCGACCATCTGTTTTAGAAAATTGTCTTCACACAATTCCTGCTTCTGAAAGAAGTGTAATTACTTCTTCTTCGTACAATGTTGATATTCAATGGTTGGCAGATCGCACCGGCTCTGCTTGGTTAACTGTTACTAATGAAAATGAAATTGAAATTAATCGATCAGCTGCAGAAATAAGGGCTGATTCAATGATTAAAATGAATGCCTGGTCTTCCATCATTACAGGTTTAATGTCTGAAGTTTCCAAAGTTTGTACTTCAGCTACATTTTTCGCTTGGTCTTTAGCATGTCAGCGTCTTAATTACCTTACTGTTCATATTGATACTACATCTATCAACGACAATCGAGCCTCAGTGCTACTCAGAGGAGCTTCTTCAAATGTTAAAAAATCTCCTAATGAACGAGATGCTTACCTTGCTCTATGGAAAAATTATCTCATGTTTGCCTGCTCAATTGTTCCTTCTAGTTCCTCAGTCTCAAGCAATGCCAAATTGATGTCGCACGATTTAAGCTCATCTCCAGACAGTATGGCTTCTGAACGTTCATTGGACAATAAATCACCCTTAAGCAGAGGAATCAGTGCTTCATGTTTATTTTCACAAATTTTGCCTCACATTAAAAATGAAAATAATGAAATTAGAAATGCAGCAATCTTTGGACTTTCACATATCAACCCATTCGCAGTGAAAGAATTGATGGAAGAATTGATTCCATATATAAGAGAGGCAATCGATCGTAACAAGGAGAATAATAGAAAAAGAAAATTGCGAGAATTTTTACGTATTCAGTTGGGAATTTTACTCGAACTTTTGGCTGGCAGAGGAATCTTTGGTCTCAATTCAGCAACATTAGATCGAGAAGCAGATGGACTGAATAATACGTTTGTTGAATATATTGACGGTCTTCGTCTTTATTTAGAAAACGAAAATGACAAGGAAAATCCAAATATCCTTGAAATTCGTATTAAATTTTGTGGATTCATCAATAATCTAGTTAAATCGTTTCCCTTGGAAAGTCGATCAAAACTCTTGAGTCGTGATTTGAGAGCCAATTTATTCCAGTTATTTGCTTCTTGGTCAGGAAAATACAGCCAATGTCTAATTGACTCAAAGACAACTCAAAATATCATCGGCAACACATCATCTGAACTTGAGTTCATGGCTCTGGAAGCTATGTCTTCAGTTCTTGCCTGTGGACATGTTTTTGATAATTCATATCTATTAGAAGACAGTTCAGTTTACACTTGGCTTCGAGGTATCCTTGCATCGTCCGATGAAAAAGTGACCAAACTTGCGCACGAAACCATTGTCCTTCTTCTTGAATTCAACCCAGACACTGGACCTCTCCTCGACTGGTTGGTTGATGCATGTTACTCACAAAAAGTATCGGTTTCTGACAGCTGTTTTACTGCAATTGCCACCATTTTCAGTCTTCGTGACTATCCATGTGACCATTACATTGCAATAATAAATGTAACTCTTATGAATGTTGGAAGTCCGAGAGCAAACATTTCAGAAATGGCTTTTAACCTGCTCCAGATTCTTGATCATCGTTTCTTTGGTTCAGGCAAAAAATTGGCTCTGAATGATGACTTTGAAAAACCAGAAAAAAACATTTCCAATTTTGAAAAAATTTTGGAAGATGATGAACCAGAAGAAGTGTCTGATGAAGAAATTTCTGGCGTTCAGTTGAGAAAAAAGGACAACTCTAAGCACGAATTCAAGCCTTTCGAACCACTGCTAAATTCGAGTTTTCCTCTCAATCAATCAGAACTGTCTCAAAGAATGGCCAAACTCCATGCTGACCTTACGATGCCATTTTTCTCTGAAATTACTTTTCGCCTTCAAATGGCACGTCCATCTATTTGCCGTAACATGCTTGACTATCTTAAACCTTGGTTAACTGATATGGAACTTGTTGATTCCTATGTTATCCCACAAACTAGTCCACTTTTAAATAATTACAATTCTAATCATGACTGTGATGATCATTTACCTAAAGGATGGGGTTGTGCCGAAGCAACAGAAATGGTTTTAAACAATTTATTTTACATAACAGTTAAATTCGGTGATGAGTACTCTAAAGAGATTGAAAAGCTTTGGTTCTGTTTATGTTCCAAATTTCCCAACAATATGAGAATAATTATAAGATATTTGTTTATTGTTACTGGTTTATCACCAAATGAACTTCTTCCATTTGCCAAACGAGTTGCTCTTTACATGGCACGAGTTCGCCCCGAAAGGTTTATTGATGAAATGATGGTTGAACTACAAACAGTTGAATATCTTAATTGTGTCATAGAACGAACCGAGACTCCACCATTTTTCCGAATAACTGCCCGCAAAGAAAATGGCCATTCAGAGGAAGGAACTGTAACCGCAATAAATTTTGAAGGAAGCAACCGAATCTCGATGAACCTTGAACAAGGTACATTACATACTAAAAGACATTCAACTGAAAGTGGTGCCGCTGATCGAATTTTCGCATCAGTTGAAAATGCATCTTCACAGGCAACAGAAAATTCAACTGGATCAACCGTTTCTGGAGGAATTAGTACCAACAGAATAGATCGTCTTTCTTCCATGACTGAAGATCCTACAGTCATTTCATTTGCCTCAGTAACTGAGGAAAGTCTAATGCTTCTCGCTCGTGTCGCCGAATCTGAAGTTTGTCAACCATCTTCAAGACAACCACATCCCTTGCCTATGCCAGAGTTTGGTGGTTATTATGCGCCATTAACTGAATTTTTGCCCGATAGCTCACAGCCTGTGGTTGGCTTCCATCGATGTAACCTTGCTCTCATTTTACTGTGTGATGTCGTCTCTGATGGAATACCCATTGATTGGTCTCCGCATATTCCAATCATGCTTAACATTATCTTCCTTGGTCTTGATCATCCCAAAATATTGGTCCACGAACATTGTAAACAATTGCTTCTTAACTTGTTGATAGTTTGTTGTGTTCACAATGACCCATTAACCATAAGTCGAATTATGTTGAACAACAAGACAGCTCGTTTAAAGTATAATTTAACCATTAACCCAGCCATACCTGAACCAATACCCAACTTTACTGAACCTCCTGCTGATCGTACCAACAACTTGTTAACTGATTGTTGTCTTAGTCAGTGTCGTTTAGGGCGTAAATGTTTCGACATGCCTTCCAATCCATCTTTAAATGACATGGGAAAAGAGAATTGGTCTGTTCCTTCTGAAGACGTTAGTGATAACTGTTCTAATAATTCATCTGATGAACAATTGAATAGCTCAATGAATTTGGAAATGTTGGTTAAATGTTTAATTCAATTTCTTGACTTTAAACGAGGCTCAATACTCTGGAACTGTGAAGACATTACAGCCAAAGTTTGGTCTGTCCGAAGTGCTGCTCAATTGTCTTATTTTCTTGAACATATTCTCCTCGTTTTCAAAGAATCACTTGTTCGAGGTCACATCGAGGAAAGGTGGGCTGAAGTTGCTCTCCAATTAGCATTGTCTTGTTCCTCTCGCCATTATGCCGGTCGATCATTGCAAATTTTCCGAGCTATTAAGCTTCCAATAAACTCGAGAATGCTTTCAGATATTTTATCTCGTCTTGTTGAAACGGTTGCTGAACCAGGTGAAGATATGCAAGGTTATGTGACTGAACTTATGTTAACCCTTGAATCAGCTGTTGACTCGCTCAATTCGGAGCGTCATATTCTTAGTGAATACATAAAAGCCTTGTTCAAGAATCGTTCAGCTCATTCAGGTCCAGATCAAGGTGATGATCGAGGCGGATCTTCACCAACAGCTCCACCTCCATCAAGTGCTTCAAGCCAAGCAACAGTAACTTCAAGCAGTTTTCCCAACTCTAGTTACATGACAGCACAACACTTGGATCGTTTGAATCACGCTGATAGAATGAATCGAAGCATCTCTATCACTATACCTGAAAGAAAATCAGCAATTTCCATGGGATCGCCAAACATAGAGCATCGAGAAATGAGGTTTAGAAGCAACACAGAGGTTGACTTTCGAATGGCTCATCGACACTCTGCTGACTACAATTTTGGTAGATCTCGAAGTGCTCAATCACTTAAAACTGGTGAAGATCAAATAATGTCTTCAGAAGATCGTATATCCTTGTTGGCTCAATTTTTCTGGATTTCAGTGGCTATGCTTGAAACTGATTATGAACATGAATTTTTACTTGCTCTTCGATTGATGGAGAAAATTCTTGCCTACTTTCCATTGGAACGAAATGATACCCAAGAAAAGGTGGAAAAGGTTATTCTACAGTCTAAATGGATTAACTTTCCTGGTGTTCATGCAATGTTACTGAAAGGTTGCACTTCAACCGCCACTTATCAAGCAACCATCTATTTGCTTCATCGTCTAACACCATTTTTAGACTTATCATTTGTTGATCCAAGTGAAAACATCGATTCATTTCCTTTCAACGTATTTGCTTTGTTACCTTACATGTTGGCAAATTATGACGATCCCAATGCTCTTTGTATTCATGTAAGTAAAACCTCCTTAAACGTCTACATATAATGGATGAGATTGTTTAGTAAAAGTGTGATGGTAATTGTGAAATAATTCATTAGTTAAAGACCATGTCAGAATGAACAGCAGTAAATGCTTTTTTCTAATCACTTTGAGCCTAATCTTTTATGCTCATCTCTTGTTTATTAATGTTAATATTCAAGTCATTTTTTTCATCTGCCGTGGAAGATATTTTAGTCAAAAAACAGAGTAATCGTGATTGGAAAACTATGAAAATGAATGAAAAAATGGTTCTTCTTTATTCTGAAAATATGTAACAATAGCAAATCACCAATTTGAATCTGCAATAAAATGCCAAAAAATCTGTATACAAAATAATATGAGTTCAGACTAGATGAGAAGAAAAGATTAAGAAAAATTTAACTTTAGGAAAACAAATTGGCTTCCAAACTTTTCTGGTTTATTTTCATCTAATTTTCACTCGTTCTTTTCTTTTTTCCCATTGTCTCACTTTTTCCTGTAGGCTTCCAAAAAATTTGCTGAATGGTGCACCACAAAGGTTGAAACCGGAACACAAAACATGGAAAACTTGGCTACTGTAATGACCTTATACAGTAAAAAGGCTTTCAGCAAAGAAAGTTTCCAATGGACTAAATGTGTTGTTAAATATTTATTTGATGCTTATCCATACAACTTTCCATCTCTAGTAACATTCCTTGTTGAGGTAAATTTAAACCTTTTGCCATAAAATTTATAGCATAAACACATTGCATTACAAAAGAGCATCTTTATTAATTTTAAAATAAATTTAGCTTAGTTTTTTAATTATTAGACTCGAAAAGGTTAAGGACGACAGATGAAGACATTATTATTAGACAATTTAATATTGAAAATTCGCTTTCATGGCGTTTTGATATTTAAAGCAAACATCTAATAATTTCTCATTTAAATTGACAGGTCTTGGATAAAGGTCCATCTTCTTTGAGCAGCCACGTTCTGTCCATTTTACATTGCATGCTGCATTATATGGACATCACTACTTCTTCATCATCTTTAAATAACGATTTATCCAAAATTGTTCATAAATATATTGAAGGACCTCAGTGGAAGGATTCACTGAAAATATTAAAACTCGTCGTTGCACGATCTTCAACACTTGCAGCTGCTCCTTCTTACACTTCATCCAACATTGCCTCAATATCATTATCATCTTCTTCAACCATATCAGGCACTACACCATCCTACTCTTCAATCATCCCGGCTGACACTGTTAGCATAGCTTCTGGTGCGTCATTTGCTGATTCAGAGTTTGGTATTCGCCGAGAGTTGCCCGGTCGTACCATTGAGTTTTCCTTTGATTTGACTCAAACCCCGATTGTTGGTCGAAAGTACATTGTAGATGAAAAGAAGAATACAGCAAAAGATGACGAATTCAAACAGCCACAAACGCCACAACAGCAACAGTCACAACAGACTTCCGAGAGTGAAGAAGATAATACAAAAGAAGTAAACAAAACCAAAGCAAGTGGAGTTGATTCAGCTTCAACTAATAATCCAGCTTCACCTCGTCGCAGTCTTTCATATAATCATTCATTTAATGAAGGCTCCAACTGGAAGCGACCCTGGTTATCGCAGTCAAGAACACGGGAAAAGTTGATTGGTTTACTGCGTAGTTTTGGCAAAAGTGTCGGTCTTCCTAAATCACCGTCTGTTATATTTAGTCAAAATAGTGACATCATCGAGAGACAGTCTTCCATGGGATCGAGTGAGGAAGATATAACCAATACCAATAATGATGTTTCCGCAGAGAGTAAACACGATGACAATGGTAATAGCGATCAATTTGGTCTCTTCAAAGACTTTGATTTCCTCGAATATGAATTGGAAAGTCAAGAGGGCGAAAGTATGGATAACTTCAATTGGGGAGTTCGACGTCGATCTTTAACCAATCTTGATGATACTCCTGAAAATGATTTGCGAACTGGAAGTCCACATCAAAGTGATATTGTTCCCAGTAAAGATGAAGCTTCCTCTGATGAGGAGGGTGACTATGTTTCACCTACTTCCTATGATGGACTCAATGATCTCTCTATTTCTACACTTTACTCAAATTCTTGAATGTTTTTTATTCCAACAAAATATCAACATTTTTTTAACCAATGAGTAAACAAATAATATTTTACTCTATCGCTAAATGATGAATAAATTAACCCGAAAACCAAAATGCAACATTGTGGCTAAAGACAAGCAATATTAATCTCTTAACAAAATTAAATTTTGTGCTTAATTCTTCCAAGAATCAGAATAATCGTTATTTAATTTGTTTGCTCTTTCATTCTGATTCATTATATCAATAACTTTCAATTTTTTTCATCTCATAAATGATGATCACGTTATTTTGTTGTCATTTTTTAATTTATATTAAAAATAAATATTAAATTTACCATTAACCCAGTCTCTTAATGAGCTTATTATTAATACACTCTTTATTTGAATACATTCAGAGATTGATCGATCTCATCTTAAAATTATTACAGCTATCAAAATTTTCTGGTTTCTGGTTAAGTGAAAGTAGACGGTCAAAATGTAAGCTGTCACCTCGGACGAATCCAGTATTTATTGTAATAAAGTTTATTTCATTTCAAACATTTCGCTGAAAGTTCAATGTCAATATATTGATGCATTTTGGAGCTATGTGCTATTTGGAAAAGCGTGCGTTAGCTCATAGTATAAATACTATTTTGCACCGATCGTTAACCTAACGTTATGTGGAATGAATATGGAAAAAATTACTCTTCTGCATTGTCAACATCTAGTGTTGTCGATGTTATCGACGCTTTTTTGTCCATCATTTGCAATGGTATATTCATTTGAGTTGGTCGACGGGGACGATCATAGCTGAATGTCGATGAGCTTGAAACTATTGAATGATTATCTGTGGGCTGGGAAACGACTGGTGTTGAATGGACTTCATTTTTGTCATGGCCACAATTAAACAAAATGTAAACAAAGTAACAGCAACCAAAACAGTCGATGCATCTTAAACCAGGCCAGACGGGTTTCCATTTAGAGGGTTTACTTTTAATTTCACTCGATTCCAGTTGATCAACATTGTCGATCACTTCACTAAAGTCACTGTAATTTATTGAATCTTGTTCAGGCTCTTCCATATTTAAATTAAAAAAAAACGAGATTTATTTATCCACTAAGGTTAAACCAGAGCAATGGGAGTAACTGTTGACTTGTTTTTCATGTTTAACAAGAGTTCATGATTGATCAATGTGTAAGAATAAGGCAAAAAGATTGTCAACTCATTTAACGGTTATTAAGTAAATTAATACTAATTGTGTATTAACAATGGCACTTTTTAACTGTCATTGTTAGGGAAAGACACTGCATGTTCCCTGTACACCATTGTGCTTCAGATTTAGCACAAAATACATTAGGATGAATAAAGTTGAACAATCAGTACTAAATCCACTTTTAAATATGTAAAGGGTTTTCATTTAAGTTTGTCTTGAAGGCAAAAGCTGAATGAGCTCTATTGGTCAGTCATTAACACCATCTATTGGGTTGTGAAAATCAACAATTGTTACTTAATTAAATTTAATTTTTTTAAATTATTCAATAGATGGTGTTGATTTTTGTTTTTCTGTGTCTAATGGCTGGTTATAAATGTTATAAAATGGTCTCAAAATGTTACATGTATTTTCATTGACCAGTTATTGAAAGATAGTTGATTATTGATATACTGAAAGCAAATGTTTCAAAATTAATTTTAAGTAAATGATTTGTATGTTCTTGTGCATTGATTTGCGTAAATTAATGGTAAATCGATTGGACTTATTTTAACAGCTCAAATAAGAGTTTAAATAAATTGTATAAAGTGTCTCCAGTAGCAATAAATATATCATTTACTTGAATATTTAAAAAAGGCATTGATCAACAATGGATAATGTTTCTATTGGTCAACATCATTAAAATTAACTTTTATTCAGATCTGAACGACTAAATTCATTACATCAATATTTAATGCAACTTTAGCGACAATTTTAATAGCTTTTCCATTTGTATCATTGATGAAAGACAACACTTTGAATCCTTTTTCAGTTCGTTTAACATTGAAAAATTTATTCTTATTCTTTAATCAGTTTACTCACTTTGGGTTAAGACGAAAATGTCTGACATTGCGATTTTGAAAAGTTTATTGAGCAAAAATGAAATGATTTACCCACCAATTTCCATCGACTCATTCTCCTCGAAATGGAATCTAATGACTTCATCAACAAACGGAATAATAGGAAATCTCTTGTTTCTACTGACAGCTGGTCTGATGGTCGCGAGATACTTAATTAAATTGCCGACTATTTCATTAGAATCAACATTTACCATCAATCCTGCAGAAGCAATGTATTCAGCGATTAAAGTTTTCGTTCTCACTTTATTCCACTTCAAATACAATCAAAGATTTTTCGATGAAATCATAACTCGCTTTAAAGCAATAAACATTGATTTCGATGATCAAACTCGAAAATATTTCTGGACTCGTCGAGCAGCTTATAGAATATTAATGCTCCTCGGTTACATGCCTCGAGTTTACTATTGCATCGTCATTTACAAGTATTCTTGGCCTCATCAATCTAGCGATCAAACTCCAAAACTGTATTCTATCTCTGCAAGATTGAATGACGATCCGTTAAATTACTGGACATCTCTGTTTGCTTCTTTATTAAGTATTCCTTTGTCGCTATTTCATGACTTGGCTTTTATCGATTTAGCAATGTTGGTTCAATCGGCTCTTTATTATATCAATAACCAAGTGACTGCTATCAGTAAAGAGATGAACATTGATGGAAGTAAATTGGACTGTAAGGCTGTGAAAACACTTCGATGGCAATACCTTTTGGTACATCGATTAGTTGATAAATCAAGTTCGCTCACGAATCTTTGCACATTTGGTTTGATTAGCTATTATATGACCTTCTTCATCTTTTGCTTTTACACTTTGGCATTTGACGATCACATTTTACCAATCAAAATAAGTACGATATTACAAACTTCAGGAATACTTATTGTACTCTGTTTGATTATTCATGCGGTTGTAACAATTTACACCAAATCTCAAGAATCTTTGCCCACTTTGTACAAATTATCATTTGAAACTGAGTCATTTCAAATTCTGAATGAGGTGAGTACTTGAAAAGAAAATATTTTATCAAATTTTTACATCAATATATTAATTGAATCTCGTTTTTCCTCAGATCTCTCTATTCCTTTATCGTATCGGATTCAATGACGTTGGATTCTCGTTTGGCGGAATTTTCATGATTACTCCAGATTTTATATCAACTTTGGCTGCTGTAACAATAACAGTTATCATCGCTATCCCGTCATTCGTAGTTCCATCTTCATAAAAGATAACTTAAAACGACATGGATTGAAAGTAATCCAATCTTGCAATGCTTTATATGCCTGCGCGATACATGTCATGATTTGTAAATAAAACTCAAGATAATTGTGCTTAATTAATGCTTTATCTTTTATTTCATAAGTATAATGGCTTTACCAAATAATTTTAAACAATTGTCTCAATATAATTGTTTTTATTGCTAAACCATACAATGATTCTAATTGATTAATACCAGTTTTAACTTGATTTATTAATTAAGACGATTCAAGCAAAAGTAAGCTTATTGTGCAAAAGGATCAGCAATTAACATGCCAGAGTCTGAAACAACAATCGAACCAGTCATGTTGCTTGCCGCATCAGATGCGAGGAAAGCTATTGTATTGGCTATTTCTATTGGTTCAGCAAGCCGTTTCATTGGTTGCAATGAAGCTGCACGTGCCCTAAAGGCTTCCAGATCGGTTAGCTCTCGTTGAAAGTTCGTTCGAGTTACTCCTGGATTAACTGAATTTACTCGAACATCAGGAGCCAGTTTACCAGCCATGCACTTCGTAAACATATCAAGAGAAGCTTTTGACATACAATAAGACCAAACTGGTGGAATCTGTAGATGAAACAAAAACAAAATTAAGACATTCAGTTTGCTTGTAAAACCATTTTATTAATACTCACTGGTTTTAGGCCTACAATACTTGAAACATTAACAATAGCTCCTTTGGTTTGCTTCAAGTGTGGTACAGCCAATTCAGTAAGACGAACAACAGCTCGAACATTAATCTGCATAATTCGATCATATTCATTCATAGCATCTGGTTCACCAAATCCTTTGGTTCCATCAATAGCAGCATTGTTTACTAAAATATCCAAAGTTTTATAAACAGAAATGGTTTTTTCAAAGGTTCGAACCACGTCTTCATCTCTAATAAAATCAGCCTTGGTAACAACAGGCTTGTAGTGATGAGGTGACTTTGATTCACATTCAGCAGCAACTTTATCCAGTTTACTTTGATCACGTCCAACTATGGATACTTTAGCTCCTAAAGATGAGAAGAGTATAGCTGTTGCAGCTCCAATCCCATCACTTGAGCCAGTAATTAAGGCTACTTTATTGTTTAAATTGATCATAATGTAAAATTGACTGTGATTACACTTAATAATAAACAGTTGAAGTAAACAGAGTGAATGTAACTATCAGTTTATTTTTTGAATAACAACTCGAGACAACGATTGTCTTTAAATACCAATTGGATGGATTTTATACCCATAATAGCGATGAAATAAAGAGGTGGGTTTTGGGGCACATGCTCATTATAAAATGTGGACTTGTTTTCAGAAATTTTAGAGTCGAAGGTACTCATTAAAGCATCGATAAAATGTTTATTCTGTTTAAGCCGTTATTATCTACCGTCTGCGCAAATTGAGGCACTTATCAGATTGAATTTTCACTTGACAACAGTCAGCCACTTACCAAGTTGCGACGCACTTACAGTATCCTTGCCTAGTGCTTTGATTAATTGTTTCCTTTCAGTTCATTGATTGATGATGCAAGTTGATAAATACAGAGTTTGCCTAATTTGATTACTTCATTGCATTTATCATTACCAGTTTCAAATTGTTTGCAAGTTAAGATTATTTACAATTATATTTCCCGTTTCATATTGTGTAATTAATCAGTAGATTTATCCGGGAATCCCAGAGTTGATACTGATTGTAGATTACTGATTCTTTAATGAGTACCTTCGACTCTATGATTTCTTGTAAACAAGTCCATATTTTATAATGAGCATGAACTCAAAAGCATTTTGAGCATGAATTTGCCGTCGCAAGTTTTTATTCAAAAGGTAAACGGATAGTTACATTCACTATGTTTATATCAACTATTTATTAAGTTAATATTAATATTATTAAGTATAACCACAGTCCTGGTGATAAAAAAGCCATAGTTGGACATGATCAAACTGAACTGGATAAAGTTGCTGCTGAATATAAAACAAAATCACTTCATCACTAAAGCCTCTTGTAATATTAATAATAAAAGCTGAATTTAAAAAGATATTTTGGTAAGCAATGCTGGTGTTGCTTGTAATAAAAAGCTTTGTGATCCTGGTTATCTTGATGATTATGATCAAATAATCCATGTAAATGTTCGAGATATTATTCAATTAGCTACAGCAATTCAGCGAATCTAAAGGTCTATTATAAAAGTCGGTAGCGCTGGTAGTTTTCACGGGCTAAGGGTCAACATGGGACATTTAAATTGAGATGCAATCAGGTTAATCTTTTAAAATTAAGTCTAAGATTTATAATGATGATTGAACTAACTGTTAGTTACTACAAAGTTAAATAACTTTGATTACGAAGATTTTCAAGTAGAGATTTTGTAGCTTGTTGAAATATAGAATCTTATAAAAGATATCACAAAAATTATTTTGTATAACCACATACTGATAACTATTATAATTAAAAATTAATTAAAATTTAAAGCGAAAAATCAAGAATTCAATTTCGCTTTTTTGGTCGACTCTCTATGCTCAACTTGAAATGAAAAATTCATGAAATTATTCGTTTTGCCTTCCTTTTATGGATGGCTCACTCATTCATTGTCAAAAATCAATCAAATTCACCTAATAATTAAAAAACATTTGCCGAGCAAATCAAAGGGTTCCCTTTGTGATGAATGAATTTTAAAGTATTATTATTCATTAAATTAATGTATCACTTTATCTAATGAAATTAAAATAAGTTATTTCAAACCAAATCAAATTATTGAGAGTAACCTTAATACGACGAAAAAAATTATCGGAGAAACTTTTGTTCCAATTTGATTGAGAATATATGGGTGTTTTGTTCAGTATTACTTGGTTTCCTCTGAAGATGAAAGTAGTACAATACTAGTCGGTCAAAATCCAGAAAGTAATACTTTTCAATGAATGTAAACTTTGATGTTCCTTCTTCAACAAGTTCAAAATATCATAGTCTCATGATAATTCACAGAAGACAATGCAAGCAGTGCTATCGAAAAAGTTGTAGTAATGATCAGAAAATCAGAAATTTTGTCAGGGTGTTTTTCACATTCATCTTAATGCATTAAAACGCTTTGACATTATTCTACCGTCATGATCACTAGTAGTTATAAAATGTCCGGAACAGTTCCAAAACTGTTTTACCAGGCCAAAACAGTTTTACTGGGCCAGGCCACTCTAGGCCAAAGCCCGGGTCTAGACCAAAAAAAATTGTCAACTCTGAGCCAAAAACTGAGTAACTTTTTCGCGCGCGTCACCCTTTCCCACGGTAAGCTTTCCCACGGTTAGTCAAAACTAAAAATGAAACATTTACTAAGTAAATAAAAACAAACAAAAGGGATGAAATTAAATGAAATTAAATGAAATTTATTGATTTTCAAATCTTTCGGCAATCTTTCCTCTGGAACCTGAGTTAGTCTTTGGAGTTCCTTGAAACAATATTGTGCAAATGTCAAATATTTGGCATCCATTATGCCTAACATTTGCTTTAGTTGCAAATTTTCTTCATACAACCTTTCAGCTTTGACAGCTTCAATATTTAATGCTTTATCCATCCGCATTATCTCTTCTTTAGATTGTTTTACCACTTTGGCACTTTTATATTTGATTGTATCTTTACAAACTTTATGTAAAGTTTGTTCTACAATATACTTCACAAAATCTTTATGCTGCTCCGGTATGGATGCATACATTTCCATAACTTTAATGATAGTTTCAATTTTGCCTGCGATTGGCGATGGTTTCTCCAGTGCAGTAAGTAAATTAAATACTCCAGTAGCTGGCGATGAAGATGATGAAGATGATGATGTTGATGGTGTTGGCTCCATAATATAGCACAAATAAATTGTAATTAAACAAGAAAAAGTGATAGAACTAAACACAATGGCAATGTAATTAAACAAGTTGGTCAAATGTTAAGATAACAATGCCATTGCTTCTTCGATAGCGTTGCTTACACTTTCTACCATGATTTGTCGTCTAGTATTGCACCCCGTCATCTTCAGAGAAAACGAAGGAATGCCGGCCAAAACCATCCAGTATACTTTATCATGAAGCAAAATTTTCTCTGAAAACTTTAATCATTAGTGAGCAATCAACTTTTGGCTCGTCTTCATGAGACCGCTTTTTTTACATTAGATTTTTACATTTACATTTCCTTCTACTTTATTGTATCAAAAGCAGTGTAATAAAATGCTGAAAGTGGTCATTCAATTGAAAATCAAGTCCAATGAAGGTCACCACACCAGAGATTTGCACCTTCCCCCCCACAATAAACACTCTCATTTATTAAACCAATGTAACGAGTATAACGTTGTACTCTTCAGTAGAGTTGATTGACGTCGTAATATAACTTTCAATTAGCCAGATCCGGAATCAATTCGTAAGATATTCCCATGATTATTCATTTAGAAGCTATTAGATATTAGCTTCTAATGTATAAGAAAAATTTTCTCACCTTAGTTGTGCTCAATTAATTATTTTCTAAATAATCTTTAAACCAACTTATAAACATAATAAGTAATTTTCACCAACTCCGTACTGTTTAAAAGATCAGTAAAAAGGAAAGCTTCTACAGAAGATCCAATAACGAATCAAACATTTTACAACAAAGTCTAGTTCAGCTTGAATCAAACAGACAGTGGAATAGCAAATAACCTTTCAACTGTTTCATCGAAATGTCTCGATTTGTCTCGTATTTAATTTTCTAGTTTTTCTCCGAATTACCAATGGAAACTCAGGTTAGATCCTCTTTTTAGGGTGACGGTAGGCTTCAATTTGCTTTTGACATCTAAATTGACGATACTTCCAAGCAAATTTTGCTGAGATTTCTCTTTTTCAATGCGCTCTCACGAGGAAAGAGAGCTTTTCGTTACGGTTTCAACATGTTTTAATTGGTGCTCCAAGTTAATTTCGTTTTTTTGGTTCATCAGAAATATTTATTGGATTTTGACGATACTTTCAAGCAAATTTTGCTGAGATTTCTCTTTTTGAATGCGCTATCACGAGAGAAGAGACCTTTTCTCTACGGTTTCAACATTTTTTAATTGGTGCTCAGCGATAATTTCGCTTTTTAGTTCATCAGTTATATTCATAGGTTTTTGTGCAAATTTTGCTGAGATTTCTCTTTTTCAATGTCCTCTTTTGATGGAAGAGAACTTTTCTCTACGTTTCAACATGTTTCCATTGGTGCTTCGAGTTAATTTCGTTTTTTTTGTTTCATCAGAAATATTTATTGGATTTTAAGTAAATTTTGCTGAGATTTCTCTTTTTTAATGTCCTCTTTTGATGGAAGAGAACTTTTCTCTACGTTTCAACATGTTTTAATTGGTGCTCCGAGTTAATTTCGTTTTTTTTGTTTCATCAGAAATATTTATTGGATTTTAAGTAAATTTTGCTGAGATTTCTCTTTTTCAATGTCCTCTTTTGATGGAAGAGAACTTTTCTCTACGTTTCAACATGTTTTAATTGGTGCTCCGCGGTTATTTCGCTTTTTAGTTCATCAGTGATATTTATTGGATTTTAAGTAAATTTTGCTGAGATTTCTCTTTTTGAATGCGCTATCACGAGAGAAGAGACCTTTTCTCTACGGTTTCAACATTTTTTAATTGGTGCTCAGCGATAATTTCGCTTTTTAGTTCATCAGTTATATTCATAGGTTTTTGTGCAAATTTTGCTGAGATTTCTCTTTTTTAATGTCCTCTTTTGATGGAAGAGAACTTTTCTCTACGTTTCAACATGTTTTAATTGGTGCTCCGAGTTAATTTCGTTTTTTTTGTTTCATCAGAAATATTTATTGGATTTTAAGTAAATTTTGCTGAGATTTCTCTTTTTCAATGTCCTCTTTTGATGGAAGAGAACTTTTCTTTACGTTTCAATTGGTGCTTCGCTCATGAAGAAAGAATTAACCTGATCCGATCGTGAATTTTTAACAAAGAACAGCTCAATTCTCATTCAATTCTCAAAAGCTCAAGGATAGATGTACTATTTAAACTGAATCACTAATAGACCTGAGAACGATCCGATCAAAGATCAATCCTTCATGTACCGATCCGAGCTTGATACGATCTTTTTTCGGGGCGATTAATCAATAAAAGGATCTATCCTTTTTATTTTAGCTTTATTTTATGTTTTTCTCGGTCGAAACGGCAACAATGAGACTGATTAAGAATTTTATCTGCATTATTACACTGTATAAGTATGAAACTGATTTGCTCATCTGTAAAACCAATTACTCTTTTCAAAATGTTTTGAAAGTTCTCATATTGTTTAGTCAATTTCTCAGAACATTCAGACAAACGGGTTTTTCAAACCAAATTGAAAAGGTAGACGCAGTCAGAGTTGGATTTGCAATATGAGTTTTTGGTTTTTTAATTTAAATGTCCGAAAAAAGTACCTACAGAGGTTCCTATCAATGAAATTAATAATGATCTAGAATCAAAAATTGTCAATGCTACACCAAACGGTTTGAAAACCCCGTTTTTCTAAATTTTCTGAGAACTTGACTTAATACTACGAGAACTGTCTAAACATATTGAGAAGCCGACTAAACACTGTGGGAAACGGTTTGGGGTCAAAACAGCCAGGGTCAAAATAGCCAGAGTCAAAATAGCCAAGGTCAAAATAGCCAAAGTCAAAATAGCCAATTTTTGAAATATAAGATTTAACAAAAAGGATACTAAAAGGATAGAGAAAGTAAAAATAGACTTTTTGTTGCAGCTAAAAGATCGTAATTTGAATTGAATTGTTTAATTTAGTTAATAATAATTGATTATTGATAATTGTATATATTTTTAATAATTTAACTTAATTCAAAATTGGCGCCATAAAAACGCCCTACGTTTGATTGAATTCAATTTTTTTCCATTGAATAATTCAGAGAAATCATGGGATCATGAAATTTTTTTTATTTTTGAACTTATGTAGGCCGTAGCTCGTGATCTGAGGTACAATATTGCGCTTATCTCCATAGGAATTGGTTACGTTCGTGCACATAGAGTTTTAACGCTTTGAACAAGTTCAGTGCTTAATTAATTGCCGCAATATTTGTGTAATGCTTCACCGCTCTAAGAAATACCATAGGAGAAATAATACCATTGTCATATTCAGAAGTTAGGTTTAGTATGCGAGCGTTGATTTCTTTGTATTTTTTGCATCCATTGTCAGTTCGAGCACCATAGGCCGCCATCATCAATACGACTTCATAATTATTCTGTTGTTTTATGATATTCTCGATAAATATCCATAGGTTAGCATGATTCCTTCCAACCGCTCTGTTAAATCCAGCATGCCAGCCCTCGACATGATTATTGGTCCTGGGATCTCTGTCATTGAAATGGTTCCATATTTGCAGAGGGAATCGAGAATCATTGCATAAATAGGTATTCTCGAAGTACATTAAAAAAGCAGCCATGGCATCGTCGTCAGGCGCATCTTGCAATATTCAATCATAGGCATCCTTAATGTCCTCAATTTTTAGAAAAGGTAATGCAGATAGCATCTTCACAGTGTTTTTCACACCATCCTCAGGATCATCGGCTTTATAGCGAGTTATCAATCCATGTTTGCCAATGTTTCGCCATAGACTTTGACCGAAATGGAATAAACAACTTTTAATTTCACATAGAGGGAAGATTGTTTGAATGGCTTTGATCGCAGCTATTTCGAAGTCTGTGGTGAACTTTAGTGGTGTCCAAACTAAACTTGCATGGCTGCACAGATCTTGCACCATTCTGAAAAGTGCTAAGTATGTCGGTGTTGTTGCGTTTGGAAGCAGTGCGTAAACAATCGGTACCATCGTGCCATTTTTCATTACGTGTAGCGTGTACAAAGATTGGAATAAGTAGGGAACACTCCTAAAAGTACCATCAGCATAGACATGTTCTGCATCACAGAGGTGCTTCAAGAAACCATCAGTTGCAAACAGCAAAAACTTATCACCACCATCACTGATTCCTCTGTAGAATTTTCCAGATGAACAATTTTGCAAAGTCTCTGGAATTACAATGTCTGCAATTGATTTCGGTAGAGCAGGAAATCTGCTGCCTCTGGCCCGTGATATGGTCTTTTTTAACTGGTTAAATGTTTTCAATGAAGAACCAACTTCCTCTGTGGGTTGATTTGTACTAGATATCACTTCCATGGTCGCTGATTGAAATGTATCTTTTAAATTACAATAGTTTTGCTGAGATGCAATTGCTTTTGCAAGGTTCCTTTGCTTCCTTTGAGTCACTTCCATAGTCACTGGTTCATGATTGTGTTCAGACCGTGATACAATCACTTCGGATTCAAGGGTCACTTTCCCTGAGCAATTGGTGCTTGTACAGCGCCAGTAACTTTTTTGATCTTTTTGATCTTTTTTACGATGTAAATAATTATCAAGCAATAAAAGATTCGCACCTTTGTTAGATTTAATGAACGAATATGATGATGACATGATGACGATGAAAAATTGAATTTGAAGTTGAAGTTCGTGGTGAAAGTGCTCATCCTTAGCATCAAAACTGACCTTTTTAGACTTAAACTCTTTAAACTAACTAGTTTAAATATTTCATCGCTTTTGGCTATTTTGACTTTGGCCATTTTGACTTTGGCTGTTTTGGCTTTGGCTGTTTTGACTCTGGCTGTTTTGACCCTTTACCTGGGAAACTTGTCTAAAGTCATCGAAAAATGCTGTAATGCCAACGGAGTCAATTTGTCAGATTTTTACAAAAAATAGTTAAAATATACAAATCAATTTAGAAAATAAAATTTAAAAAATCAATAATTCTTCAACCCAAAATCCCCATTGTTACCCTCACAACTACATCCACTGAGCTCCGCTTCATTTTATATTTTCATTGATTTTCAAATATGATTGAAATAAAAAATGTCCGAATTTTAAATCAAAATATCTTAGGAACGTCTCAACTCACACGGAAACCCCGCAACAGTCATAACTCAACTTGCTCTATTGATTAACACTAATCCCATTTAAATCGGCTCAAGGCATTACGATTAGTTCCTTGAAAGTATTGCAAACTTCATGAATATTTATTGCAGTCTGTTCGATTAATCTCGTGATTGCAACAATTTCTACCAAATCTCAAGAATCTTTGCCCACTATGTACAAATTATCATTTGAAACTTGAGTCATTTTAAATTCTTATGGTCAAAATTTGAAAAAATATTCGATCAAAGGTTTACATCTATTAATATATTAATTGAATCTCGTTTTTCCTCTGATCTTTCTATTCCTTTGTCGTATCGGGTTCAATATGTTTGATTCTTTTCTAGCGGGATTTCAATTACTCTAGATTTTACATCAATCCTGGCTGCTGTAAAAATAATAGTTATCATTGCTATTCTGTCATTCATCTTAATAGAAGATATGTTAACCGATTTGGATTGAAAGTGACATTCAATCATGCTTTCCATGCCTGCTAATCATGATTTACAAATAAGCTTTACTTGAAATTCAAGATAATTATACTTACGTTAGTTAATGATTCAGCTATTATTTTTATGAGCAAATGGTTTTACCAGATAATGTTTTTATTTCGGAAACTGTACAACAATCCTATTTGTTTAATACATGATTTAATTTAATCAGAAGTAAGCTTATTTAGCATAAGGATCAGCAACTAACATGCCAGAGTCTGAAACAACAATTGACCCAGTCATGTTTCTTGCAGCATCAGATGCGAGGAAAGCAATCACATTGGCAAGATCTACTGGTTCAGCAAGTCGTTGCATTGGATGCATTTCAGCTAAACGTGCCCTAAAAGCTTCCGGATCGGGACGATCTCGGGCGAAGCTTGTTAGAACTCCTCCTGGACTAACTGTATTTACTCGAACATGAGGAGCCAGTTTACCTGCCATACACTTGGTAAACATATCCAGTGCAGCTTTTGACATACAATAAGACCAAGTTGCTGGAAACTGTGAATGAAACAAAAAACGACATAAAGACAATCAGTTTGCTAGTTAAAACCATGTTATAAATACTCACTGGTTTTATGCCTGCAACACTTGAAACATTAACAATAGCTCCTTTGGTTTCCTTTAAATGTGGTGCAGCCAATTCAGTTAGACGAACTACAGCTCGAACATTAACCTGCTGCACTCGATCATAATCAGCCATAGCGTCTGGTTCACCGAATCCTTTGTGTGCAGGAATAGCAGCATTGTTTATCAAAATGTCCAAAGTTTTATAAACAGAAATGGTTTCTTCAAAGGTTCGAACCACATCTTCCTCTCTAATAAAATCAGCCTTAATAACAACAGGCTTGTAATGTTGAGGTGACTTTGTTTCACATTCAGCAGCAACTTTATCCAGTTTGGTTTGATCCCGTCCAACTATGGCCACTTTAGCACCTAAAGATGAGAAGAGCTCCAATCCCATCACTTGAACCAGTAATTAAAGCAACTTTATTAACCAAATTGATCATTTTGTAAACTGTTTATTCACTTCACTTAACTTAGTTTTTTCAATGAAATTTATGTGTAGCACTAGTTATTCATTGAATAACAAAAAAAAACTTAAATAACAAGCTGCAAATAGATTAATTCAGTAACAGTATCTACTTTCAGTATCAACTCTGGGATTCCCGGATGAATACTGATTAATTATATGAAAGGGAAAATGTAAATTGTACATAATCTTCACTTGCAAATAATCGGAACGCTCCCTTAGGTTTCCTTTCTTGTAATAATAAACTAAATATAGCAAACCCTTTATTTATCAACATGCTCACTCAAACTGTGAGCTGAAAGATTGAAACATAAACACTGAAACATTTTATCAACTCATCAGTCAAGGATACTAAGTTCAAGTATATCGTATGTGACTGATTGTGAAGTGAAAAATTCAATCTAACTAGTGCCTCAATGTGCCTTATCCGGTAATTGATAAAATGACTTGAACATTTCATCGATTTCTTGGAAACGATAATTTTAACAAGTTCATATTTTATTACGAGCATGAATCCAAAAACTTATCTCTTTATGCACCACTTTTATGGATAGAAGATCAATCCAATTGATATTTTAAGACAATGAGTAGTCGCATGTTGTTATTCAAAAAAAACTGATACTTCAACAGATTTACAGTCACAGTTTAAGGGTCAAAGACAATGAGATGAAAGGTAAAAATCAATCAGTTAGGATTCGGGAAAAGAACCAACAAATGAGAGAGATTTTGACAGTGAGTTGAAGGGTGAGGTTCGCTGAAGCAAGCAAAGGTCGGAAAGAAAGAGTGAAGGTGAGGTGAATAGTGTACCCATTTGTGAAATCGAAAGATTTGTCTGTTCGAAGCTTTTGATATTACTTCACAATTCAAGTTGGAATTACATTTTGCCAAGAGCTAGATTTTATTCCATTTTTAAGTTTTGTATAAAATTTTTATGAAAATTTTTGAGTCTCGAATGTGTATTGCATTTATCACAGTCAGTGGAAAGAAACTTGCGATCAGTCATGATGTTGTCGATGGAAACAATATGACTGGCTTCAAAAAAATGGAGGGAAAAATTGGCCCACCACAATGGAAATCAATTTATTATAGATTTATTGATTAATTGTAACTCTTGCTGCTATTTCATTATACAATAATAACTAAAATTAACAAGTTGTATTATTATTTATCGAGCAATATGTTGAAGGTTCACACAAATAAGTTATGAATTGAACAGTGAAAATGACTTTTGATTGTTTCCAAATGTTGAACTGAAGGAAATTGTTACATGAACAAGGGGAAGCTGGTCCATGTTGTTGGTGTTGATAAAGATGATGAAGGTGAAGATGAGAAGGGGATTGAAAAAGTAAACTTTTCATGCAATTGTTAAAAGTTAGAGGCTACATCGTCTAAAGTGACCAAACACATTTACTGTACTTGATGCTTAGCGCTTAAAATTTACAAGGTTTTTTCTTCTTCTTGAGTTTCTAACAAAATACCACAATAGAACCCGATGATGAAAATGATGATGAATATGATGATAAAAGAAGACGAAATTTTCAATTTGCTAACAGCAACAATAACAATGAACAATAATATTAGTATCAAAAAGGGAAACTTAATAACCTTTTGACTTCAATCATTTACGAAAAATAATAAAGATCGTCAGTGGTCTTCTTGAGGGATCTTCTTTTATCATCTTCCTTTTCAATCATCCTTATAATCAAAATGACTATTCGATGGTCACTACAACCAATTTTTATGACTTTATGATTGACTTTCGATTCGTGAAAATCATTTTAAGGGTTTTTTTCTTTTCTTTTACTTGAAGTTTCTTAAACTTGTGATAATAATTGCTATAAAGTGATCAAACTCTGCATTTATCAACATGTACCAACTGTACATGAACTGAAAGAATGAAACATGAACACTGAAACATTTTATCAGAGCCAAGGATACCAAGTGCATTGAAAAGTGTTAAGTGGCTGATTGTTGTGAAGTAACGAAATTCAATCTGACAAGTGGCTCGATATGCTTCCTCTGGTAGATGGTAGAGTAACATAAACAGAGTAAACATTTTATCGATGTTTTCATGGATAACTTTGATTCGACTCTAGAAATAATTGGAAATCGAAAGTTGTAACAAGTTCATATTTTATAATGAGCATGAACCCGAAAACCCACCTTTTTACTTGTCATGGGCGTAACATGGACCCAACTGCTATTTAAAGACGAATTTTTACCACAAATTGTTATTCAAAAGGTAAACTAATACTCATTACATTCCCTCTTTTTATATCAACTATTTAGTATTAATTCACCCGCAGTCAATTTTACATTATGATCAATTTGGACAATAAAGTTGCTTTAGTCACTGGTTCAAGTGATGGCATTGGAGCTGCAGCCACTTCACTCTTCTCATCTTTGGGTGCTAAAGTGACCAAAGTTAGACGTAATCAAAGTAAACTGGATAAAGTTGCTGCTGAGTGTCAATCCAAGTCACCTCATCACTACAAGCCTCTTGTAATAAAAGCTGACTTCACAAGAGATGAAGATGTTGTTCGAGCTTTTAATGAGACGATTTCTGCCTACAATCGATTAGATATTCTGGTGAACAATGCTGGTATTGCTGCTAATAAAGAGTTTGGTGATCCTGGTTACCTTGAAGATTATGATCAAATAATGCATGTGAATGTTCGAGCTGTTGTGCGACTAACTGAATTAGCTACATCTAGTTTAGCTGAGTCTAAAGGGGCTATTATCAACGTTTCCAGTGCTGGTAGTTTGATTGCGGTAAGTCTTTATGCTTTTTCTCAAGTTTGTATAAAACAGTGAAGATTTTCGGCAAGTAGATTCCAATGATTACGTCTTTATTCTTGCCAACATTGAACAAAGTAGTTTTTACCATGAATTTGAAGCTACTTTATGCAGAAGCTCTCTGTATAAAGTTTTAAATGATCTATTAACATATTACATAATTTGTATAATATCTAATATATTATCCATTCTGAACAGAATCCCAACGCTTTTTGGGCTTATGGTATGTCCAAAGCTGCACTCGATATGTTCACCAAGTCAATGGCTGGTAAATTGGCACCTAATATCAGAGTAAATTCAGTCAATCCTGGAATAGTAAGGACCAGTTTCCTTCGTGCAACACCCGACCCAACAGCTATTCAGGATTACCTAGCAAAAATGCAGCCATTAAAACGAGTCGCTGATCCAGAAGATATCGCCCAACTCATTTCTTTCCTCGCATCTGATGCTTCACGAAACATGACTGGTTCAATTGTCGTTTCCGACTCTGGATATCTCGTTGTTGATCCTTACAATATAAAAACAGAGTAAATCAAATGTAATAATACTTTTGTATCTTCTCAGTTAAAAATTACCAGAAATGTCAACAATTATCTGCTTAAATATTAAATAAAATACATTATTGATCGTTTAAATTGTGATTTTTATTCTAAACCGAGAATTTATGAAAATGCTTTTTCCCTCAAACGTATTGAACATGATTTACACAGAAATCTGAGTTATTTGAATTTCAACCTATTTGCAACTTTTCTAGTCACATCATACCATGAAATTTGTTTCAGAACCCTTTTCGTTAGGCACAATTTGTACATGTGAATTTGCATTTGCTTTTGTATCAAGTTTGTTTTATTGTATGGTTTATCCAAACTAATTAGTTGTGATTATAAATAAGTGGGTTAAATACAGAATTCAATCAACATGAAGAGTGATTGTGTTGAATAACCTGTGGTTAAAAATTATGTTACAAATTGTTCATTCTTTGTTTATTTAATTAATAATTGATCAATATTTTCAAAGTTGGTCTCTATTGATAGCTAGGGATCAGAGGCTCTTTCGTATGTAAGATAATCCTTTCTAATCCGCCTCGTTCATTTTAAATTTGAGATTAGCCATGAGGCTTTCAAAATAGCTAGCATTGAATTTTTTGAGATTATTTTTCATTCTTTTGTTAATTGCTCGGAATTTTGAGTGACAAATCGACCTGAATTAAAAAAATTTATTAATTGACCCTTAAAGTTTAGGAATTAAAGGTTGAACTTATTGAGAGCTTCGATTGCTCATATAGTGCAATATTTACTCGTCTTACTAACGGCAAATTGAATAAAATGTAAAGACATAAGTTAACTTGTAACTAAACCGGTCGAATCAACGCTTTTGCAGCATTGCAAGCAAACTAGAGAGATCGTAAAACCATCGTAGAAAATGAATACAGACAATTTTCTCAGAATTGCTTTTATTTTAGAAATCATACAATAATTCGATTTGATTATTTCTGATTTTCCCTCAATTCATGAATTAATTGAAACGTTTATTTTGCATAAGGATCAGCAACTAACATGCCAGTGTCTGAAAGAACAATTGAACCAGTCATGTTTCTCGCGGCATCAGATGCAAGGAAGGCAATTAAATTGGCAATATCTATTGGTTCGCCAATTCGTTTCAGCGGGACACTTTGAGCTACCATTGACAGAAAGGCATCTGGGTCTGGATGAGCCGAAAAGAAGTTTGTTCGAGTTCCGCCTGGGCTAACTGTATTTACTCGAACATGAGGAGCCAGTTTACCAGCCATACACTTGGTAAACATATCCAGTGCAGCTTTTGACATACAATAAGACCAACCTCTTGCATTCTGTACAACAAGAAATAAAGAAACAAAATGTTAGCATGTTACTCTGAGTAGCCGTACTTTTAGTAAAATTGTTGCTAATACTCACTGGTCTTACGCCTGCAACACTTGAAACATTAACAATGGCTCCTTTAGTTTCCTTCAAGTGTGGTGCAGCTAATTCAGTAAGACGAACAGCAGAACGGACATTAATCTGTTGAACTCGATCATAATCAGCCAATGCCTCAGGTTCACCGAACCCTTTTTTTGAAGAAAGTCCACAATTGTTGACTAAAATGTCCAAAGTTTTATAAACAGAAATGGTTTCTTCAAAGGTTCGAACAACATCTTCATCTCTAATAAAATCAGCCTTAATAACAACAGGCTTGTAGTGATGAGGTGACTTTGATTCACATTCAGCAGCAACTTTATCCAATTTACTTTGATCACGTCCAACTATGGCTACTTTAGCACCTAAAGATGAAAAGAGTAAAGCGGTTGCAGCTCCAATCCCATCACTAGAGCCAGTAATTAAAGCAACTTTATTATCCAAATTGATCGTTTTGTAAACTTTTTATTAACTTGGTTTGTTTGATTCAATAAAATTAATATTCAACAATAACAGCTACTCAACTGAATAACAAGCAAAACTTGAACAAGTTTAAATAGCAAGCTGTTAACGTATGAATAAAGTAACATTGATCTATTATTATAACTGTGGGATTCTCGGATTAATTTACTGATTAAACACTGGTTAACCACATGGAAGGGTAAATGTAGTCGGTTCATAATTGCTATTCACAAAACCATATTAATCAATCAGTAATAGTTTTGCCAATTGTATCAGATATGCAAGAATGTATTTATTCAAGTATTAACGTATTAATATTTGCCATGTTTTAATTAATCCCATAATTCAGTAAAATTTTTGAATCCCAAACAGCATATATTAGTGCTTTGGAAATTCAATATCGAGCTGTAAACTGAAAGGGAACATTTTATCACAGCACTAAAAGAGGATGCTTAGTGCATTGCAAAACAGTAAATAAATGGTTTTAAATTATGATCAATTTGTACAATAAAGTAGCTTTAGTCACTGGTTCAAGTGATGGGATTGGAGCTGCAGCCACTTCACTCTTCTCATCTTTGGGTGCTAAAGTGACCAAAGTTAGACGTAATCAAAGTAAACTGGATAAAGTTGCTGCTGAGTGTCAATCCAAGTCACCTCATCACTACAAGCCTCTTGTAATAAAAGCTGACTTCACAAGAGATGAAGATGTTGTTCGAGCTTTTAATGAGACGATTTCTGCCTACAATCGATTAGATATTCTGGTGAACAATGCTGGTATTGCTGCTAATAAAGAGTTTGGTGATCCTGGTTACCTTGAAGATTATGATCAAATAATGCATGTGAATGTTCGAGCTGTTGTGTGATTAACTGAATTAGCTACAACTAGTTTAGCTGAGTCTAAAGGGGCTATAATCAACGTCTCCAGTGCTGGAGCTTTGATCGCGGTAAGTCTTTATGCTAAACAGTGAAGATTAGAGTAAAATAGATTCGAATCAATTCTATTTCTACTTATATTTTAGTAAGTTTTATATTGCAGTAAAATTTTGTAGCATGAATTTGAAGCATACTGAAGTCTAAACACAAATATCATTCAAAAATGAAACGATATTTATTTTCTGCATACAGCAGCACTTTTGATACATATTTTAGATGATCTTTTAACATAATATCTAAATTCATTACAGAATTTTATTTCAATTCAGTTAATCCTGAATAGTAAAGAAATCCAGTCAATAGTAAGAACCAGTTTTGTTCGTGCAATACCCGATCCAACAGCTATCTAGGATTCCCTCGAAAAAGTTCATCCATTAAAACGAATTGCTAAACCAGTAGATATTGCCAATGTGATTGCTTTCCTCGCATCTGATGCTTCACGAAACATGACTGGTTCAATCGTCATTTCCGTCTCTGGACATCTCGTTGTTGATTACATTTACAATACTTACATTACATTATAAAAACAGAGTAAATCAAATTTCATAACACATTTTGCATCTTCTCAGTTAAAAATTACTAGAAATGTCAACAATTATCTGCTTAAATATTAAATAAAATACATTATTAATTGTTTAAATTGTGATTTTTATTACCAGTTTTGACTTCATTAATTGAATGAGATTCATTTTGCATAAGGGTCAGCAATCAGCTCGCCAGTGTCTGAAACAACAATTGAACCAGTCATGTTTCTTGCAGCATCCGATGCGAGGAAAGCAATCACATTGGCAATATCTATTGGTTCAGCGATTCGTTTTAAAGGTTGTTCTTGAGCTAAAGCTGACAACAAAGCGTCTGGATCAGGATGAGACGAAAAGAAGTTTGATCGGGTTAATCCTGGATTAACTGAATTTACTCGAACATGAGGAGCCAGTTTACCAGCCATACACTTGGTAAACATATCCAGGGAAGCTTTTGACATACAATAAGACCAATATGCTTGCAACTGTAAAAGAAACAGAAGTCGAAATTGAGACATTCAGTTTGCTTGTGAAACTAAATTATTAATACTCACTGGTCTTATGCCTGCAACACTTGAAACATTAACAATAGCTCCTTTGGTTTGCTTCAAATGTGGTGCAGCCAATTCAGTTAGACGAACAACAGCTTTAACATTAATCTGCTGAACTCGATCGTAATCAGCCATAGCGTCTGGTTCACCAAATCCTTTGGTCGCAGCAAGACCAGCATTGTTGACCAAAATGTCCAAAGTTTTGTAAGCAGAAAGGGTTTCTTCAAAGGTTCGAATAACATCTTCATCTCTAATAAAATCAGCCTTGGTAACAACAGGCTTGTAGTGATGAGGCGACTTGGCTTCACATTCAGCAGCAACTTTGTCCAGTTTACTTTGATCACGTCCAACTATGGCTACTTTAGCACCTAAAGATGAGAAGAGTAAAGCTGTTGCTTTTCCGATCCCATCACTTGAACCAGTAATTAAGGCTACTTTATTGTTCAAATCAACCATAATGTAAACTTATTCACTTGGTTAATTCAATGAAATCGATGCATAAAAGTAACAGTTTTTAAACCGAATAACAAACTTGACTAAGCCGCAAAATGAATGAAAAACACTGATTATCTGTGAGATTCTATCATGAATCCACTGATTAATTTTATGAAAGTCAAAATTGAAAATACGTTTTACTGAAAGACAATCGGAAAGTTATAATAATAACTGCAATAAAGGAATAAAACTAATCAAACTCTGCATTTATCAACTTTTCCATCAAACTGTGAATGGAAATAAAACACTTAATCAAAGCACTAGCCAAGGATGCTGAGTGCATTGCAAAAAAGAAATGTCTGATCGCTTAGAAGTAACAAAATCCAATCTTACAAGTGGTCCAATATGCCGAATGAGGTAGGTGACTTTTTACAGAACAATTTATCGATATCTTGAACAGTACCTTTGATTCGTGAAATCATAAGATGTAACCAATCCATATTTTATTATGAATATAAACCCATCTCTACATTACATCGCCATTATTGGTTTATCCATTTGTTTATTATCCAATTTTGCATATTTATTGGTGTTTAAAGGCAATTTATTGTCGCAAATTGTTATGAAACATCAATAAATATGCAATTTTAAATATTTATGCATCATATTGCAATCGAAACTCAATACTTATGAAACTCAAATCACCAACAAGCATAGACATGCGTCTTTGCGCATAATTTTGAATATTTTTGACAATAATTCAACTAACTGTTCAAGATTTCGATTTGAAGCGTACCATTCTTTCATTATTTTATAAACTTCGTTGCTATCATTACTTCTTGGATACTTTCTTGATCAATAGTTCTTGATTTCGGCAAGTTAAATATGATAAATCTAATCAAATTCATTTTCTTGTCTTGTCTTGAAATCTTTCAGTGGTTTCGTTTACGGACTCAATAAGCTTAGACTATTCAGTTACTCGATTCCCTCGTCAATCGCAACCATATTGTTAATGTTTTGTGCTTGAACCGATTCATCTGGATGCAAATTTTTTACAATTTGCGACCAAGAAATCATTTCTCTGTCAACATGTTAAAACTTCTAGCAAGTTCAAGTTAACACATTTGATTCAGGCGCTTTAACTTTGAACATTAACGTTGCAAAACTTCGTTGAGCGAAATCAAGTCGATAAGCCGAACAATCACAATGAATAAAGAACCAGTTTTCGTTACCGATGAATGAAATTACAAAGTGTTTAAAATTGCTGATTAAAGAAGCATCAATGAGTTATTTGTTAATTTACAATGCAACTCTTCATTTGAATCCTTGAAAGTGTTGATTGAAATCATGGTTGATGGTGTTATTGATGACTATCAAATCATGAATGTCATTCTGACGATTAAATTAATTAACGGAAACTGAAAAAAAGTAAACAATCCAAGTAGAAAGAAACTGATGAACTGATCAAAATTGACTGAACAGAGATTAGAATTGCGTTAATCATAATCACGATAATGACCAGGAAAAAAAGGCCACACAAATCCTAATGATAGTTATGGTGATGATGATGAGGGTGGGAATTTGGCTGGTTAAGAGGTTGATCCAGTTGATGATGATCAAAATGATATGAACAGTTGAAGTGTTTGTAAAAAAGCGATGATGAAAAAAGAGATGAATCAATGTCTTTACAAATGAAAAGAAAGACTTTTGCTTGTCCTCAAAAAGCAAACATTGGGACAGTTTTTTCCTCATCCAATGTTTACTTTTGAAATTTTGTCTTCTTCTTCATTCTCATGGAAATTTTCATTTTTTCATCTTCTTCTGTATTTCCCTTGTTATTCAATTGTAACTAACGAAATGAGGATCAACATGATGAAAAATTCTAGTCGAAATAAATGTTCAATCTGTACTTTTTTGCACTCAACAAGTTTACAAGTATCGAGTTAATGTTTCATTGATCAAAAACAAAGATGATGTTATAATGATTTATCCAGTGTAATTCATCATTCTCATCTTGTTATCATTGCGCTCCAAGATTATTCATCCAGAAAAAGGTTAAAAATATCTTTTCCATCACTTGTTAATCTAATAGAAACGACAATCAAAATCACAATTGAATCAAACAATTCAGTCCATTTTTTATTCAAATTAACCTTTTCCATTTCATCAACATTCATTAATTTTTTGGTAAAATTTTTCTTTAAACTAAATTTCAATCATTCATCACATTTCCCTTTAAATAGACTCAAGTTATCCTGGAAATCAGTGGATGAAACAAATGACGTTTCATCCAAAGTCATCGGAAATTTTACCAAAGCAAAGAAAAATTGAAAACTTAAGATTAATTGAAATCGTCTAATTAACAGTCAATCATTTACATTGAATAAACAAATTGAAATTGACATTTTTGAGCCTTTTTTAATGTTCTTGTGACATTAAACAAAATGACAAATAAACAAGCGCAACAAATTTTCCCATCGATATACATTTTCATATTTAAATATTGTCATCAATTGGGTTTTTTAAGACAATTAGCCAACAGATTTTAATTGCGATCAAAGGCGCTATCAAGTTGATTAAAGGTTACAACTGTTAACTGTATTCGGTGGTTAAAAAAGACATAAAACAAGCCTGAGAACCAAAGATGTTTAATTACTTTTCTGTTGTTTATAAATTGTAACAAATGCAAATGGCTAATCCATCTTTTGGTTTACATCGTCAATAACTTTATGTCCCTTCATCGTCATTACCAGGACTAAGAGTGAAAGTTGTCTTAATCTTTGTCTTTCCAAGTCTTGTCAATCTTTCTCACTCTCACTCCATCATCATCATCATCAACACCATCAATAGCACAATCAAACTGAATCCTGACGAATCATGCATTTATCTTCTCTTTCTTTTCTTGCCTTTCCTTGTGAAAATAGCGTCAACTTGTAACGGAACATCAATGAATGACGATCCGTTATTTAGCCAAGAATCTTCATCTAATATTAATTAAGATACAGTCGTCTTCTTCATCTCATCTTCATCACTTTTCCTCACTCTTTATCATCTTTCCATTTGAAAGTCAACCTTTTTCTTTTGCTTCTTCTTCTTCCTTCTTCTTCTTCATTCATTCCATTCATCAAATCTAATTGAATCAGTGTATTTCAAAGTAACCACAATTTTTCGCCATCGTCAACTCGTCTTCTCACATGTGAACCATTTTTTCGTTGTTGTGCCATTTGTTTCAATGGATAAAAGACCATAGTCAAGGGTCATCATTATCATCTTTATCATCTTCTTCTTCGTCATTTGCTTTTCATCTCTTTTTCATAATCAATTTAATGGTGAAAAATAAATAGAATAAAGAGTTTCATAGAAACTTACCTTCATCTATTCATCTTATTCAACCTTGTTCATTCATCGCTATTCAACTATTTCACAGTTGTTCACCTTTTTCATTATTTGTTATTCACTTTCTCCCCTTTCTCTAAACAATTGTTGATTAATTTACCAAATCAACAAGTTGTACAATTGACAAATGAATGATGATTTGTTTAACAAACAAATAGTATCAATTGATTGTAGTGATTCTTCATTGGACAATATACTGTCAAAGTGCAATGAATTTAAACTAATTACATTAACACCTGATCCAAAAATGTTGTCATCAGGGTCATCTTCTGTTTCTTCCCTGTCTTCCTCGTCCTCTTCACTTTCTTCTTCTCCTGCTTCCTCCATTTCGCCCAATGTGACCTCGTTAACGATATCATCCGTCTCCAAAGTCAATGGTAATCGGAAATGGTCCAATGGTGAAAAACAAGTTCAACTGGCATCATCAATCAATGATGCTGTCACCAAAGTATTGAATGGTTATGATTGGACATTGGTTACAACAGCTTCTCGCTCAGCGTCAACAGCCAAACTCAAGATTCACGTTAAAAGACCAATGAATGCTTTCATGGTTTGGGCTCAAGCAGCAAGAAGGAAACTTGCAGATCAATATCCTCATCTTCATAACGCCGAATTGAGTAAATCACTAGGTAAACTGTGGAGGTAAGTCATCATTTATATGCAACAAGCGAATTGAATTTGACATTCTCGACATTTTTGATTCGCCTTTTAACCTTTTGCTCTGTGAAAAACATGGTTAACCTTAGGTTAATCCAAATAATACAGTTGATGAGTTGAAATTGAAATCTTTAGAGGGTCGATTTTCTTTGATTCAACTTGTTAATGGGTTTCCTTTTTCCGATAATCTTTCTCGATCAGATGAGATGTTCCGATTAATGAAGGAATTAATTTGATGTTTAAAATGTTCTTATGTCAGGGTTTTGAGTGAAGAAGAAAAGAAACCGTTCATGGAGGAAGCTGAAAGACTTCGATTGATTCATAAAACTGCTCATCCTGATTACAAATATCAACCTCGAAGACGGAAAAGTGGTAAAACTGAATCCAATGAAGGTCCATCTTCATCGAAAAGTAAACCAACATCATCACCATCAACCAATGTTACTACCTGTTCGTCTTCCTTCAACTCATCTTCATCTTCATCCTCGTCCTCCTCTTCATCATCACCTGGTTTTAAATCAAATGTATCTTATGATGTTGAAACTGATTTCACTGACCCACCAAATAAAAGGAGATTATCAAAACGATCAGCCTACAGGTAAACAATGAGAAAAAAACTATTCTTTGATTATTTCAAATTGATAATGATGGTGTTTATATTGATGCAATGATTGATAATCAAAATTTAATTTTCGTTACCTAAGATGCTTGTCTTGAATAGTACCGAAAGTTCTGAGTTTGTATGCCATCAAAGGCTTTTCTTCACTGGAAAAAGCCGCTGGAAAGGAAAACCGATTTAAATGTAGATTGTCTTTAGAATCATCATTATTTATGTGAAGTTGTGTCACACAGTTCTGAGCTCTGTATGCAAAGTCAATCGACAGGTTATATGGAAGTGAACAAATGCCAAGGAAGACAATTTTCGAATAAAACAGATTGAACCAGCAATCAAAAAATATCAATTGCTTAAATCTCTGCTGTAATCCTCATCGACTTGAGTGTATTTGCATCATCATAATAGTAGATGAAATTCCCGTGATAACGAAGAAAAACTTCCTTAGTTGGATTAACTGAATATTCATGCATCATCAAATGTGTATACCGGGTGCATTGAATATCTGTTTCTCCTTCCATCAAAGAACGAAGCTGAATCAGATGTCTAAACTTGTAGAGCGAACGATTCAGGAAGATTGTTTTCCATAGCTTGATTCATCTTGATTGAGAGATTAGTTAAACTATTCTTAGTACAGTCCGAAACCAGATGTCAATGTTGTTCGATATATTTAGGCACATTACAATCGCTCCATGATTGCTTCGAGGTTTCCTTGATTAGATTTTGATCGGCTTGAATATGATTTTATGAGATAAGGTTAAAGAACTGCTTTTACAACGATTCCGTTCTTTGAGCAACTGGTTAATATTAGCGCGGCAATATTCCGATTTTCGATGATTAACAAAGAGACACTTTCTTCCTGGTTACTAATATAGTATTTGATGTAATTTATCATTTCCATTTATTTGCATTCACCAATCTGGTTTAAATGAATAAGTATGGTGTAAACAGCGAGGAAGATCAGGCAGCACCATTATTAATCCAGTAGCCATGTATTTAACGTTTGAATCAAAGTTTTTGTTTATCCGATATTTTTTGCCTGTATTGAGAAATAAATAATTGCACATTATAATTTCACAACAATTGAAAGTAAATAATGTATTAAACTTTCCTTGGCTATGAGTTTAACTTACAAAATAAACTGTCATTAAACTGTCCAGATGATGCTTATCAAAGGCGTTATCGTGATGTAAAAAAGTCATCTTCAATGTTTGACATTACGTAGTTGAGCCCAGCCCAACACATTGAAAGAATTGCTTTGAATTTTATTCTTGACAAATCATCCATACATCCAGACTGCATGTTTTGATCTCCCTGCAATTCATTTAATTTAAAAAAATGACGAGATGTTAGTTATGAATGTAAATTATCAACAAAATCCTTCTCGGTTGTCAAACCAAATTCACTTGTAAACCGTTGATGTAACTTTGTCAATTATTTGCTATAAGAAAAAGAATATAATTTCAAGAACTATTTGAACCAGTTCAACTCACAATTGAAATAATTCATCAGGAAAACTTGATAAACACTGAACATATCACTAATTAGATTCAATAAAACATTAATAAAGTAAAACGCAAAATATAGAAATTACATTTTGTTTGAATTTGCTTCATTAGATGGCGCCACTTACTAGCAACAAAACCAGGATTTTTTGAAACTTTTCAGCTTCTCATTCAGGAATTTATTGAGTTTTTACTGACTGGAATTATTCAATGACCGTTCTGAAAAGAGAAATGTAAAAGTTATTCATTTAAAGATGATAAAACTTAACTGGATAAATCAGTTGCAACATAAAAATTCTTATTTTATACAATTTAATGATTGCTTTTAGCCCCATTTGATTAACCATTAAAGAGATTAAATTTGTGATGAAAAATAACCAAATAATAACATTAATTATCTATTTAGTTCAAAAGAAACTCTAATTATTAATTTATTCAACTAAAATTATGTTATTCAAATTGGTTTTCAAATGCTTAAAACAATTTGTAAATCATTTGTTAAGGTTAAGGTTGAATCAGTGGTGAAACCGAACTAAATTAAGAATCTGTTTCCTGCAGCAAATTCAACGAATTTACTATTTAAACCAACCATAAATTAACTTACCTATGTTTTAAAACCTGTTTGCTCCAGGTAATCAGAATAGATCAACTGGTGATCAATAAATCACAGCCTTATAAGAGCAAAGTCACATTTCCATGTAAAGTAAATCTAATGGATAAATCGCAATCTGCAAAGAAAATTAAATCTTTTCAAAGATGTTTCTTCTGTTATCAATGTTTCCATACAATCTAGATTTAAAATCAGTTGATGGATGGTTATTCAACCAATTTTCCCTTCTAATACTAATTGTGACATACAGACACTAAGTGAATGATAATTAGGTCCGGTATAAATAGCATTCAGTCTGATTAATATGGACTAACATGTATTAGTATACGTGTTGGTCAGAAAGAGTAAAGGTTTTGCGACAAATGAGATTAAATGGTGGCTCAAACACTTTACTACAGTTAAATGTTTAGTTAATTAACCTTACTCTTAACTGATTAATCGTGACTCCGATTACCTTGAATTAACGGTTGTAAGATGAGTAAAAGATGGTCGGCTTTAAAGATGAAGAAGGATGAAGAAGACTGCAAACAAATAAATCAACAGAAATGATTTAAAGCCAAATTAGGAGTTAATGCTACAATTGATAAAGAAAAATGATTCAGCCATATAAGCGGCAATCAAAGTTCGTCTGTTATTAAATCTGTTAGAAGCCAGTGCAGCATTGAAACGGTTTAATTAAAGCAGCCCAATCAACCCAAAGGAAAGGAGATTATCTTTTAGTCAATATCTGTCTTGATGATTAACATGATGAGAATGTTGATGTTGAACACGCAGCTTGACCCTGAAATGAATGAATGAATTAATGAATGAATCAGTGAACCATTGGATTGAAACACCAAGATGAGAAGATGATGATTAAGATGAAGCCGACAAAAATATACATCAACAATTAATTTTGTTGGCCTTAGGGTTAAATCAATTTTCATCCTTTGCACATTACAGTCATACAAACACACACACACACACACTTGATTATTATCAATCGGCTTGAACCAGTCATACCAAACATTGAAAATTCAACAGACACATCCAAACCCTCCCCCACCCCTCTGTCATCCACTTGCTTCACCATCATCATCATCCTCTCTTACTTTTTTTACTTACTTCTTCTGGAATCTTGTTTATGGCCAAGAGGAGTTTACCTTTTTTTTATCAACTATCTTCTTCAGCTCAATGTTGGTTGAACCCATCAACAAGGAATGAGATTTTTTCTACTTCTTCTCCTAAGCAAGAAGATGAAAGATGATGAAAGATGGTGATGATGAGAAAAAAAGAGAGAAAAGAAAGAGAAAAATAAACGTGAATGAGAGGTTTGTTGACCTTTGACATGAGTTCAATAAAAGCATTTTACAGCATTTTTTATTCAAGACTTGATGCTTGGTTATACATATTCCGTGTGAACAAAATGATGAAAGAATTTGCCTGAGAAAAGGAAAAGATGAAAAAAGTAAAAGAACACGAAGAGAGGAACGATGATGATGATGATGTGAAGGAAAGGAAAAAACGAGAGAGAGAGAGAAAGATGATAGATAAATCTCTTCAGATTGAATTATCTTCGCCAGTATTTCATGGGGAAAACAATAACCAGTAACAATTATCAACCAACAATCAACATCGGAGATTACATTATACACTTTTATCCTTAATATACCAAATATTTACCTTCCCAATGATTGAAGACACAGGTTGAACAAAAAAAGTGTATAAAACTATAAATTAATACAAACTATTTGATTACACAATTGATAGACCAGTGACTAAACAAAATGGCTGTTAAAAAACGGCAATGCCGTTTACCATTAATAATTTACCATTGCCATTGGTAACTTGAAACAAAAAGATTGTTTGTCTGTTGTCTTGGTAGCCAATTGGTTTTACCGGTTTTCTGGTTAACTTTTTGCTTCATCTTCTTCTTGTTTAATTATCCCTGTTAATTGAAATTGTTGATCATTAAATAAATGGATTAATTTTTTAATTGATCAATGAGCTAAATGGAAGAGGAAGAAAAAGGTATTTAATGTTGCATTGATTTACTAATTTACATAATCACTGAAGAGGAAAGGAAAGTTGAAAATTTTAAAAATAACGCGAAAATTTTCAAACCAATCAAGATTGGATCCAATTTTAACTCATTTTCTGGTCTCTCAGTTGTTTGATTAATGACAATTTATTTATATATCAATACTTTTACTTGTTTTTTCTTGGTGTTTATTTTTTGAGTTTATTCATGTGAAAAGGTTCATCATTTAAATCCAAAGGATAAATTATTATGATTGATTTAGGTTACAATCAATTGTCCATTCCCGTTAATACAAGTGTATCCACCATTTGTTAACCAGCAACATTATCTCGTAAGATTACAGGGTGATTCTCATCAATAGATTTATCTTAAAGATTCCCAATGGTGATAAGTAAATATTGCTGACAATTAAGTTCTCTTCTAATTCTAATGAGCATACACGGAATTAATATCAAATGATTAGCTTTACTGTAACTCATTAGATGGGTTATAAACAGGCTGATGCATATCTACAAGGTTATACATTGAACCAGAAAAGTTTTATCTTGTATTTATTGGATTATCTTATAAAATGAGTTACAATTTAACAATTTACTCTGAATTGTAACAAAACCAAGCAATCAAAAGATGGATAATCAATTAAATGTGAAATTTGCAAGTTTGAAAATTACGCGTTTTGCCTTTTCTCATCAACCAATCGTAGACCTTTTGTCTCAAGTCAAAATTTTTCCGTTACCATGTGAACCTAACTGTTAAAAATTTTACACATTAGAGATTAGTTTTAATAATTAAAACAATTATTTTTGAGTTGAACAGAAGCAGACAGCTTAAAGATAGTTTAACCCTGATAGACAATAGGATAAATGTGATTATCATTCATCATTAAACATTAACATTGACATGACAATTTGAAATGATTAAAATCCAACAAGTGTCATCTTTAATAGTACTTTGTTTCTTGTGTATTTATACTGTTAAAGCTTACAGTCTGTCTAATAATTTTCTTCTCTTCTTTTTTTTATTGCAGTGAAACCAGAAAAAGTGCCTTCTATTATACAGCCAATAGCAACATCAGCAACAATGATAATAATAAAAACAGTAAATCATCAAACCGTTTGCCTCTCTCAAAATTCACCAGCAACACAAAGAATTACTGCAACACCAGCAACCCATCAAGCGAGTCTTCAACACATAATATTGCCACCAACTATCCTACAGTTGTTACAAGAGCAAGTACATCACTGCCACTACAACCACCACCACCACCACCATCATCATTATCATCATCATTACTATCATCAACAACATCGACTCAAGAAACTGGTACATTGGTCATAACACCTCCGTCAAACCTTCAAAGTGTAATAAATGTCAAAGACCTTAAAAAAAGTAGAGAATCAGGTATAAGTTGAAACATTACGTTCATTGAACCAGTGAACAACCAAAAAGAGGAGAAGAAAAAAGATGGAGCAATTAACTGATTATGCTAGTTTAATCAAGTTTGCTCTTCTCTCGATTAGTGTATTAACTCAGAATTAAGGCAAGAGTGTAAATGGCTTGACATTGCCTTTGATGTATTGACAAGTAATTAGTTTGATTTCACCAAATTTTTTCTTCTTTTTTTTCTCTTCTATCAATTCAACTACAGAGAGATGATGAAGATAGTTTTTTATGATGCTAATAATTATGATGAGGATAATGATAATGTTTACTGTGAACATATAATACATTTATATTTTTGCTTCTTCTCCTGCTATTTGATACATTTTTAATGAATGATACAATTAGCGTTATTAGGATTGATGTAGTGGTAACTCTTGAAAGGGTCAAAAAATAAGGGATTGAAAGTTAAACTTGTCATTGAAATTGAATATTATCTGAATCAGTTTATTCTGTGATGAGCTTGAATCAAAAAAAAAGCTTGAAGTGAATCTAAAAACCTTTCAAGGTTAGGCTAATGTCAGTATTTTCAGTACCATTATGATTATTATTGCCTTTAGGTGATTTGATTGAAGAAGCAATAAGAAGAGAGATTTTTTTTACTCTCAGAAAATTGAGATTTCATCATCATCTTCATTACTTCTAAGCTCATTCCAATCATTCCAAGACTTGTCCTTCAGGGTAAAATATAATATTATGAAATAATTTATTCCCAATAATATTGATAATAATAATAGGAAGGTAAACATTGAAATTGATGTTCAAAGAAGCGCAGGTTTAACCAATCACCAAAATCAACTTCAATCCTTCCACTTTCATCAACAATGTTAGGAAACCAAATGAACTTGAACAATATTTTTCTTGCCAACAATTAATCTAAATCTGTTCATGGATTGAAGGATTATAATCAAATGTAGATTGATGTTGATAAATACCGTTTCTGACCATTTCTCCGTCTATTAATAAGATTTGATTGAGTTGATTAGGAAGCCAGTAAAAGTTGTAATTTAGTTGATCTCATTCCCATCAAAGGTAACAAACAAAGCTATCATGTGATAAACTAGTAAGCTCTATTTTTTCATCATTATTTTCATCATCATCATCATTCTTATTGTATGAATGGTTATAAAGTGCATAGTGATTTAAAAATGGACTCAAAAATGATTGGCAATTTAAACAGGCAGACAAAAGCGATTTGATTTTTTGCTACAATTGTGATTATAAATTGATGAACTAGTGTTTACTTACCTTGCTTACTGTTGACAACAGTTTGTTGCTATTTAATTGATTGAAGCTTTTTTGCATTATAAGATCAACTATCGATACAACTCGATCAACATAAGCTGAACCAGAATTAATTTGTATCTCTACAATTAACTGATCCCTTCAGATAGGTTTGACTTGGAAAACAGAGAAAATTTGAGATTTCATTTTAATTGGGTTTCCATTGAAAGTGATTGCCATGAGCAGCAAAAATGATGATTGGTGTAAAAAACATGAAATTGAGTTGATTTCCAATGAGTTGATTAGAGCAGTTATTAGTTTTACTGTAAAAATGATAATTTAAGGATACTTGAGAGTCGATTGGACTTTTAATACATTCTCAAGATGTTTGATTATGATTAGTAAATTGCGAATAGGATTAGGAAAGAAACCAAAAAATATTCAAGGTACCCAATCATCTGGAAAAATAAGCACTTATCTAATCATGCGATTGATAACAATTTAGGATTACTTTTTATTTCGTCTAACTGCTCAGTTAGAAATGAGTTAAATTGCTGTAAATCTAATGTTGATCCATGTATCAATGCTGGTCAATGGTGGTTGCCTTCGTCAAGGTGAAAGTGTTTGACCCAAGACACAATCTGTAATTACTGGAAACCCAAAAAGCGACTTTGGGTTTGCATGTTAATGAATGGTAATGCTTTGGGTTGCCATTAACACACGCCTTTGTGATAGACTTGAGTGGGTTTTTATTTAACATTACATTAATATTATTGCCCAAGTAATATATTAAAGCAGAGAGAAAGTGAAAGATGATTATGATTATTTCTCATGCCAATTGAGTATAATTACAATTAATTTGATCCAATTTAGAAAGGCATCCTTGATCTTTTTTAATAGTTAAGGACAAATCTTATTGTATTAACTGTATTATAAAGACTTGAACAGGAAACACCAGAAAAAAAGCGAACGATGGGAATGAGAAAGAATTATCAGAATCAAAAATTAAATCTATCACAATTTTAATGGAAGTTCAATGATCTCTCATCGCCATCATCATTTTTCTCTCCTTTTTTCCTTCACTCTTCTTGTTGCTTGTTTTTTTGCACATATTAATGTATTTTTTCTCATTCTTTTTCATTTTTTGTATCTTTTTTTTGTTCATTAGATTCAAATACCAATGTTGCCAAAAAGCATAAAGGACTATCATTTTATCAATCGTCATCGGAATTGATGTCATCCACTCAGTTGATAATGGGTGAAACCTATCAACCCATAGAGAGGTTGGATTGTCCAGGCAATCAATCAACCTTGGAATACAAAAATGGTAATATTGTTGATCTGGATCCGGAGTCAATTGATAATTTAGAGAAAGGTGAACTTGATCAATATTTACCTTACCATTACAATGGTAGCAATGGCAATAACTTGTACAATTACATCAACAATGAAAATGAGGCTGCAAGATATTCAACATCGCCATTAACACCAACACTGGCAGCATTGTGTTCAAACAAGAGCAACAATATGGACCCATCAACCGAACCATCAGCTTCTTCACCAGTCGATGTGATTTACAATTGGTCAAACCATTACATTTCATCTTTACAGCAACAACAAGAGGCTAATCAAGATGATTTACAGTCTGATCAACTGAATCGGTATCCAGCCAACGAGGGTTCAACAGTTAAATCTGATGGCAACAATAACTCCAAGAATGTCAACAATAATGGCAAATTTGCTAAAGGCTCATTATCATCGCCATCATCTAAAAGTTATTACATCAATGGATCAATCAACCCGTCAACATGCAATAGTCAATCATTATCACAAATAATTGGAGCTGGTCTTAGGAGTGGCTCTGATTACTCTCTACCTGTTGATGTCAATTCATACAGCTCATCAGTAAAGTCGAATCAAGATGGTGATTTAAATTATACATATTTAGAGGCAAATTACAACAACAACAATCATAATGACAATAATAGTGATCATGAAAATGGCAATGAAAACAACCATAATTCAAAAGGAGCAACAGTAACGTCCAATTATTACCATAATTACGAGTCAAACATTTTCTGGTCTTACCAATGAAAATAAAAGCAAAGATAACCTAAAAAGTCTAATGTTAATAATAAAGTCAATTCTCGATTGATGTAACATTATTAAATTTATTGCCATAATTTTAGCATAAAGTAAGCAAAAAACAAGAGACAGCAATATATGGCTGTCATTGAGCTTCATTAATCTTTGTTAAAACAACATTATGCTGGTTAAACTTGAATCCACACTCCAAGATTGAATGCAGTTGAAACTTTTTCTGCTAAGACAAGAAAAATTAGGAAAAAATTCCTTTCATAGCTGGCGCTTTAGATTCCTTCAATTCCTGGTTCTTGTATTTTTTGCTCCTTGAACAATTTCCTTGCCATTATCATAATTATCAAGAATAAATTGATATCAAATTATAATTTTCTAGATATTGATTGCTTTTCAACAAAAAGCAGGGCTTCTTCAGGGCTAAACACTTGATTAAACTCGCTTAGTTTACTACTTTTTTTTGCTGGTTACAAGGAAAATCATCCATTGTAACTCATTTGCAACAATTGAAACAATCGTTTAACCCTGCACATGTTAAACTCTAATCTTCAACCTGTCGGCTTGAATCGCCAAAAAAATGATTAAATTTAAACGTCACCTTCTTTTTTTTATGAACATTCATTTAACGTCTATTCAATAATGATGATTAATGGTAACCCAAAAGAAATGTTCAATAGATGGCGCTAGAAGAAAAAACCTGATTAAGGGAGTGAATCTTTTGGTGAATGCGATTGAGTTGATTACGTGTTCATTTTTCTTTACACTTCAGGTCGGTCTGGCTCAACATTTTTCACTTAACCTTTTTTTCCTCATTTTTAAATTGTTCCTGCTCTTGTAGACGTTTATTCAACATCTAATTGTTAATCAGTTTTTATCCTCTTCTAACATTTTATTTAATTTGTCTCTTCACTTTACTTTATTCTTTCCCTTATGTAAGATGTAAGGTTTACACATTTACACAAACACACATTCATATAACAGCCATAGATACATACCATGTATATTTAACCGTACGTGTTACTCTTTTTGACTAATCCACACACTCAACTTTACTGAAGGTAAGACAATCTTATCTCATTTTTTTTCAAAGACACACCCGATTCTGTGTTTTTTCCTTCACATCCGATTTTCCATTTTTTGCTCATCTTTACACAGCATCCTAATTCTCAATCATTTTTTTACGTCTCAATATTTTATTTGTTTTTATTTTTTTTTCTTCCTCCTCATTGATATCTACCAAAGGATCAATCTCCTTTTTTTCATTTCCAGTGTGTACCAGGGACAAACAAAACTGGTTTTCACAATGGTTTGACAGAAAACATTTGATTATTCTGAGATCATTGTGAAAGCTGTTTCTGTAGTCTCGTCCCCATCATCATCGTCGTGAAAAAAAGTAGATTCTCAAGTTTATTTTAGGCCTCAACGTTATGTACATAATGATATACAGCCTTAGGCCTTTAAACTGAGGTTTGTTTCTCTTAATTTTTTTTTCACTTTCTATCTTCTCTTTCTTTCTTGCTATCTCTTCTTTTTTTACTCTTCCTATCATCCTCTTCCCTATCCTTTTCTTTCTCTTTCTCTTTCACTCACTTACCCACTCACTCAATCTCTTAATATTTACATGCTCTCTATGTCTGTCTGTCTCTTTTCCTTCTCATTTTTCCTCTTCCTAACCATTAACACTTTTATTTAATCAATGAAATTTGCTTTTTATTGTAATAGGAACAACTTTTTTGGATCTACATCCTCTTATAGCTTTTGAACGTGAAAATTTCATCTCGTTGAATAACGAATGGACGATTTCTTTTGGAGGATTTCAGTGAATCGATTCTAGTCACTATTCTGGTTGTCACACTTATCCCAATTAAACGAGAACTGTATCATTTGTACTTCTAGACAGAGGAATTTGTAAAAATCATTGAGAATTATTAGTATTTCCGGCCAACAGCAGAGACTAATAAATTATTAACAAGATTAAATGTCATTGTTAATATTTTAACACAAAAAGAAAACTTTAATTGATGTTGATAAGTTTCCCTGGCAATATTTATTATTTTTACATTAGATATTTCAGCTCGCATCGAGGAACCAGTGGAAGATAATGATGATTAGTTCCCATTATGGTAGAAATACAATTACAATTAATTTTATCCAATTTAACGAAATCTCTGATATTTTCCTTCACAAACAGCTAAGAACAGCATTCAAATATCATAAGTTAACAGGAAACAGCAGGGAAAGGCAAAGATAAATCGGTCGGCTCTTTGACTTCTTTGTTTCTTTACTAGTTCTAAACAATTTTGGTTTTATCAAAGCTCATTGATCTTCTTTATCCTAGATGAAGATTGATTAATCAATTCCCATTTTTGTTCCTTGTATTATAATGTAATAATTAATAAGTCATGCAACTGATTAATCTTTGAGTTTAATTGCTCGTTATCTTTCACCATGTTAATTCAATCATCCTTCCTCATGATGAAAGACATTTTTTGTGATACATATGGGCTGCTGAAAGTTTCGTTTTGACTGGTTAATTCATTAAAATGACATCTAAATCTTATCAATGGTTTTAATCGGTTATATGGATATCATGAAGGTGACTGTTTATTCCATGAGAAGATTCAAAAGTGTTTCGATTAATTCAAGTCATGATCATGGAGAAGTTCAGTTGCTAATTTGCTTTGTGAATGTATCGACGTTTTCCTTGTAGCCAAACAATCAGGGGTAGGAATTGTATCACCAGTTAATGGAGGTGAAACGGTAAAGTTAACAGGTTCTTGGGAAAGTGATGAAGGTTGTCTTGATTTGTTATTTTTAATAGCTGCCTTTGCCATGTTATAATCTCCCGAGTCAAAATATTTAGTCTGAAAGGAAAATCATAGAGAAATAATCAGATGTAAGAAAAGCGTAATTTAGAAAGATAAAAGCAAATGCTGATAGCTTATAAGGTAGGGTTAAGCTTTAAGAGCACAATACTTACTCCTTTTTGGAGCCTTTTTTGCAGAAACTGAGGACCCGGTCTCTGGACTGATGGGTATTTGGCTTTTAATTTGGCTTCTTCCTCTCTTTCTGTCTTGACCGGGTCATTCTATTAAATAAATAAAGAGATGAAAACAGTTACAGAGCCAATTGAAACCATAAACATGAATAACAGTCTGAAATGAAATAAAGGAAAATACTTACATTTGACAATGGTCCAGAGTATTTGACATTTGAACTCAAATCTTCATCCATGACTATGTGATGATAAATCAAGCTAGAGGTATGTTAAAATTGATTAAAGTCGTTAATTAGTAAACAGTGGTGACAAAAACAAAATCCCAATGATAAATCACTGAAGAGACAGAATAAAAAATTAAAGAGAAAGAGTAAACAGAAAGGATAGTCGCTTATTTTTGGAGATGATTTTTTTGTTGAAATAGCCAGAAACGGCGGTTATTTTAACATTTAAATTGCTAAATAATGCAACTATTTACAAAGAAAAAACATTATTATTCAATTTTTTTCTCTTTTAATTAGAAAAATGGTTATTTGAAGATTTTTTTCAACGAAACAGTATCTAATTATGATTAAAATTAAAACAAAACTGGTAAAGTTAAGATCAGGTTACTGTGTCTGTAATCCATCTTGACTTCATTTATTTTATTTAGTCAATAATGGAGAGAAGAGAGGGCAGCACTTTAAGCACAATTCAGATGCCAATTGCAAGTTGATTGTGATTGACGCAAATGATAAAAGCTTTAATAATCGTACATTTCCATCACCGAGACACTAATTAACGAAAGCTTCAACTCTCAGTTAATAACATGTTTCACTCTGGTCGTGATTTATTTTTCCTATCAAGTTTAATCTTTAGGTTGAGGCATCAAGATCTTGCTAACAAATGGCATCTTTATTGTGAAATTTAATATAATTTGCTTGTTCTTGGGTCGAGATTTATTGATAATAAGTATAGTGTGTTGTCCTTTACATGTAAGAAGTTCTGATTCATCAGGAGACTTGCTGGTTCCACTAGCTTGAATAGAAGTCTTCCAACTGGCAAGAAGCTGGAGTAGCATTCGCAGAGCATTATCCAACAGTTGAGGAAAAGTGTCATTGATTTCAGATAAAATAAAGTTGATGAAACCTTCAACAACATCATCTCTCCATTCAGGAAAATTGTTTATGATATGCTGCAAAGCTTGCCATGCCAAGACTCTTAGTTCCTCATCCATGTGAACAGTTAATCGTGAAAGTAGATCAATTAAATCGGTGCGGGACATACCATCGGGAATTAGACGTGGTATTGCTGCAATACAAGCTCGAAAGAGATCAATTTTAGGTTTCCTTTCACCAGTTATCATGTCATCAGGCTCTTTGTTAATGTTTTGGACTGTGGTAAGCATTAATGGCTTACCAAATTGTAGATCTAAAGCTTTGAGAATATCGTTAAGAGATTTTAGTACATGAGGATAGTAATCGTTGACACCAATATTTTTGGCCATTCTTTCAGTCAACATTTTGTTTAAATAGGTTCTTTTCACTCGGAGGGTGTTTCCTGAAGGCATTACTCCAGGTGTTCGAGGCATTGGCGGTTCACCTTCTTTCTGTTGTAGACTATCGGCAACCACAATGAATGCTCTCAAACCAATTGTCATTCGCTCAGGAGCAAAAATCACTTTTATTGGACGGTCAACTGAAAGTAAATCATAAACAATTCCTTTCATGGCAAAATCCAATTTTTCTTGAGCAATAAACTGAATTATTTTGACGAAAAAGCTTAAATTAACATCTCTGGGCACAACAGCTTTGGATCCTTTCGGAAATAATGAATAAACAATACTTTGTAACTTGGATTGGGTAGCAGTATTTGATTCACACTTGATACGAATCATGTAAACCCATAGTAAACGATGAAGCGATTCCATTGCTAATTTGGACATTTTACTATCGCGATTTTTAAGATGAGAAAGGCACATGGAAAGAAAACAGTGCCAATTTTTAAGGAAAAACTGTTTCTGAGAAACGCATAGTAAACATGTTACCAGAGGGAAAAGGGCATAAGTGTGTTTCTTTTTAACACACAAATCCAGAGTTAACGGGTAAAGCATCTCAACGAAATTTTTAAGACAAGGAACATTGACTTCATTTTTGACCGTAGCAGCAACTGGTGAAAGAATGTGCTCAAACAATCCAGCTAAATTGTGCTTGATATCTTTATCTTTGACTTCAATGAAGTAATGGGCACATTCGTGCATAAACTCGAAAGACGCTTCAAATTGTTCAATAGGAACCATTTTAATGCGGAAAAATTTCATGCCCATAAGTAGATTAATAATGGACTGGGTAGTGACCATACTCGGCTCTCGACTTCTCAATTCTTTGAGCTCAGCCATGAACCGTTTACGAACAGAATGGAATCTGGCTTGAGCCAATACACCGATGACTTCAGCATAAAGGTCCGCAATGTTTCACAATTTGTTGATTGTATTGGTGAATGTAGATTTAAGTTTAAGTAAGCTTGAACTATTGACTCTTGTTTCTACGGTATAACCTGAAACTATCGAAGAAAAATCGAAATTTTAAAAACCGTTCAAACAAAGCTAAGTCATAAGAAAACGTCAAATACAATCAAACATTTTTTGATGTACTAATTTGAGTACTAATTATTCTCGGTTAGCATGCGTCGATTTTATAGTTATTTGGCAGTATACAAGGTTGGTTTTACAGCATTAAGTTTTGCAGAAACTCATAGCCCCAAAAAGTTAAAAAATAAAATTCATTGTGTTCATTGATTAAACTGTAGTAAAATTCAAACTTTGAACAATAAAGTAGCCTTGATTAATGGTTCAAGTGCTGGAATCGGAAAAGCAACGGCTTTACTCTTCGCATCTTTAGGCGCTAAAGTATCCATAGTTGGACGTGATCAAAGTAAATTGGATAAAGTTGCTGCTGAATGTGAATCCAAGTCACTTCATCACTACAAGCCTGTTGTCATATCACTACAAGGCTGATTATATTAGAGATGAAGATGTTGTTCGAACCTTTGAAGAAACCATTTCTGTTTATAAAACTTTAGACATTTTGGTCAACAATTGTGGTCTTGCTGCGACCGGAAGATTTGGTGAGCCAGACGATATGGCTGATTATGCTCGAGCTAATGGTTAAATCGAGCAGTTCAATGTTCGAGCTGTTGTGCTTCTTACTGAATTAGCTGCACCATACTTGAAGGAAACCAATGGAGCAATAGTTAATGTTTCAAGTGTTGCAGGCATAAGACCAGTGAGTATAAATAACTTGGTTTTACAAGCAAACTGAATGCCTTAATTTCGTTTTCTGTTTCTTTTACAGTTGCAAGCATATTGGTCTTATTGTATGTCAAAAGCTTCCCTGGATATGTTTACAAAGTGTATGGCAGGTAAACTGGCTTTTCATGTTCGAGTAAACTCGGTTAAACCAGGATTAACTCGATCAAACTTCTTTTCGTCTCATCCTGACCCAGACGCTTTGTTGTCAGCTTTAGCTCAAGAACAACCTTTAAAACGAATTGCTGAAACAATAGATATTGCCAATGTGATTGCTTTCCTCGCATCCGATGCTGCAAAAAACATGACTGGTTCAATTGTTGTTTCAGACACTGGCGAATTGAATGCTGATCCACTTGCAAAATAAATTTTTTCATGCAATCAATGAAGTCAAAACTGGTAATAACTCATACAAAGTGTTTTTGGGAAAATGCAATGCAATCTCACTTCATAAAAATCAACAAAATTGACCCCATGAGTTTTACATTTGCAATCCTTTAATTTCAGAATCCATCTCATTGGGTTTATTTTGTGTCCAAAGCTGATTTTGATATGTTCACCAAGTCAATGGCTGGTAAATTGGCTCATATTATTAGAGTAAACTCAGTTGATCCTGTTGCCGTTCATACTCATCCTATTGACTCTTCAATGTTGGAAAAATTTATATCCATGAAACCCTTTAAACAAATCCCACAGAAACGTTTTATTTGTTGATAAAAGTTTTGTTCTAATTTTATTCCACTTTGGATACAATCAAGTTCTTTCATGTGATCGTCATTTGTTTTGAGCAAAAAAAAACATTGATAGTGATGGTCAAACTTCAAAATAATTTTGGACGCGTCGAGTTGCTTATATAATAGCATACTAATTATTCTCTGTTGCTTTCGTCGTGTTTATTAATCGTCATTTACAAACATTGCATACTACTAGCTTACAATACAAGAAGCTTATTATACTATGGTGGTAAACAAGCATCCTTGACCGAATCATTATGGTCAAGGCTCAAAGCTATGTGTAATCCGTCATCCATAATTATCGTAATTTGAGAACGAAAAGTTTAATGGAACAATGTAAAACCTCGGTCAAGATTGCTTGTAAACCAACAATGTACAGGGTGTGACTAAAGTTCGTGTAGGAGGCAAAAAAATATTTCCCCCTGCGTAGAAACCAATTTCAATTTTCTTTGATTTCTCGATTGAGAAACTGATTTTCTCTCTTAAACCCTCCTACCTACTAAGAACTTTAGTTACACCCTGTATAGTAAGCTAATCTTACGCTACTTAATAGAAAAGAGATGGCGCTGAGTTCATAATAAAACTCATGCGTCAAAATGAAGTCTCTATTTTGCAATCCTTACTTTTCATAATTTTACTTTTTGAATTGAAATTGTTACAGTTGTTACTTTTATAGTCTTAATATCTATTTATTTTTTTTAATCTTTGTAAGTGAGTCAAATTTTAAATGTTTTAATTTTCTTCATTAAAACATTTCAACCGCCTGAAAAAGAAACATTGAATTATTGTAATATAGCTAAATAGATAATTTACAGAAGTAAAGGTGAGTTCATTATATTTTCATTTTAACTTTCATTTTCATTTTTTTCTTTACTTTTTTTATTTAGCCAGCTGCGAGATGGAAGAAGAGTATTATAATTTCGCTGCAAGTGAGTTTATTCTAATTGGCACATTTATATATTATAATTCACAGGACATTTCATTTAACTTCTTTCAAAGTGAGATTTTTGGGCGAATATAATGACATTGTAATTAATTGGAATGATGATAAATACTTATACAAACCACAACAAGTATTCGAACAGGTAAGTAATAAAGCATATGATCGCAAACGGACTGTTGCATACCGTAACTTGTATACAATTCACAATACTTAACCTATTATAAAATTTACATTCCATTAAATAATAGCTTGAGATGATCACGCGAATATACTCTCTATTTAGTAAATATACTCTTTGTGTAATTCGCCACGTAACCCAAGGTGTGAATGAATGCCATCCAGCTGATGTACTCAGTAATATAATATTATGTAATTATATTCATATTATTGTCTTAACTTTATCAATTCATTACGTAAATCACACAAGCCACAACAAATATTCGAACAGGTAAGTACAGGAGCTTAGGTTCGAAACGGACTGTTGCTTACCGTAAATTGTATATAAACCTTTTACAATAGTTAAATTTACATTAAATAATAGCTTGGGATGGTCACGGAAATACTGAGTAAATATACTCTCTGCGTAATTCGCCACGTAAACCAAGGTGTGAATGAATGGCGTCCGGCTGATATAATCAGTAATAATATTATGTAATTACAATCCTATTATTGTGTTATCTTTATCAAATCAATTACGCAAATCGCTCAGTAACTTGGTATATGTCGTCTTAGTGCTTGTTGAGAACTAATTATTTTAGGATGAATTTAAAACAGGCTATCGTCACCTCATTGTATTAAACTGCTGTGCAAAATCGACAAAATGCCAATTCATCGAGTGATTTACTAAAATTGTAAATTAATTAAACTCAAATTTCTTTGTAGTTATTCAGACAGTAGGAACGGTAGCTGGGATGGTTCATCTTTTCTTGATGGCGAGCGTTTTCATCTCGCAATCGATGTTTTTTTATGACAGATATTCAATTAACCGTATCGGTATAATTTATCGCTTAATATCTATAAGCGAAATACCAGAAGGATTATGTAGCGAATACGTCTGTCAGTATAAAAATACGAAAGCTTTCTCCAACAAAATAAGAGATCTTGTCAATAATGATGAATTGAATTTAAAAATTTCTAATATTGTTCAGTCAATGAGCATAGTGCGACCAACACATTGGCCTCGAGAAATAAACAAAGTTTACATCAATTTCAATGTTAAACAATATATACGAGCCACTTGTGATTTTCATAGGGTGAGATATTTAAACAACAATAGAAGACAACAACTTGATCTCTATTTTAGAACTCGTGGTTAACTATTTGAATGGAATTTTTATCAATAACTATTCCTGTAAATTGTCGCACCTGTTTGATCATATTAGTAAGTGTATGATATTTGGTGGGTGAAAACAGTATGCATTCTAAAAAAATCAAAGTTTTTTTTGTTGATACGTACAGAGAATGATTATGAACTTGTTTATCAGCATCTTGTAATATGTACAGTTCTAAACATGACAGTTCTCAACTTGTTTCAAGTGATTTTTTTGAAGTTGTTTCAATAGTGTTTCAAATTGTAAGTTAAAACAAAGTAAATAAAGAAATTTATGCGAAAATTTCATTCCAAAAAGCATGAATAGTGAAATTATGGCTAACAATAACATGTTAACATTTTTTTTCTTCAACGCATCTTGATATGTTTACAAAGTGTTTGGCTGGTAAACTGGCTCCTTATGTTCGAGGAAATTTCGTTAAGTCAGGAGAGACTCAAAAAAACATCGCCTAAGAGCAACCTGATTTTGAAGACTGGCTTCCAGTTGTAGTTCAAACTCAACCTTTAAAGCGAATCGGTGCACCATCAATAGATATTGCCTATTTTATTGCTTTCCTCGCATCTGAACCTGCAAGAAACATGACTGGTTCAATAATTGATTATGTTTCAGGATATATTGCGAATGATGCTTGTGAAAAACAATCTTGCATTTTAATTGTTTGAGTAAAAACTGTCAATAACCAAATAGAACCACTGTATAATTTTCAAAATTCAATCAATTACCAGGATAAAATTGTCTAAAATGCTCATTAAATCAAGCTAGAGGTATGTTAAAATGGATTAGATTTGTTAACTAAATGGTGGTGAGTAGTAAAAAAAAGAGACACTGTGGTGACAAAAACATAATCCACATGATGAATCACTGAAGAGACAAAATAAAAAATTGGAGAGAAAGAGTAAACAGAAAGGATAGTCATTCATTTTTGGAGATGATTTTTGAAATAGCCAGAAATATATCATCAATCATTGATGATCAATGCACATTCAATGCTTCAACCGTTGAGATAAAATTTTGTGGGCAGCATCGACTTATGTACTCTGAGAACCATGGTACTCTTTGATATTTCTTTAAATATGTACTTATAAGTATTATCAGTAGGATCTAAACTTTTAATTATTAAAAGCATTCTTAATGAGAATTAATCATTCGGTACACTCATAATGTAGTCGACTCAACTCTTACACCTAATTGCTTGCTTATATGCTCATAGGTAAATTTACGTTTGCACTCTGATTAAATATTATGGAGAGTAAAGTGCATAATAACTGAGCCAACCAATCAATTCAGGCAACAAAGTCACTTTGATCACTGGCTCAAGTGAATCGGTAAAGCAACAGCTTTACTCTTTTCATCTTTGGGTGCTAAAGTGGCCATAGTTGGACGTGATCAAAGTAAACTGGACAAAGTTGCTGCTGGATGTGAAGCAAAGTCACCACATCGCTACAAGCCAGTTGTTATTAAGGCTGATTTCGTTGCAGATGAAGATGTTGTAGGAACCTTTGAAGAAACCATTTCTGCCCATAAAAAATTTTGGTTAACAGTGTTGGTTTTGCTGGTCGTGCTGATTTCAACGATCCTAATCCCGATCTTGAGGTGTTTAATCGAGTTATTGCAAGTTAATATTCGATCTATTATTATATTATTTTGACTGAATTGTCTGTTCCATTTCTCACCAAATCTAAGGAACCGTTGTCAATGTATCTGCTATTAATAGCCTGACTGCGGTAAGTCATTCTTAATTGATTTATTTCGTACAGAAATAGTAGTTCCATTTTCTAGATTCTATATTTATAATGTATTTAAACGTCTTTGATTTCAGAATTCACTCATTGGGTTTATGGTGTGTCCAAAGCTGCACTCGATATGTTCACCAAGTCAATGGCTGGTAAATTGGCTCCTGATATTAAAGTAAATAGTAAATTCAGTTAATCCTGGTGGAGTTCATACTCATCCCCTTGAACCTTCAATGTTGGAAAAATTTATATCCATGAAACCCTTAAAACGAATTGCTGAACCAATAGAGATTGCTAACTTTATCGCTTTCCTGGCATCTGACGCTTCAAGAAACATGACTGGTTCCATTGTTGTTTCTGATTCACGATTTCTTTGTGCTGATCCATCCAGTCAATCCTGGTGGAGTTCATACTCATCCCATTGAACCATCATTGATGGAGAAATTTAAAGCTATGAAACCCTTAAATCGAATCGCTGAACCAATAGATATTGCCAATTTAATTGCTTTCCTGGCATCTGATGTTTCAAGAAACATGACTGGTTCAATCGTTGTTTCGGATTCTGGATTTCTTTGTGCTGATCCATACAAAGTACTCTCGGGGAAATAAGCTTTGAAATACAGTCATGATTAAAAAAGTTCAAACTTTGTTAACCTTGTTAAGTTAATTTGTAAGCGAGATGTGATTGTTTCAAGCTAAAGGTATCTGATTTTAATAAGAATACTTGTAAATGATGTTTAATAGTCAACTAGAGGCATGTAACCGATAACAATTAGTATTCAATAAGCTACTCGATAAGTCAAAAAGTATTTTGAAGTTTAAATCCCAATCTACATGTTTATTGCTTTAATTGTATTTAAAGTGGAATAAAGTGAGAACATAAACTTTAATCGAAGAATACACCGTTTCTGCAGGATTGATGGTAAATTTTGATTCTAATGAAATAATCGGCAATTCAGACAAATATTTTACGATCTTCAGTACCATTGTCAGAAGAAATGAGAGATTCCCTGACTTTCCGTTTGTTGATTAGATTCAATTGCGAATGAACTAAAAGAAATTAAGTAATTATTCAGAGTAATTTTATTGTTTAATGAATACACTTAAGCATTTGCAATGTCAAACAAACTCAAAAAGGGTTCAAAATGGTGAGAGAGTTGTTTTGTCTGAATAATGGCTATAATGAAAAAACTCAAAAAACTAAAGCTTGTTATCGTTATGAAGTTTAATTGCATTTTATATTCCCGAGAGCACTTTGTATGGGTCAGCACAAAGGTATCCTGAATCAGAGACAACAATGGAACCAGTCATGTTTCTAGAAGCGTCAGATGCCAGGAAAGCGATTAAGTTAGCAATCTCTATTGGTCCAGCAATTCGTTTTAAGGGTTTCATGGATATAAATTTTTCCAACATTGAAGGTTCAAGGGGATGAGTATGAACGGCACCAGGATTGACTGAATTCACTCTAATATTAGGAGCCAATTTGCCAGCCATTGACCTGGTGAACATATCAAGTGCAGCTTTGGACACACCATAAACCCAATGAGATGGATTCTGCAACAAAAGACGTTTCAATACATTTTAAAATTTAGAATGTGGAATTACTATTTCTATACCAAAATAAATCAATTAAGAATTACTTACCGCAGTCAGGCTATTAATAGCAGATACATTGACTATGTTTCCTGCAGATTTGTTAAGAAATGGAATAGACAATTCAGTCAGACGAATAATAGATCGAACATTGACTTGCATGTTTCGATCGTACTCAACAAGATAATTGGGATCATCAAAATCAGGGAAACCATGAAGACCAGCATTGTTTACCAAAATGTCCAAAGTTTTATAAGCAGAGATTGTCTCTTGAAAGGTTCGAATAACATCTTCATCTCTAATAAAATCAGCCTTAATAACAACAGGCTTGTAGTGATGAGGTGACTTTGCTTCACATTCAGCAGCAACTTTATCCAGTTTACTTTGATCACGTCCAACTATGGCTACTTTAGCACCCAAAGATGAAAAGAGTAAAGCTGTTGCTTTTCCGATTCCAGCACTTGAACCAGTAATTAATGCTACTTTATTATTCAAATCAATCATTTTTAAAGTCGACTTATATAACAGTTGAATCGATGAACACAGTTTATGTTATTTTTTAACTGATAGCAATTTGATGCTGTGAGTTGCTTTAAATACTTAATAAAAGCAACCTTGCTTGGTTAGGATTATTGAATGTTAAGTTTTCCCCTTTTTTGGTAACCAATTTTGGGATGCAACTATCAACAACAATGAGTAGCTAGGTCAGTGCAGTTATTATGAACTTGACTCTCAATAAAATCCAACAAGACTGCACGCGTCTATTTACCTAAGTACAAAAGCACTCAGAGCAAAGGCTCTAACGTTATCGTGTCGAGTGCATTATAACTGCACCAAATGATTTTGTTTATTTCCACTTAAGAATGGGTATTGAAAGCTTAGAGCCTAATGATAATAGTAATAACTAAATAAGGCATATCAAAGAGCACCAATTATTCGTTAGGTGGTTATAATGCACTTGACTCTCGATAACATCTAATTAGGGCATCTGTTTCGATTGCTTGCTTATGTACTCATAGGTAAATTTTCGTTTGCATTTGGATCAGGTATTATGGAGAGTCAAGTGCATAATAAGTGAACCAACAGAGCATATGATGCTCTTTGAAAGTCCAATCCCTAACCTGGTAACCAGTAATAATTGAAACACTTTTCGATCAATTAATTTCGGTTTGGTTGTACTAAGTATTTTGAAAGAAACTAAATAGATCCAAATTGGTAAAAAAAATTATTCGCTGTGTTCGTTGGTTCAACTGTTATAAAAGTTAACTTTATAAAATGATTGATTTGGATAATAAAGTAGCCTTAATCACTGGCTCAAGTGATGGAATCGGAAAAGCAACAGCTATACTCTTCTCATCATTAGGTGCTAAAGTAGCCATAGTTGGACGGGATCAAAGTAAACTGGATAAAGTTGCTGCTGCATGTGAAGCAAAGTCACCTCATCACTACAAGCCTGTTGTTATTAAGGCTGATTTTGTTAGAGATGAAGATGTTGTTCGAACCTTTGAAGAAACCATTTCTGTTTATAAAACTTTGGACATTTTGGTCAACAATTGTGGACTTTCTTCAAAAAAAGGGTTTGGCGAACCTGATGCTATGGCTGATTATGATCGAATTCAGCAGGTTAATGTGCGAGCTGTTGTTCGTCTGACTGAATTGGCTGCGGCACATCTAAAGGAAACCAATGGAGCTATCGTTAATGTTTCAAGTGTGGCAAGTTTGAAATCCGTGAGTAGTAATAAAATAGCTTTAAAAAAGACTAAGAGTCTTAATTCGGCTTTTGTTGTTTCATTCACAGTTTTCTGCATCTTGGTCTTATTGCATGTCAAAAGCTTCCCTGGATATGTTTACAAAGTGTATGGCTGGTAAACTGGCTCCTCATGTTCGAGTAAACTCGGTTAATCCAGGAGTAACTCGAACTAGCTTTGCCCGACATATACCCGGTTCGGAAGCCATGCTGCCCGTTTTAACTGAAAAACAACCTTAAAACGAGTTGCTGAACCATTAGATATTGCCAATTTAATTGCTTGGCTAGCATCTGACGCTGCAAGAAACATGACTGGTTCAATCGTCGTTTCGGATTCTGGATTTCTTTGTGATGATCCATATAGAGCTCTCTCTGAAAAATAAGAAACACAACCATGATTACGAGAAAAACTGCTTGTTATTTACTGTTTTTTTACGCAAAAGAAGCTCAAATTTTTGATAAATACTGATAAAAGTGGTGATGTTCAAATAGAATCATTGTAAAATTACAAAATAAAAACATCATCCCGAGAAAGTTGTATAAAACGTTGATAAACAAAATCAATTATCTCCAGATTCATCCAGTAGTCATTAAATTTCATTATTATTGATTGAACTCTCGTGTGAAAAAATCATTATAACTTTGCATTTAAAGATTTTAAGATTTCATTCAGCTTCTCATCTCCTGAATAACAGTTTTGCTTATGATCTCCAAAATTATACAAAAGGAATTCAGATAGTTTGCGTTACTTAGCAGGATTACAATCCTTAACTTTGGCTCAACATATTAAAAGATCACTGTTACTTTATTCACCCATTTGCAGTTTTTTTAAACGCGATAAAGTTTTTTTACTATTCCGTTGTAACAAAGCAGCTTTAATCACAGTCTCAAGTGATGAACTCAGAAATACAACTTTGTTCTCACTTGCTTTACTTTCAGATTTTTATAAAGCTTAGATAACAATGATAATATTTATAAGTACACTGTAAAAGAAATAGCAAAGAGCACTGCATGCTCGTTTGGAAGTTATTATGCACTTAACTTTCGATAATATTGTCAGACCCTGGATTTTGATTACTAAATTTATTATCAGACTAAAGAATTAGAAATAAAATGTGCATCAGACCCGGGATTTCTTGGAATAAATGAAACAGCGAAATAAACTTTGATCTATTTTATGTAAGGTTAAAGAATTAAGAAGCAAAATTTCCAAGTAAGAAGATTTGAATAAGGTTAAATGAAACTTATTTTATGATTAAAAGAATTATCCGAGAAGCTAAATGGTTCTGAGAAATTGCTAACCTAACTCATAAATTATTAAGAATTAACCAATAAATAAGGTATTTGCATACGGATAAAAGCCTAAAAATAGGTTCAAGGGTCCGTCAGACCCAACTTTCCCAGATCGTAAATTGATAAAGTTAACTATCAAGAAAGAAAGAAGGTCAAACGACCATCTGGTGACTTAAGGTCACGAACTCTGCTCTCCCAAACGGGACTATATAAAGAATTGGTAAAATTTGATCAATCATCCATAAGCCTAGTTTTGAAATTATTACGTTTAGATTGTGGATCAACAAGTTTGGTTTTTCAAGTTCAGTTTGATTATATTGAAGTTAAGATATTGCTTGGTGTTGTTCAGTCTTATGTACCTTTCTTTATTTATGTGTTTAACAGCAGTCCTATGTAACCATAGAATTAATAAAGAAAGTTCAACAAGAAAATTATGTCTTCTTTATGTTTAATAATCATCTTAAACGGTCGTCAGACCCATCATCCTCATCATCATACTACACATGGAACCCGACTCGGTGACAAAATGGAGGTTCCACCGAGAGTTTTGTGAAAGTGCTTACCAATTAACAATAACTTTATCATCTCTTGTGATTAAATTGAACAATTAACTATAATCATCATAAACTTTCATCCAACCTTTGTGTTTAAATTCATCACTCAACAATAACAATTTGTGTATTTTAATTTTGAATCATCAGTGGCTTTATCCTTGGTCTGACGTGACAATTCTACTCAATTCCATTTGATCAACTTATTTTATCAACAAAAACTGTTCCATATTCCTGATATTTGTCAGATATTCTTGGTCTGACGGGACTTTCAACCCACGCTCATCAACTTTATCAACTTAATTATTGCCTTATTTGGAAATATCTTGGGTCTGACGGAACTTTTCATCAACTATCCTCCACTTGTCATTAAAATTATCTTTAATCTTTTATCTTTAAATTAAATTCATCTTTAACGAAAGTAAGGTCTGACGTATTAAAATCCATTTCCTTTCTTTTTCTTTCTCACTATATTGAGCCATTATTCCATTCCTTTGAAAATCACTTGATTTGCCTTTATTATTATACATTTACAATGACCGAAACCGAGGTAAAGACTGTTAAACCTGTAGTTTCTTTGCCCAGAGGACCTAAATTAGACTATTTTGATGGAAGCATTTCTTCAAAAGTTTTGAAATTTATTGACAAATACGAAAGTCCTGCGAAATTTTACTCATGGTCTGAGGAAGATAAATTACAAAGAATATGTCTTTACCTCGAAGATTCCGCACTATCCTGGTTTAAACAGGAGATTGAACCGAAAGCTAGTGATCCCAAATTTACTTGGTCCACATTTCTTGAATTGTTTAAAGAAACTTTTTTACCATCATCCTATAAAGACTTTCTGGCTGAACAACTAAATAATAGAAAACAAGATGCTAGTGAGCCTGTAACACGATACATTATCGATGTTAAAGAGTTGTGTTTAAGGATGAATCCCTCTATGGAGGAAGCTGAAATCCTGAGACATCTTTTTCGAGGCATCAGACCTGAACTAAAGTCTGCGCTTTATGCTGCTGAAGTTGAAACAATTGAAAAATTTAGCAAATTTGCCAAAAACCTTGAAAAAGGAATGGTCACTACTTCTCCATCTAATGAAATTTCCGAATTAAGAAATTTATTCAAAGAATTTATGGCAAAGAATACATCGCAAAATCAAATGAATAGGCCTAGATACGCCAATGCTATTCAATCTCGTCCTGAACGAACTACAGATAATCAGCCTATTTGTTATTATTGCAAAAAGCCTGGGCATTTTAAGTCAAATTGTAGATTGTTATTGTCCAAACATAACCAAACTAATTATCCAAATAATTATCTAAATAATCGCCAGTCCAGTTATCAAAATAACAATCGTCAGACCGGTTATCCGAATAATTTTCAGACTAATTACCAGAATAATCGTCAAATTGGTTATCCAAATAACCGTCAGACCGGTTATCCCAATCAACGTTATGATAATAATAATCCAACTCATAACCAATTTCGAAATCCTATTCCCAATGACCAATATTCTAGTTCTACACAAGAAGAGTGGGTTCAGTATCACCCACCAAACTATTCAAGAAATGTCAGGCCTGACACCAATTCGACCCGAACTGGGAATACTTTTACCCGAGGTCCTAATCCTAATCTCCCTCATGATCCTCGTACTTCCCCACCTAACGCTCTTCCTGCACCTCCAACTACGTCAGACCAAGCTGTTAATCGGGTTTCCACATTAAGTGAAACCTCAGATGAAAATGAAAACTATGTATTTGCTACCGCTTGGGTTGATGAGAAAAAATTAAAGTGCATCATTGATTCTGGATCAGCTGTGTCCATCATCAGAATTTCTTCAGTCCCTAAGCCTAACAATATGCGCCATTATGAGGGTCCTAATATCACTTCAGCTAGTGGACATCATATTTCTATTTTGGGAAAGATAAGGTGTTTAATACAAGTTACTGGTATCCCAACTGCTGTTTGGACTAATTTATTAGTGGTCGCTGACGATTTTACTTATCCCTTACTGCTGGGAAATAACTTTAATAAAGCTGCTGGTGTTGTATTGGACTTGCGTACTATGAAGGTACAAGCTCAGACCGGGCCAACGGAACAATTGGATAAGTCTAACCATTTTGATTTTATTACTAATTCTGATTGTACTAAGTATTCCTTAAATTTAGGATACCAATTTGAAACTAATGATGGTCTTATACCATTAGATTTAAATATTGTCGAAACACCAAGCAACCTTAGATGTTTAGGTCTGACAGTTGTAAGCGAGATTGATATTTCCTCGCCTAATGATCAAATTTTATCTTTCTAAATATCCATTGATACGCTTTCTATTCAAAATAATAACAATTCCCTTTCCCAATGTGAAGCAGACAATAGGTCTGACGAGTTAAAAAGTGAAAATTCAGACTTGAGAGAAATAGATAAGCAAGAAAATTTAGATACTCTAAAGTTAGACCATCTTGACCCTTCACAACAAAAACAAGTCAAACAACTTTTGAATGAGTTTCTGCCAGCTCTAGCTTTTGGGAAAGAGAACCTGGGTCAATGCACTTTGTTTCCTCATATTATTGACACGGGTGACCATCCACCAATAAAAAGTAATCCTTATCCAAGGTCAGAGGCTGAAAGACTAGAAATCAATAGACAGATTGGAGAAATGATTGAGCAAGGAGTCGTCAGACCCTCTTTCTCTCCTCTGGCTAGCCCCATTGTATTAGTTTCCAAACCTGATGGTAGTAAACGTATGTGTGTAGACCTTCGAAAGGTCAATGCAATTACTAAGAAGGATGTCTATCCCTTACCAAATATTGATATCATTTTGTCATCCCTAAGAGGAAGTTCTTATTTTACTGCTCTTGATTTAAATTCAGGATATTGGCAATTAATGGTACACCCAGATGATTTTCAAAAGACTGCTTTTATAACTCAGGATGGTTTATATGAATTCATTCGTATGCCATTCGGTCTGACGGGCGCTCCTTCAACTTTTCAGCGTACTATGGATGTAGTTTTAGCTGGTTTAAAGTATAATCAGTGTTTAGTTTATTTGGATGATGTAGTCATTTTCGCTTCTTCCTTTGATGAATTAATCAAAAGAAGCAGAAATGTATTGAATGCATTGAAAGAAGCCGGTCTGACGATAAAAGTTACTAAATGTAAATGGGCAGTAAGAGAAATGTTATTCCTCGGACACATAATAAATGAATCAGGAATAAAAACTGACCCAGAAAAGATCAGAGATGTTAAAAATTTCGAAGCTCCTCGCGATGTTACTGGTATTAGAAGCTTTATTGGTATGGCTGGCTATTATCGAAAATTTATCACAAAATTTTCTGAGATCGCTGCACCCTGATTAAGACCCATCGAATTAAATGATTGGACACCTAGATCATTTGGTCTGACACTCAATTTACTCTCTATATTACTTTTATTTACAGTAAGTATCCTCTGTGTTTATACCATACGATTTCGAAGGCGTATATTAATTTCACCCAATGAACAATCTCGTCCTGAAGAGGTACCTCTAGAATCAACATCAGGCTGGAATAAGCGTGATGCGAATACTACAACTAATGAGAGACCAACGAAAGGGAGTTTGAATAAATTTGTTACCCTATCCATCTGTTCATGTTCCCAGTACCAGGTTTACTCTTCCCATTAAATGAATCTAACATTGAAATCATTCAAATTTCATATGGAAATCCTTGTCAGAAATTTCAATTACTCGAAATGCAGAACAGTTGCCATAAATTACTAAACGAAACCTTCGTCAGACCTCTGAGTTCGATCTGCTTTTTGGAACCCGAACTCCAAGTAATGAATCATGAAACTTTTCCGTCTATTAATAATAGAAGAAGAAGATCCACAGCAGATGAAATTAAATTAGTTGCAGTACAAACTAAATTGATTATCATCAAAGAAAAAGTAACTCGATTCCTATCTGCTTGGAACTCCGGTGAAATTTCAATCAATATGTTGAATGAGATCGGAGTAGAAAATATCACTCGAAATGAAATTAGTCCATCTAGGTTAACACTAAAACCTTTATTCTGTGACATTGATACTCGGTGTCAACAATTAACGATTGGTTTCATGAGAATTGAAGATTCTTTTGTTTGTTACACTTGGTTAACCTCATTATCTATCTTAATAATTATGTGTCTCCTTATTTTAATCAAATGTATGTGGTCTGACCGAATGTCTGACCATGTAAAATTGCTCAAAATTACTGACAGACGGGAAAGAATTCCTTCCTTTCCTCCTCCACCACGACTGTGGTTTGCTTAATCAAATCAGACCCTAATTAATACCTCTTATTTATCATCAATTACACACTAAAATTAAAAAGCTAAAAAAAAATGAGAAAAAGAAACAAAAACGCAAGTAAAAATAAGCATTAATACTAATTCACACCGAAAGGATAAATTAGTACATTCATTAACCTTCCTATTATGTTAACATACATTTATAATGAATTTATAAATTAAATTAAAGCAATTAACACTGATAATTAACGTTTAAGTGAAGAAATAAAGAAATTCAATTTGTTCGATAATCGGTTGCATGTAAAAATCGAACATCGGACTTGTATCCGGATAAATATCGAGATCAGGATCAAAATTGGTACTTTTTAACAAAACTCGGTCTGACCACGATTTAAATTGAATAAAAGCCCAATTGCATATCAATTTAAGCCTAAACAGTTAATTTAAATCATAAACATTACAATTGTAACTATTTAATGACAATTTATAATCCAAAAATGTCAAAAGATACGGTCTGACACTGATTAATTGTCAGAAATTTATACTAAATCAGTACTTTTTGATGTTAGACAATAACTATGTTGTAGAGCATCATTTAAATGATTTATTTAAATAAAAATAATCAAGAAATAACCATTGATTAATTTAAAACAGTGGAAAAATGAAATTTTGTCGTTCGATTATCGAATGCATGCAAACATCGAACATCGGATCCGAATCCGGACTCATATCGGTAGACTGGATCCGTCAGACCAAAATTTTAATTAAGTTAATTTAGGGAATTTAGAACGATATTCCGGAATGAAATTATGTTTAAAAATCGTTTTAAATCATCCTCTTTCTCAATTTATCCTTCAAAATCTTAAAACATAACTAGAAACCATTTTAGTATTAAATTTTATTTTTTAAAACCATAAATGAAGTAAATTTTGGAGAATGTATGTCGTCAGACCTTCTTTTTACGCATTGCCAGGCTTGAAATTAATTTAATAAATAAAAATAATAATGATAATATTGTTTATTTGGTGAAAATCAAGAAAAATTGAATTAAATTCATTCGATTATCGAACAACAAAAACTATCGATCATCGGATCCAAACTTGGATCCAATCCGGGATCAAGATTGGGATCAACAGCTGAAATTAGTCAGACCGCATTAAAAGAAATAAAGAAAGAATAGAAACGCTGAATTCAAAAGTAAAAGCATTTATTGAAACTTAAAGAAATCATTGTGCATTTTGCCATTTATCAAAATCAGCTGCTTGTTACCCATTTCTATTTGGCAATTTTTCTGCGTGATTGCGTGCCAAATGCTGCGATAGATTTTGCCAACGCTTGGCCTCAGAAAAATTCACTTTTTTTGTCACAAAAGGCACATTTTAACTTAGGAGGATCAAAACTAAAACCAATCCAAAATCCGAATTCTGGGTTAGACTCCATCCTTCTTGCCACCGTGAGAAAATTTCCTCCAAGAGCTTTCGCCTCCGCAATCAGTGGCGAAAGATCGAAGTTTGTACTACTTGAAACACCCACTGGAGCACAAATTGCTGGTCTTTGAGTTGAGGCCCGAGGATGAACCATCCGTCCAATTATTCCAACACGGTGCATTTCACCAGTTGCAGAATCCATTTCAACAATATGTCTTTCTTCGATAATATTGGGATGGCAAAAGGGAAAACAAGAATAATTGTGATCACCATTATTTTTAATTGGAGACATTCTTAGAAAGAAAGTGTGAATATAATTGAGAAATAAGAATAAATAGTATGAATACAAGGATATCAGACAAAAGTGCGGGAATAAATGTAAACAAATATGGTGAATACGGGAAAAGGAAACTGATACAGTGGCGCCATCTGTTAACTAGTGAATAAACATAGAATTTGGGTTCAAAAGCGCCAATTTTGAATCAAGATTAAATGATTTTTGGTCTGAAATGCTCCTAATTGCTTTTAAATTGATAAAATAATCATTTAAAGTTAATGATTGTGAAGAAAACATATTTGGACACGTACAAAAGGGACTTTGGACTTTTCGTAGAAGGGATGAATGTCAGACACTGGATTTTGATTACTAAATTTATTATCAGACTAAAGAATTAGAAATAAAATGTGCATCAGACCCGGGATTTCTTGGAATAAATGAAACAGCGAAATAAACTTTGATCTATTTTATGTAAGGTTAAAGAATTAAGAAGCAAAATTTCCAAGTAAGAAGATTTGAATAAGGTTAAATGAAACTTATTTTATGATTAAAAGAATTATCCGAGAAGCTAAATGGTTCTGAGAAATTGCTAACCTAACTCATAAATTATTAAGAATTAACCAATAAATAAGGTATTTGCATACGGATAAAAGCCTAAAAATAGGTTCAAGGGTCCGTCAGACCCAACTTTCCCAGATCGTAAATTGATAAAGTTAACTATCAAGAAAGAAAGAAGGTCAAACGACCATCTGGTGACTTAAGGTCACGAACTCTGCTCTCCCAAACGGGACTATATAAAGAATTGGTAAAATTTGATCAATCATCCATAAGCCTAGTTTTGAAATTATTACGTTTAGATTGTGGATCAACAAGTTTGGTTTTTCAAGTTCAGTTTGATTATATTGAAGTTAAGATATTGCTTGGTGTTGTTCAGTCTTATGTACCTTTCTTTATTTATGTGTTTAACAGCAGTCCTATGTAACCATAGAATTAATAAAGAAAGTTCAACAAGAAAATTATGTCTTCTTTATGTTTAATAATCATCTTAAACGGTCGTCAGACCCATCATCCTCATCATCATACTACACATGGAACCCGACTCGGTGACAATATCTAATCAGACAGCAAACCTGCATTTGTTTATGAGTAAATGAGTACCGAGAAACTTATGATCTTTGCTAGTTAAATTCCTAGTTTCATAACACTTTTCATTCAATGAGTCATATGAAACAAGTTTGGTCCAATTTAGTATTTAAAGCAATTCACAGCTCCAATTACTATTAGTTGAACAATAAAATCCACTGTGTTCATCGATTAAACTGTTGTAAAAAGTCAATTTCAAATAATGATTTATTTGGATAATAAAGTTGCTTTAATCACTGGTTCTAGTGATGGAATCGGAAAAGCAACAGCTTTACTCTTTTCGTCATTAGGTGCTAAAGTGGCCATCGTCGGTCGTGATCAAACCAAACTGGATAAAGTTGCCGCTGAATGTGAAGCAAAGTCACCTCATCACTACAAGCCTGTTGTTATTAAGGCTGATTTTGTTAGAGATGAAGATGTTGTTCGAACCTTTGAAGAAACCATTTCTGTTTATAAAACATTGGACATTTTAGTTAATAGTGCTGGTCTTTCTAGTTACACAAATTTGGCTGATCCTTACTATCTTGATGACTATGATCGAGTTATGCAAGTTAATGTTAGATCAGTTATTCGTTTAACTGAACTGTCTGTTCCATTTCTAACCAAATCTAATGGATTTATTGTCAATGTATCTGCTGTTAGCTCCATGACGTCAGTAAGTTTCTAAGAAATTTAATAAACCCTTGAGTAAAAAATATCACATTGTGATTCTTTAATGGCTGCTCCTTTCAGAATCCAACTCGCTGGGTTTATGGTATGTCGAAGGCCGCACTTGATATGTTCACCAAGTCAATGGCTGGTAAATTGGCTCCTAATATCAGAGTGAATTCAGTCAATCCTGGTGGAGTTCATACTCATCCCATTGAACCATCATTGATGGAGAAATTTAAAGCTATGAAACCCTTAAATCGAATCGCTGAACCAATAGATATTGCCAATTTAATTGCTTTCCTGGCATCTGATGTTTCAATAAACATGACTGGTTCAATCGTTGTTTCGGATTCTGGATTTCTTTGTGCTGATCCATACAAAGTACTCTCGGGGAAATAAGCTTTGAAATATTAGGGGCTTCAAAAAGTCCGTACACAAACAGGGTTATTAAGGTCGCAGCTTCTCACAACTAATGTTTCATAGAAGGCACATACTTGAAGGTCATTAGTCCAAATTATCGTGAAAATCGCAATAATTACTAAAGTGTTAGGCCAACAAAGGTCGAATTAAGCATATTAAATACAGGTCCGACATAGACGTCTTGATATCAAAACAAGAGTCATTTAGCAAAAACACATTCGAATTGGATTCCGTTGCGGTAATGGTACTGCCAGGTGTGTCGCCATCAGAAAATGCCCAAATGAATTTAAATCTGGGTGTTTGCAAATCATGGATGGTGCAAGATTCAGATAACCTGTTTATGTAAGCTGTAAGTCGCCTCATCACTACAAGCTTGTCGTTATTAAGGCTGATTTTGTTAGAGATGAAGATGTTGTTCGAAATTTTGAAGAAACCATTTCTGCTTATAAAACTTTGGACATTTTGGTCAACAATTGTGGTCTTGCTTCAACCAAAGGGTTTGATGAACCTGATGCATTGGCTGATTATGATCGAGTACAGCAGATTGATGTTCGTCTTACTGAATTAGCTGCACCACACTTGAAGGAAACCAATGGATCAATTGTTAATGTTTCAAGTATTGCAGCTATAAGACCCGTGAGTAAAATGGTTTCTTGAATCACGGCTGTTAACTGTTAACATTTTGTTTCATTTGTTTCTTTGTGCACAGAACCCAGGATCTTGGTCTTATTGTATGTCGAAAGCTGCACTGGATATGTTTACAAAGTGTATGGCTGGTAAACTGACTCCTCATGTTCGAGTGAATTCGGTTAATCCAGGAGGAACTCGAACGAACTTCTTTTCGTCTCTGGCTGATCCAGACACCGTTCTGTCTTCTTTAATTCAAAAAAACCCTTTGAAGCGAATCGCTGAACCAATTGATATTGCAAATAAAATTGCATTTCTTGCATCTGATGCTGCAAGAAACATGACTGGGTCAATTGTTGTTTCAGACACTGGCTTAATAGTTGCTGATCCTTATGCGAAATAAGTCTACATTTTAATATAAGCAAAGATAAAACTGTTAATATAAATAAATAATCAAATATAATCATTGTATAATTTTCAAAACAATTTATTTAAAGGAATAGAGAGATCTGAGGAAAAAAGAGATTCAATTGCTATATTGCTGTAATACTTTGATCAACTATCATTTAGAATTTGAAATGACTCAGTTTCAAGTGATAATTTGTACAAAGCGGTCAATGATTCTCGAGATTTGATGAAAATTATTACAATCACATGAGCAATCAATCAAATTGCAACAAGTCTTCCTGAAGTTTGTAATATTGCAATTATTTTGATTGGTAAAATGTGATTATCGAATGTCAAAGTGTAAAAGCAAAAGATGAAGAAGGTCATAACAGCTGATCAAACCAAATATATTGAGATTCGCGAGCGAACTTTATTTATCAACTTCATTCAGTTTAGTTATATAAAATTTCCATTCTATCATTATTTGATTTATTTCATCTTCTAATATTAGAACACTTATTGGATTGAATTATGTTACTTTTTGTTACTGTAATGAACTTAGTATCCTTGTCTAGTGCTTTGATAAAATGTTTCTTTTAAGTTAACAGTTTTTTGGTGCATATTGGTAGATGCAAAGTATGACTACACCCATTACATTTTTTGCTTACATTATTATTATTACTTTCTAGTTGTAAGAAGTGGAAATGTTGTTCAAACTTTTGTAGAAACCATTTTTGCAAATGAAAGCTGCTTTTGGTAGACGATTGTGGTTTGACTAGTAACCCTGATATCGATGATCCTAACTCTAACTGTAACTCGACCCTTCTGTTTGCAGACTTCTTGCTTGAATTTCAATTTAATTCATTTTTTTGATACGGATTCTCATCTTAAAATAAATTGATGCAAAACAAAATTAATCATGAATCATCAAGATAACCAGAATCAATAAACTCTTTATTACCAGCATTGTTCACCAGAATATCCAATCTATTGTAGGCAGAAATCGTCTCATTAAAAGCTCCAACAAAATCTTCATTTCTTGTAAAGTCAGCTTTACAGCACTGTAACGAAACAGATAAATGCGAAATAGCTTGTGTGCACAGATCTTATATCGAAAGTCAAATTCGTTGTACATTCTCTGGTTAATTTAGGTGTTTGTTTGCATTTTGGTTTCCAAAGGTTTCCAAGGTTGGTTAAGTGTAACCCAAAATTAAAAAAAAACTCTGTATTTATCAACATATATCATATAACTGTGAATAGAACGTACACATTTTATCAAATTACTAGACAAGGTCACTACATTGCATTGAGTGCATTGCAACCTGATAAGTGGCAGATTGTTGTGAAGTGAAAAATTCAATGTGACAAGTGAATCAATATGTCTTATCCAGTAGATGATAAAATGATTAAGCAGAATTAAAATCTTATCGATGTTTCGATGATACCCTTCGACTCTAGAATTTCTCGTAACAAGTCCATATCATATAATGAGCATGATCACGAAAACCTGCTTCTTTATTTAATCACGATGATGGGTATAAAATCAATGCATTTGGTATTTGAAGCCGATCGTTTTCACAAATTTTTATTCGACTCATAAACTAAAAGTAACATTCTTTCTGTTTATTTCAACTATTATTAATATTAATATTAATATTATTAAATATAATAACAGTCAACTTCACATTATGATCAATTTGAACAATAAAGTTGCTTTAATTACTGGTTCAAGTGATGGAATCGGAAAAGAAACAGCTATACTCTTTTCATCTTTGGGTGCTAAAGTGGCCATAGTTGGACGTGATCAAAGTAAACTGGATAAAGTTGCTGCTGAATGTGAAGCAAAGTCACCTCATCACTACAAGCCTGTTGTTATCAAGGCAGACTTCATTAGAAATGAAGATGTTGTTCGGACCTTTGAAGAAACCATTTCTGCTTATAAAACTTTGGACATTTTGGTAAACAATGCTGCTATCGATGGAACCAAAGGATTTGGTGAACCAGATGCTATGAATTAATATGATCGACTTATGCAGATTAATGTTCGAGCTGTTGTTCTTCTTACTGAATTGGCTGCACCACACTTGGTGCAGGCCAAAGGAGCTATTGTTAATGTTTCAAGTATTGTTGCTATAAAACCAGTGAGTATTGATTAATTACATAGTTTCACAAACAAACTATTATATTATAATAGTTTAAACTATAATATTTATAAATGTCTTTATGTCGTTTTTGTTTCATTTACAGTTTGTACCAGTTTGGTCTTATTGTATGTCTAAAGCTGCTCTTGATATGTTTACCAAGTGTATGGCTGGTAAACTGGCTCCTCATGTTCGAGTAAATTCAGTTAATCCAGGAACAACTCGAACAAGCTTTGCCCGAGATCGACCTGGTGTGGAAGAAGCTTTTAAATTCATTGCTCAAGCATTACCTTTGAAGCGAGTCGGTGAACCAATAGATCTTGCCAATTCGATAGCTTTCCTCGCATCTGATGCTGCAAGAAACATGACTGGTTCGATTGTTGTTTCAGACTCTGGCATGTTAATTGCTGATCCTTATGCTAAATAAGCTCACTTTTGATTGTTAAATAATCTTAATTGTTTAATTAATTCAATCAAATAAAATCATTGATGGTTTATTAATATTAATAAAATCTGAGATATTTGTCTAAAATTATTCGGTCAAACCATTGTATTCATAAAATAAAAGATCATTAATCAAGCACAATTATCTTGAATTTTATTTGCAAATCATGGTGGCAAACATACATTTAGTTGGATTACCTTCAACCTTTTTGTACCATTCCGTTTGATTTTTATCCTCTTCTACCGGGCGGGGCATTTTGGAGCACTTATTGGATTGAATAATGTTGCTTTTTTGTTACTGTAATGAACTGTAATGATATGTCTGTTAAATGGTTTGAGATGGGAATTGAGTTTAGGTTCTCAGTACAGCATCGATAAAATGTTTTGTAAAAAGCTATTCATTATCTACCAAATGAAAATATTGAAACTCTTGTTCGATTCAATGATTTTACTGTTGTTATGCCCTTGACATCCTTGTCTAGTGCTTTGATAAAATGTTTCCTTTCAGTTAACAGTTTTTTGGTGCATATTGGTAAATTCAAAGTTTGACTACATTTATTACATTCATAGCAATTATTATTATTACTTTCAATATCACTTTCAAGTTGTAAGAGATGAATATGTTGAAACTTTTGTATTAATAGTAAACCATTTCGACTTTTAAACTTTAGTCATTTTGGTAGACGATTGCGGCTTGCTGGAAGTACTGATTTCGATTATCCTAATTATCTTGATGAGTATCATTGATCTATGTAAAATGATCATTTGAATCAATCGGAATAACCAGTTCTTCTGAATCCGAATCCAAATAATTGAGGTATTTTTTCTCTGTTAGTGCCATAATGGCCTTAAACTTTTCTTAACCTGTGGGAAGGAATTATGTTACAAATTTTTGTGAGTTAATTATTTCTTTAATTTTTGCTTCAATTGATTGGAATTTTTTGGTGAAGATAGCTTAAGGTTAGAGGTTTTCTCGGATAAAAGTTAATCCCTTTGAACTAGCTTCATCTACGTTAGTTGAGCAAACCTTCAACTTTTATTTCTCTAAGTTTTCTCTTTCGTAATTTCACTCATTGAATCTACGCTATGTTCAAAGCTGCCCATGATATGTTCGCCGAGTCAAGCAAAAATGGTTTCTTCGAAAGTTTGAACATAAAATATTCGTCAACAAAAAAGACCTTTACAACAACAGGCTTGAAACAGGCATTTGAAATTATTAAAAGGGGAATCAATAAACACAATAAATGTTAGTTATTAAAATTTACAATTTGAAGAAGTCACTTGTGTTAAACATTAAACACTATTTATAAATTGAACAAGCCTTAGTTACCAGTCTAGCGATTGACAAAGAGCAGTTATTATTAATTTGCTCTTTAGTAATTCAATCCATACTGCTAACAAGTAATAAGTGCAACACTTTTCATACAATCAAGTTAATCAATCGGAGTTGGTTTGATTCAGTATTTAACGCGGCTCAGCGATTCAAATTGCAATTAGCTAACGAATAACATTCATTGTGTTTATTGATTCAACTGTAGTGAAATTCAACGTTGAAAATGATTGATTTAAACAATAAAGTTGCTTTAATAACTGGTTCAAGTGATGAGATTGGAGCTGTAAACCTTTGAAGAAACAATTTCTGCTTATAAAACTTTTCAGATAAATGTTCGTTCTGCTGTTCGTCTAACTAAATTGGCGGCACCACACTTAAAGAAAACCAATGGATCTATTGTCAATGTTTCAAGTGTAGCAAGCATAAAATCCGTGAGTAATACATGATCACTGATATTTCATTCACCAACAGTAGTCCGTTATATTTCAAACTTTCTGTCTTTTTGTTATAGAACCTAAGATCTTAGTCTTATTGCATGTCAAAGGCTGCATTAGATATGTTTACAAAGTGTATGGCTGTCAAATTGGCGCCTCATGTTCGAGTAAATTCAGTCAACTCGAACAAACTTCATCCGAAATCGACCTGATTTGGAAGACTTTATGTCAGCTTTAGCTCAAAAACAACCTTTAAAACGAGTTATTATTCGATGAAATGTTGTTACTTTTAGTTACTGCAATGAACTTAGTATCCTTGTCTAGTGCTTTGATAAAATGTTTTCTTTCAGTTCACAGTTTGATGGTACATATTGATAAATGCAGAGTCTGCTTACATTCATAAATATTATTATTACTACTTTCCAATTGTTTGTAAGTAAAACTTACGAACAACCTAAATTTCCCCTTTCATGCAATTAATCAGTAGATTCATCCGGGAATCCCAAAGTTTATCGCTGTTGCTTTATTGCAACGTTTATAGTTTATTTAAGCTTGATCAAGGTTTGTTTTTCATTCAGTTAAATAACTGCTACTGTTGTACATTCATTTCATTAAATCAACTGCACTGAGTGAATAAACAGTTCACAAAATGATCAATTTGGCTAATAAAGTTGCTTTAATTACTGGTTCTAGTGATGGGATTGGAGCTGCAACCGCTTTACTCTTCTCATCTTTAGGTGCAAAAGTAGCCATCGTCGGTCGTGATCAAATCAAACTGGATAAAGTTGCTGCTGAATGTGAATCAAAGTCACCTCATCACTACAAGCCTGTTGTTATCAAGGCTGATTTTGTTAGAGATGAAGATGTTATTCGAACCTTCGAAGAGACCATTTCTGCTTATAAGACTTTGGACATTTTGGTAAACAATTGTGGTCTTGCTTCACAGAAAAAATTTGGTGAACCAGATGCTATATCTGATTATGATCGAGTTCAGCAGATTAATGTTCGAGCTGTTGTTCGTCTGACTGAATTGGCTGCTCCACACTTGAAAGAAACCAATGGATCTATTGTTAATGTTTCAAGTATTGCAGCTATAAGACCCGTAAGTATTCGTTACATAGTCAATGGAACTACAGCTATAAGCAGTAACCTGTTAACGTTTCGTTTTATTTGTTTATTTTTGTACAGAACCCAGGATCTTGGTCTTATTGTATGTCAAAAGCTGCACTGGATATGTTTACAAAGTGTATGGCTGGTAAACTGGCTCCTCATGTTCGAGTGAATTCGGTTAATCCAGGAGGAACTCGAACAAATTTCTTCTCGTCTCTTGCTGATCCAGACGCCGTTCTGTCTTCTTTGGTTCAAAAAAACCCTTTGAAGCGAATCGCTGAACCAATTGATATTGCAAATACAATTGCATTTCTTGCATCTGATGCTGCAAGAAACATGACTGGGTCAATTGTACTTTCCGACACTGGTTTATTAGTTGCTGATCCTTATGCAAAATAAGGCTACATTTTTATAAACTAATTAAGTTATTAACAAAACTGGTAAAAAAATTTGTTCAATTATTTCTTTTCTAATATTGACTTCATTTAGAATTTGAAATGATAATTTGTTCAAGGTTCGCGAAAATTGAGTTTAAGATTTGTTGAAAATTGTGATAACTGAATAATCAAACAGAGTACAATAAAGATTCCTGCAGTCTCACCTATTGCACTGATTTGATCGATAAAATATGATCAAATGCCAAGATGTATTAATAAAGGCGGAAGATTCATTATAATAAAAGTTTACATGTTTACGTATCAAAGATAATGTACAAAGATTCGCGAGCAATGTAACAAGAGGTATTGCCACCGAAGAGTTTTCACAGCCTTAGAGTCCGATTTGGTTCCACTAATATTCATCTCTTCATTGATAGCAGTCACTTGGTTATTGATATTATAATATAATGAAGAGCGATCGAATCAACATTACTAAATCAATAAAAGCCAAATCATGGAATAGCGCCCAAGAAAAACTTATTGATTCTAATGAAATGGAGGACAATTGAGCCAAGTGCTATGCGATAATAATTCAATTTGTTGTTGAGATCATTAGATTTCGTTTCGAAGAAATTAATAGATGGAAACTGGTCGATAATTTAGTTCATTTTTTTCAATAAAATTTGCAAAATCATAATTTAAGACATTCTTGACTCGATTCGCAGTAAGTTGACTGTTTAATGAATAGGTTTGCGCATATTTAGTGCTAAATAAACTGAAAAAGTGTTCAAAATGGTGTCGATTTTGTTGATTTTTTGGATGTTTTCTATTCTTATTTCGCCGTTAGCATTTTGTATGGATCAGCGACAAGAAATCCTGAATCAGAAACAGCGATTGAACCAGTCATGTTTCTTGAAGCATCAGATGTCAGGAAAGCGATTAAATTGGCAATATTCATTGGTTCAGCGATTCGTTTTAAGGGTTTCATCGCTATATATTTTTCCAACATTGAAGGTTCAATAGGCTGAGTATGAACTGCACCAGGATTAACTGAATTTACTCTAATATTAGGAGCCAATTTGCCAGCCATTGACTTGGTGAACATATCGAGTGCAGCCTTGGACATACCATAAACCCAGTGAGATGGATTCTGAAATTGAATACATTGTAGAATGGGAAATTACTCTTTCTGCTTAAATATTTATCCATCCACTCTTTATCCATTAATAAATCAATTAAAGATGACTTACCGCAGTCAGGCTATTAATAGCAGATACATTGACAATGTTTCCTTTAGATTTAGTTAGAAATGGAACAGACAGTTCAGTCAATCGAACAATAGATCGCGCATTGACTTGCATTACTCGATCATACTCATCAAGATAATTAGGATCGGCGAAATCAGCTCCGCTAGAAAGACTAGCACTGTTAACCAAAATGTCCAAAGTCTTATAAACAGAAATGGTTTCTTCGAAGGTTCGAATAACATCTTCATCTCTAACAAAATCAGCCTTGATAACAACAGGCTTGTAGTGATGAGGTGACTTTGATTCACATTCAGCAGCAACTTTATCCAGTTTACTTTGGTCTCGTCCAACTATGGCCACTTTAGCACCTAAAGATGAAAAGAGTAAAGCGGTTGCAGCTCCAATCCCATCACTTGAACCAGTAATTAAAGCAACTTTATTGTCCAAATCGATCATTATTGCTTACTAAATAGTTGAATCAGCAAACACAATGAATGTTATTTTTTAACTATTAATAATTACAAATAATAGCAATTAAGTTTTGGGTTGTTTTAAATAACTAAATTGAATGATTATTGTTTCATAAGAATGATTGAAGGAAAAGTGTTTGCCTGGTTACAAGTTAATAGTAAAAGTCATTGATTTTCCCATTCCATCGCTTGAACTAGTGATTAAAGCTACTTTGTTGTTCAAATTGAACATTTTTTGAAATTGTCTATTACAACAGTTGAATCAATAAACACAGTGAATGCACGCGTCCATTTGCCTAAGGTAGTATTTGCATAAGCAAATGCTCTTATTAGATGTTATCGAGAGTCTGAATGTTCTGCTTAATTTCATCTCAAAAAATCTAAGCCAGTTGACAGAACCAGATTCTATACCTGATTATGATCCAGTTCAGTAGGTTAATTTTCGTTCTGCTGTTCGTCTAACTGAATCGGCTGCACCACACTCGAAGGAAACCAATGGAGCCATAGTTGATGTTTCAAGTTTTGTATAAGACCCGAAATTATCAGTAACAGGTTCGTTGAAATTACGGCCATCAACAGTAAACTGTTAACACTGACAAAGTGTATTGTTACAAGTACTTCTAAACTGAACTCCTCATGGTCGAGTAAACACGAGTCCAGGAGCTAAACCTAAGCTTGTAACTGATCCTTATGCAAAATAAACTTACATTTTAATCCATTAATTAAATTAAAACTGCCAATTATCAAATAAATCTTTGAATGCTTTTCGAAATAAAAAGTGTTAGCTATCTGAAAATCGGTTGAATCTGAATTCAGAATATTATCTTTACTTTATTTACTTTGCTTACAAGGAAAGTATTTGATGACCATCCGAACCGATTTTAGATGATCTTTGATTTACTTACTCAAGGATTCCGAGAGAGTAAAACAGTATTTCTAAAATACTCATGAGAACAAATTGTTTTATTAATTTTCATTCGGATGATTTGGGCTACTTCCCTTGTTAGAAGGATTACAATCCTTAACTCAACATAGTTAAACCAACTGAAGACTTAACCAAAGAAACTTGAACTTTACAAAAGTTTTATTACAGTTACATTACATTACATTACATTGGTTACATTACATTGAGATGTCTGTCAAATGGTTTGAGATGTGAATTGAGTTTAGGTTCTCAGTACAGCATCGATAAAATGTTCTGTAAAAAGTTAATCATTATCTACCAGATAAAACGAATGTATTGAAGCTCTTGTTCGATTCAATGATGCTACTGTTGTTATGCCCTTGACATCCTTGTCTGGTGCTTTGATAAAATGTTTCCTTTCAGTTCACAGTTTGATGGTACATATTGATATTACAATAAATGCAGAGTTTGGTTACTTTTATTACATTTGTTGCAATTATTATTATTACTTTCCAATAGTTTGCAAGTAAAACTTATGAGACATTTACATTTCCCCTTTCATGCGATAAAACAGTAGGTTCCTTCGAGAATCCCAGAATTAAACACTCTTACTTTACTCATAATTCTGCCGCCTGTTATATAAACTCGATCAAGCTTTGCTCGTTATTCAATTGCAAGAAAGCTGCTGCTGTTAATTGATTTTACTGCATCAAATAAACCAAGTGAATAAACATTTTACAAAATGATCAATTTGGACAATAAAGTAGCCTTAATTACTGGTTCAAGTGATGGGATTGGAGCTGCAACCGCTACACTCTTTTCATCTTTAGGTGCTAAAGTGGCCATAGTTGGACGAGATCAAACCAAACTGGATAAAGTTGCTGCTGAATGTGAAGCAAAGTCCCCTCATCACTACAAGCCTGTTGTTATTAAGGCTGATTTTGTTAGAGATGAAGATGTTGTTCGAACCTTTGAAGAAACCATTTCTGCTTACAAAAAGTTAGACATTTTGGTAAACAATGCTGGTCTATCTTCAAAAAAAGGGTTTGGTGAACCTGATGCATTGGCTGATTATGATCGAGTTCAGCAGGTTAATGTTCGAGCTGTTGTTCGTCTGACTGAATTGGCTGCACCGCACTTGAAGGAAACCAATGGATCTGTTGTTAATATTTCAAGTGTTGCAGCTGTACGACCCGTAAGTATTCGTTATATAGTCAATGAAACTAAGGCTATAAACCTATTAAAATTTTGTTTCCAATTTGTTTCTTTATGCACAGAACCCAGGATCTTGGTCTTATTGTATGTCAAAAGCTTCTCTTGATATGTTTACGAAGTGCATGGCAGGTAAACTGGCTCCTCATGTTCGAGTGAATTCAGTTAATCCAGGAGCAGTTCTAACAAGCTTCACCCGAGATCGACCCGATCTGGAAGCCTTAGGACCATTTTTTATTCAAAAAAACCCTTTGAAACGAGTCGCTGAGCCAATAGATATTGCCAATGCAATTGCTTTCCTCGCATCGGATGCCGCAAGAAACATGACTGGTTCAATTGTTTTTTCGGACACTGGCTTATTAGTTGCTGATCCTTATGCGAAATAAGTCTACGTTTTGATTAACCAGTAAAGTTGAAACTGGTAACAATCAATTAGAATCATTGTATAATTTTGAAATAAAGACAATCATTCTCAGAAAATCCTCTCAAACGGTGATTAAGAACCGAAATATTAATTAATAATAAGCCCAGTTGCCAGAATAGATGCCATAGCTGATTATTATCAAGCTATAGATGCCATATTCAATGTTTCAAGTATAATGAATATGCATTCATTAAGCACAATTGTCTTTAATTTATAAATGAAGGAATAGCGATGATTATTGTCACTATTGCAATAGCCAAAGTTGATATAAAATTAGGAGTAATCATGAAAATTCCTCCAAACGAGAAGCCAACATCATTGAAACCGATACGATAAAGGAATAGAGAAATCTGAAGAAAAGAGATTTAATTAATGAATTAATCTAAAGATTCGCGGCATATTTTCTTTTCCAATTCTAACCTCATTTAGAATCTGAAATGATTCGGTTTGAAATGATAACTTGTACAAGGTTGGCGAAAATTGTTGAGATTTGATGAAAATAGTGACAGCTGAATGAATAACCAAACAGAGTACACCAAGTATTCCTGTAGCCTCACCTATTGCACTTATTTTGATCGATGAAATGTGATGATCGAATGCCAAGATGTAAATACAAAATATTAAAAAGGTTACGTTTTTACTAATCAATCAAATGTACAAAGATGAGTGAGCGAACTTGATTAATCAACTAAGCGATGTACCAAATGGTATTGCCATCGAAGTGTTTTCACAGCCTTAAAATCCAATTTACTTCCATCAATGTTCATCTCTTTACTGATAGCAGTCACTTGGTTATTGATATAATAAAGAGCTGATTGAACCAAAATTGCTAAATCGATAAAAGCCAGATCCTGAAATAGCGCCAAAGGTAAACTTATTGAAGCTGCCAACATAGATGTCCAATAATGTAATGGATCGTCATTGTTTGTCTTCGAAATAACATACAGTTTCGAGGCTTGACCATTGGAATGATAAGGCCAAGAAATCTTGTAAACCATCATTGTATAGTAAGCTCTTGGTATGTAACTGAGAATTGTCAGCATTCTGTAAGCTGCTCGATGAGTCCAAAAGTATTTTCGAGTTTGATGATCGAAATCAATGTCTATTGCTTTATAGCGAGTGGTTATTTCATCAAAGAATGTTTGATTGTATTTAAAGTAAAACAAGATAAGAATAAAAAGTCTAACTGAACAATACATTACTTCTGCAGGATTGACAGAGAATGTTGATTCTAATGAAATGGTCGGCAATTGAACCGAGTATTCTGTGACCAGTAGAACAACTGTCAGAAGAAACAAGAGATTCCCTGTTATTCCGTTTGTCGAAGCGTCATTAGATTCCATTTCGAAGAGACTGAATCGATGGAAATTGGTTGATAAATCATTTCGTTTTTACTCAATAAACTTTTCAACATCAAAATATCAGACATTTTTATCTTAACTCGGATTGAGTTTACTGATTCAAGAATAAGACTATTTTCAATTTTCATTAGATAATTTTTCAATGTTAGACAGACTCGAAAAGAGTTCAAAAAGTTGTCTTTTATCAATTTTACAAATGCAAAAGCTATTAAAATTGTCACTCAAGTTGGAGTTGTATGAAATATTGATATAATGAATTTAATGTTATGTTCTGAATAAAAGTTGATTTTAATGATGTTCATGTGTACATTATCAATTGTTGATCAATGCCTTTTTTAAATATTCAAGTAAATGATATATTATTTTTATTATGATATTATTAGAGCCTTTATACAATTTATGTGAACTCTTATTTGCTGTTAATTTGAGTCAAATCGATTTGTACTTCATTAAAAAAAGCAATATGCGTTCATTACGCAAATTAATGTACTAGCATAAATTATGTAGTTAAAAATTGATTTTGAGACAGCAGTTTATCAACTTGTAATGTCTATCTTTCAAGAACTGATGATATTGATTTATAATATGAAATATACAATAATATTGCTCGACTGAATATTTTTTTTTCAATCCTTTGTTTATTTTGGTTTTTATATTGAACAAAATTATACTAATAAAGTAGTCCATTAAACACGTATTAGACATTCTTGAATCAATTCAAATTAAGTTTATTGTTTAATAATCGGGTTTAAGCAATTGCAATGTTGAACGAAAAAAGGATTTCAAAATGGTGTGGTTGTTGATTTTTTCGGAATCATTTTTGTATTTCTATTCTTATTTTCCCGAGAGCACTTTGTATGTCTCAGCGACAAGAAATCCTAAATCAGAAACAACGATTGGACCAGTCATGTTTCTTGAAGCATCAGATGAGAGGAAAGCAATTGTATTGGCAATATCGATTGGTTCAGCGATTCAATTTAAGGGTTTCATGGCTATAAATTTTTCTAACATTGAAGTTTCAATGGGCTGAGTAAGAACTGCATCAGGATTGACTGAATTTACTCTGATATTAGGAGCCAATTTACCAGCCATTGACTTGGTGAACATATCGAGTGAAGCTTTGGAAAAGCCCAATGAGATGGATTCTGGAATTAAATGTATTTTAAAATGCGAAATTGTCTAATCAAGCAACATCGACATTTGCTTATGAACGTTTATTGTAATTTTACTTCCAATAGGCTGATATGGAATTAACGCAATTTTGAAATAAAATTTTTCCTTTAATTTGTCCAAATGCTTTTCTTTTATTTACGGACAAAACTCACATTTTCGTGTTTTTGTAGCCGATAAAGCGAGTTTATTGGCGACATTCAAAACTGGTTGAACCCAATGTTTGATTACATTGGTTTTGTATTTGAACCAGAAAATGGTGAAATAAAGTGGCGCCGTCTTTGTTAGCAAAAAATCACTAATGTGATGTTTTGTTTTGGGTTCAACTGATTGTACTTGTTATTCATTTGCTTCATAAATATGTTATGATTCAACACTAGTCTTCCTTCAACTTATATGCCTTTTAAGTTTCGTTGACAGCTCTAATCAATATCAATTATAACAGATTAAAAACAATGGTTTATTGTTGTTTTTTATCATTATAAGTGACTTGTTTCTTTTGTCTCTGGCTTTTACCTTTTCCTATTGCTGTGGAAATCCAAATGTTAACTTCTGTCTTCTCTATTAATGAATTTTTGATTGGATACATTTTGTCTCCATCATGTTTTCAGCATTAAAGCGCTTAGTTGGCAACCAAAATGATAATAAAACTGGACCAGATGATGTTTTCAATCAAAACAATTGTCCCAGACGTAACAGTGTCCAGCCTATGGGACATCATTTACAACGCAAATTTGCTAAAGGGGTCCAATATAACAGTAAGATCATTCATTCATTTATGGCTGTGTTTACCTACCTTTAATCGTCAACAATATTTTGTCGCTCACACAGCGGTAGAAAAACGGACTTATTTAGTTTTCATATCAATTCTTATCAATCGACAAATGTTCCAACATTTTACTCTTATGCTCAAGTCCTGGCTGAAAGGTACTATACAATTTACGTGTTTTATTGATGATTGATTTATTTTTTGCAGTGAAAATAATTATCAAAGGTGATCGAAACGTTGGTAAAACTTGCCTTTTTATGAGATTACAAGGACAAAAATTTATTGAAGAATATACACCGACTGAAGAAATCCAGGTTTGTAATTGAAAACGTGTGATCATGTTTCTAGGTTATAAATTAATTTCCTTTATTGTATTTCTATTTTATTTAGGTTGCAAGTATCCATTGGAATTACAAAGCTACAGATGATGTTGTCAAAGTAGAGGTTTGGGATATTGTTGACAAAGGCAAGAAGCGACCACAAATCGATGGACTCAAATTAAACAATGATAAACCCACTTTGCCTCCGAAAGAGTCGGAAACTGCTGCCGAACTTGCACTGGATGCTGAATTTATAGATGTTTACAAGGGAACAAATGGTGTAATTATGATGCTCGATATGACCAAAGCATGGACACTCGATTATGTGCAAAGAGAATTACCTAAAGTACCAAGCAATATTCCAGTTTTGGTACTTTCTAATCATCGAGATATGGGACACCATCGTGCAGTTAGTGAAGATCAAGTTCGTATGTTTATCGATGGATTACAAAGAACTGAAGGCTCTGGTCAAGTTCGTTACGCTGAAGCTTCCATGAGAAATGGTTTTGGATTGAAATTTTTGCACAAATTTTTTAATTTACCTTTTCTTCACTTACAACGTGAAACTCTATTGAAACAACTCGAGACTAACTCACTTGAAATAAATGCTACTTGCCAAGAACTGGACATTTTACAAGAAGCTGATGAACAAGATTATGATAAATTTTTGGATATGTTAACAAACAAGAGAAGACAAATAGCTGACCAACTTTCTCAAACTCCTGTTATTAATGGCGACCATACCGGCGGTCCGCCTCGAAGTATTTCAATGCCTGCAGATCTGACTTTAAGAAAATCCTCTCAAAATCCAAACGATTTAATAATGAAACCGTCGCCTAGTATTATTATAGGAGCAACTAAACCCATTAACTTGAAAGATGGTAAAATAATGCCAACAAAAAACGGTGGAAATCCCAGCAGTTCAAAAACAAACATAAACGAAACAGGTGCATCAAAACAAAATGATAATGATTTAATTAGCGATGAAGATAGGTTATATTTGAAATCTTTTCTCGAAGAACAACCTCAAGAATCTAAACTCGAAGATGGTCTCGCTTTGCTCCCAGAAGAAGATGAAAGGTAATAATTATTTTTTATATAATTTATATAACTCCTAATTGTTTTTAATACAATTGTCTGATTCAAATTTCATTTTTTATTTTATAGTGATGATGATAAAACAACTAATCCAATGGTTTCAGGATATCAAGCTGAAATAGATCCAGAAGACAAATGTCCAGAATCGGAAAATGTGATTTTAACTGAACAGATTGCCGAGAAACCGGTTAAATCATCTTTACAGATGGAACAAGAAGATAAAGAAAAGATTCCAGATAAAATTGAAAAACCTAAAGAATCGAAAGAAAATGTTCGAAAGATTCTTTTCGTCGAGGAAAAAACAATAAATGAAACTGTGAAATCTGTAGCAGGAACTTCTCAGTCAGAGAACCGAGAAGCCAAATCTACAAAAGCTGGACAAAAAGGAAAAAAGTCTAAAGAAAAAGTCAAGAATGCATCTAAAAATCAACAAAAAAAGGTTAAAAGCAAGGCAAAGATTACGAACGATGAATATGATGATAATCGCCGATTAGAAGAGTTTCTTGGACCAGGTTGTGATATAATCAACAGTAATCGAGCTGTGAATGAATATGAAACTTTATAACTCGGATGGGTAAACAAAACATTGCGAATTCTTCCAATAAATTAGCGTTTATTAATCTCGCTTTAATTGAGTTGCGTCTCTCGAAACAAATGTCTAAAATGAATTTAATTGGTATGTGATAAACAGCCATAAATTATCACCATTTTATGTTCTCATCGCCATCGTCATTTCATCATCATTAACTACAGTGATCTCTACTCATTCAAACAGGATTTTCAGATTATTCATCTTTTCCCGAAGTAAATGAATGAAAATTGTGCTCTTAATTGTTTATCCCTTGAAACTCATTTCCAAATCATTTCAATATCTTTTGCTTTAATTCAAAATGATATTTAAATTTTTTAATTTCTCAACCCGTTGCAATATTTTGATTTAGTCCTAATCCCATTGATTTCTCAATGTAAAGAATGAAACTGCAAAAACCATGATCTGATTGTCAGAAAACAATTTTTTCTATTCTATTTAATCAAACTGAAATTTATCATTTTAATAAGCATTGAATTTTTGTCTAATTTTAATGTATTAAATTTGTTTTACTCTGCAACAATTTACAAATGGAGAATTGTTACAAAGTAAAAGATGACCTTCAAAAATTTAATTTTCATTTCATTTTTAAATCACTGCTAGACATTTATGATTTATTACCATGACGTAAAAATGGTTAATCTGATAGATTGATGAATTTGATTGATATTCATAACTAAGGGACTGACTGCTTTCACCACGTCCACCACTTTTAACGAAATTTTTTTCCACCACATCCTTCACTTCCCACGATTGTCTAACGCTTTCAAAACTCAACTCTTCGCTGCTTCAAGTGCACACTGACCATAAGTGGTGGACAATTTGATTAATGTGGTTGGTAGATTGAAGGGAAAAGTACCTCAAAAAGTGATCAATAATGTGGTGGAAAAATTTGTCTCCATATTTAAAACCAATGATTCACTTTTTTTACTCAAACTCATGGTTACTAAAAATAATTGTCAATTTTTAGCAGCTAATGTCAAACTAATGACAATAGCAATTAATGATGCACACTTGTATTAACTATGATTTAACAGTTTTCTCAAATCAATTTATGCTGAGTTAATCTGATTTTGTAAAAGTTTTTATTACGCGTTTTGAAATCTCTAATTGTTGTTGACATTGGGATGATTGTGTTTGCTATTATGATCAAGAATGAGAAAAAAAAGTTAACATGATTAAAATTGGTCATAAAAATTTCTATTTAGATTGAGTATTTTTTGCAATCAAAATTTATATTAATTTTTGCCGAAATATTCAACCTTTCTTTTTTTTCGTGTTTCAAGATTTGATGGCAACAACAATATAATTAAAATGTAAAATTACTATTATATAATAAGACAATAGGATTCCAAAAAAATGACTCTTTGTGTTACTCTTTAGAAGATAAAATAATTTACAATGTTTAATGTTCTTGTTAAATGTTTATGTTGTATTTAAAACACCTCAAACTTGCTGCTTGGTTAGTTTTTTTTATTACTACTGGTATGACTTTTGACGGAACAAGGCTGCAATTTCTTCCGCTGATTTGCCTTTTGTCTCAGGCACCTTAAAGTAAGTGTATACTGAAAAGATTGCTAATAAAACGGTGAAAATCAAGAACACATAAGCTCCCATGAGATTCTGTATGAAGAAGAAGAAAAAAAAGAGAAGAAAGTAAATTAGATTAAATTGAATTATGGCAAGGACAGTCGTTGTTGATGAAGGAAGGAAAAAAACTTACACTTAGTGGTAAGAAGCCGACAGTGACTATAAAGTTAGCTGCCCAATTAACACAGACTGCAATACTAGTTGCCATACCACGAGCTGATGAGCCGAAAAGTTCACCAACAAGGAACCAAGGGATTGAACCAGGTCCTGTAGCGAACATTATCACAAAAGTGAGAACCATGATAACGCTAACAAACTCCCAGAAAGACGATCCTTTATTGTTGATGGAGACACATAAGATGATGGTGGTGAACAGCATACCAATGAGACCGCCAAGATGAAGGGTTTTTCGTCCAGCTCGTTCAACGAGAATAAGAGAAACAATTGTCATGGCAGTATTGATTACACTCATTCCAAGAGTTGCGTAAATTGCTTTCATTCCCTCGAGTCCAGCATCACGGAAGATTTGGGTTGAATAGAAGATTACAGCGTTGATACCGGAAAATTGTTGACTCAACATGACTACAACTGAAATAAACATGGGTTGACGGTAGATTGGATTACGCCACATATCCATAAATGATACTTTGGGGACTAATGACATTGAAGCAGCCTCTTGTCTTATTTCTTCGAGTTCATCGTGAATCTCAAGTGATCCTCGAAGCCATGATAAACCTGATTAGAATTAAAAAATACAAAAAGTTGAAAATACGAAAATTTGACTGGAAAAGTGCAAGCAATATAATTGCAAAAATTAATTACCGCTGGCTGCTAATCCTTCTCGCCCCTGGACAATCAATAAATGTTTTGGTGATTCCGGGCAGAGAGGAAGTGTTGCAAACATGAAAATCATAGGAATCAAGGGAATGGCTGGAAAGGAGAGAAAGGAAAAAAAATATTATAAATAAAATGGAAATATCATCAGGTGAAAGATAATTAAGATCATTTTTGAAAGATTCCATCTGAGAGATTAGATACTCCAAGTTTTGTTACGCAGATAAATCTTGTGAAAATTTTCGAATCATCATAAGGTAAAAACCTAAGATAATATGTTACTAGCGAGCTTTTGCAAGATGTCTTTACTAATTGATGCAATTGACTATAATTACTGAATAAATACTAGACATATGGAAATGTGCTGTAAATTGACATTATTACAAGGACACAGGATAAAGAAAATAAGTAGAGTAAAGATGACAAAAGGAGATAAACATCGAAATTACTGTGAAAAAAGCACAAGATTCGACGGAAATAGTAGTCTTGTGTTTATATTTGTAAAGAGTTTGATTAACACTATCCAAGGTCAACTGGCCTAGATCCAATTTAAGTTCATATTAAATCTAATCTTAAAGCAAAATATAAAGATCATCAAGAGATGGGAAAAAAGAGGGTAAAAACTGGATAAACTAGTTTCCATACCGAACAGATATGGCCATAGTGTTGGCGATCCGAGAAAATTTTCAAATCCAAGGACATTTGAGATCAAAATGGAAATTACAAGAATCAGTTGGTACATTGTGCCTACAGCGCCCCTTAAATTAGTCGGTGATATTTCCGTTAGATACATGGGCGTTAAACCGGCTGCCATACCTGAAAATTGACAGAAGATTGTAAAATCAAAATTAGTTTCATGAATGAATTGGAAATGCTGTCTACAAAAAAAAGGTTACAAAATTTCATTTTGATTCTCATTTGACACAATTGACATTGATGGAGCATGCAACGAAAAAACGTACCAGAGTTGATTCCGACGAAGAATCGTCCAATAACTAATAGCTCATAAAAGCCAACAGGTTTTGCAAGAACATTTAAAATAATTCCGATAACAAGAAAAACATTATTGACAAGTAAACCTCCTTTACGTCCGAATTTGGTAGCAAAATAAGCAGTTGATAGAGCACCAACCATTCCACCAACACAATAGATTGATGCTAGTAAAGAGAAGATTAGAGAGATTGTTTGCTGGTCAGGGTTCTCAGCAAAACGACGAGCATAAGTCTCATTGATCCAAGCTTCGATTTGTTTTTGAGGAATATTTGTTACACCAGTATTATAACCATGTTGAAATGATGAGCCGATGGCACCGGCAGCTATTGCAAACAGAAGACGACTTGTAACACCCTTTGGAGATGAAAAACAGGGACATGAGAATAGATTAGATGTTAACATAATAAAATTAAAAATAAATGATTAAAAATAAAGAACAATTAAATGTAAATAATATTTAAAACGATGGTTAAAATTAAAAATAATGAAGCAAAATTGAATGCAAATTAAGACTTAAAAAGGATTCTACAGAGGAACATGAACTGGACAATCTAACTAACCCCATCTTTTGATGGCAAAGGTTACCGTTTATTAACGGTTTTCCTATTGGTTATTGAAATTAGATTTGTGTTGATGTCATTTAAAGGTACAATGTGATAAGTCACTCAATATGATTGATATTAATCGCAGTGAAAATAAATGTGATGCTTCAAGTGTTATGGTGTAAAAGTACTCAAAATTACAGTCAATCCAAAGAGGGAAAAATAATATTAACAGTAAACAAGGTAAGAGAAGTAAAATTGATATTAAATTGTGAATAATTTCCAGATGATGGAACCAAACAATGATAAGTTGGAGGAAGAAAAAAAAATGTATTAGTTTATTATTACAATAAACATGGCTGTCTTGTTGATTGACATGTGAACCACATTTTCAAGTTTTTACTTGGTATTGTTATAAATTGAGAAAAGTGAAGCTAAAAAGATACTTTCAATGGTTAATCATTCATTTCATGATAGCTAATTGGATCCATTTCATGCAAAATTTGACGATTCCTATCAACAGATGATTACAAAATTGAAAGAGTCTGTTTGTCAAGTAAAACTGCTTATTTTCACTGTCAACATTTAAACGATAATTATCTAATTTCTCTCAATGAAACTGCATGGTTATGGTGAAATTGAGACAATGAAAATACATATTTGTAAGAGAATCTCCAAGAGAGTGTAAATGTCGGTTAAAATTGTTGGTTTTGGGTTGATTGTTGATTGTCGATTGTAACTGTTGATACAGAAAAGGAAGCAGAAATTGAAATCTTACTATTTCCAATTTCCTTTCTCCCTTCATCGATAATTTACTCAGCAGTTTGATTGGTAATGGATGACAACAGCAACCACAACAAAAATCATCATCAACAACAACAACAACCCAAAGTTTATGATAAACAGCAATTGGGCAAATATTGAGTAGGAAGTAAGGTTTGCTTGTAGCAGGTTTGTGGGAATAATCAAGGTAAATTTGAGATGAATGTTTATTAACAACGGCCAGAAGAGAGAGAGAATCAACAATTGAATTAAAATGTAAATTTAAACTTTCACAGCAACAGTTGAGTTGCTGTTCATTTTTTTACCATTGCATTTCAACTCTGATGTTGTTACAGCTCATTAAGGGTTGTTAACGAGGTCGTCATGCAATCAGAAAAAAGAGACGAGTTTTTTGTTTAAAATTTCAATACAATTGTGAACAAAATGTGAATTTGAAAGGATAGAAGTATGAAAAAAATAATAAAACTCTCCATTTAGATGAAAAAGATTAGCCTAATGAAGGTATAAAATCACATAATTGATTGTTGAATAAGTATAAGTAATTAGTCGGTTTACATTGAAAATGGATATACACCATCTTATCTCGAGTGCTTCTCAATCTATCAATAGTTTTGGTACAAGGAAAGCAAAGACAACCTAAAATTAACCAGTTTTTTCCCTCTCTTTTTAAAATTGTTAACCAAATTTTTAACCCATTTCAACCGATACCAGGTAAAGCATCAACCAGAAAACCAAGGTTGGGAAAGTCGGGTCAGCTCTTTTGAAAGACAATTAAACAGCCGAGTTAACACACAGTCATTAAATGTATTCACCTTATTTACAGAAATGTTGACTAACGACTGTGCTGAGTTTGGATAGGCAATGAATTCAATTTTTTGTTTCTTCTAATTGTGACTAGACTAAATATTACCAATTAACTGATGTGTTGACTATGAGAATAATAATAATAGAATATTATTAAGAATGATAATAGTAGAGTCGACAGTGTTGGCATAGGGAAAGTAGGAGAAGGCATTAAACAACGAAAAGCAATTATTATTAATTGATGAAAAAACATTTTACTATTCAAGTTTACTTGATTAAATTAGATGAGCTAAGCCATACTGGTACCACCACCATAATCAGGTGATCATCATAGAAACAGTGACAATAAAGTATGAAAAGTTACTATTCATTTTTCACCAATTTAATTACAAGTCAACAACCTTATTAAACAGAATCCGACATCCGTTTCTATTAATCATCATAATAAAGTGATCATTAAAGCCACTGACAATAGTGACAATAAAATATATTGTATCAAACTAACTGGGAAAAAATTCAACAACGAAATGCTTCAAAGTAAATATGAAAAATATTTCAGTCCACTCTATGCACTTGTATAATGAAATCATGGCTTTACTTGTCGTTAAAAACTCGTTTTGCACCAATTTTTACATTAAATGTGTGCTAATAGATTGAATGTTAGAAAATAATTTATATATTGTAAAATTATTTCTTATAAATGGTCATATAAATGGGTAAAAGTTGATTGATTGGTCAAGATAAGCAAACAAAACTCCTTACCTTCATGTTTGGATTGGAGTAAAAAAAACTTTATCCTTGAAAATAAAAGAAAGTAAAACTGAAAATAAAAGTTGTAACTGGAAATAGTCGGTGTTTTGGTCCAAGTAATGGTCACTGTTGTTGTCGTTTGTAACAATGAATCACACTGGTAGGAATGAATAGATGTCAATTGGTTTGGCTAGGTGCTTATATGGTTAAAGTTAATAAGCTTAAGCTGTTTCTTTTTCAAATACTAGAGGCGGAACTTTTATGTTAAGAGAGAGACCACAAAGTTGGGGCTTTACAGAACGCCATCTCTTGTGGGAAAAGACTGAACTTCGGTGTTTTGTTTTTTTGATTTCTTCTTCTTCTTACCTGTCTGATTACAGTTTGTGTTTTAATTAATGTGAATTGATTGCCTTTCTCTAGACTTATTTGTTTATATAATCCTACCTGTTAGACTGAGTAAAGATATACATAAAGAGAGAAAAGGGAAAGTAGGAGAGAGATTAAAAGTGAACTATTGTAAATCAACTGGATCTAGAAAGTTTCAATCTATTCTACCAAAGTGATAGCTTCTACTGTTTAACTAGTGATTTATTTAATGTATTTGCTCGCATAATTTATATCTGTTATAATTGTCTACGAGTAAGAAAGGAAATTTTCACCCAGATAGGATAATAAAGCTTCAACTCGTCATGGTATCAGGTTAACAGATAATTTAAAACAATGCGGACCGATCGTCTGCACCTTTTGGTCTGGACATCACATCACTACAGGTATACTATTCCTTATAATTTTTTCTCTTGTAAATATGTTCTGGTAACGTTCAAAATGACTTTTATATGGTAATTATTTAATTACCTGTGATTGTCATTTCATTTCAAAAATTTTAGCTTTCGATTCAAGTACAGTCTAGAGATCCGAGACAGACGGTTAAAATGAGTTAAACACTACTCACTCTGGCCTATGTAGTTGACCGGTAATAACAGGATTATATAGTGGATGATTTGCTGGATAAAGGTAAACTTAATCGGGATGAAAATTAGAAATGAATATTACCAAAACATATTTTTCACTTGAGTATTTTTTGAAGTAATCGTATTAATGTAGTTTCCATTGTTTACAGGTACAATTGTAAAAGTGAAACTAGAAACCTGATAATCATGATCACTTTTGGTGTGTAATTCAATATTGACGGATACCAATAAAAGTTGGTGGCAATAAGAGTATAAACTGATTAAGAGCTGGTCAATTGAGATATAATGATGTACAATTATCCCATTCATAGGATCCTCACAAGCAGATGAAGGATTTTGTCTGAAGCAATGGGTCCAAAATATTTCATCACCAAAATATACCAAAAAAATATGAACACACATTCATTGCAAGCAAAGTTTCAACTGATAAATCTACCTGCGCATTTAATAAAACATATATCATTCTGCAGTAACTAACAATGTAAGTAAATAAACTGTCAATTACTGTTAATCAATAGTTATTTGGAGCCAAATCGATTATAATCAATATCAATGATGAACAAAATATGTGTCAGCAATTCTCAGATAATAGATTTACCGCCAGATATAAAATGGCTATTTTTAAACCGTTCATTTAAATCATCAAAAGTAGCTTATTCAAAGCAACATTGTTATTGTACAAAAATACATTAACAATAATTGTTCATCAATTGGATCCAATGGTGAAACCAAATAACCTTCACAATTGTTGACCCTCTTAACGATTGATTCTGATAGGAAATAACCCAAATGATTTTTAATGTTAATGATACAATGTAATTAGTTTATGCGATCAAGTTGATTATACTCTAGAAGAAGATACAACTTTTGCAAAGTTAAATGGGTAAACTTTGGATTGACTTTGCAGGCCAACTGATGGATCGAGAGGATTTGATGGATACAACAATCGTAACTAATTCAACTGATTAGTTGCCAATTATTGTTGAAATTATGGTTTAAATTGAAAGACTGTAATTTTAAAATCAACTTTCAACCATTGACGGTTGATTTTACAATGATTATGGTAAAGTGAAATCACTGGGAATATATTTTCATATAAATTAAATATCAATCTAAGAGTACTGTTTAAACCATGTTAAATGACATTAAAATAATATTTGAAATGGACATGAGCGTTACTCAGAATAATAAAGTATTACATGAAAATGGGAAGAAGGTGGGTTAAAGTTGTCATGGATGTTGAGATGGAAAAAAGGGAAGAGAGAAAAAAATAGGAGAATGAAAATTGTTGAAAAGAACATGATGAAGAGAAGATGAAAGAAAAATGATAAACTGATCGATAATAATGAACATGCAATGATTCTAATTGATTATGAATAATATGTTTTGTGACTATTACTCACCCCATGTTCCTTTCTTCTTCCAGTTATGGGTAAAGTGGATATATCACTAATGGAGGATGCAACTGAATCAGCCGGAGAAGGACTTTTATCACGCTCTGGAACATTGAGATAAGCTGTCTCCGAAAGTCGAAGATCATCCATTTCTATAAATGTCGGTCGAGAAGCCAGGTTAAAGTAACCTTATTGTGTAGTGACACACACACACGGATACACAGCACAGAGAGAGATAAATAAAGATAAAGATAAAGGAGACACACGGAAAACAAAACACTTGATTTTTGATGATAAATTGTAAATACTAAAGATGGTGTAAATAGTGATTGTTAATGGTCAAGTTGGTCTAGCTAATGTCAATTGTTAGATGCTGCGATTTGTTTGGTTGACGTTGCTTGCTGTTGATGTTATTGACCAAATGTTGCAATTTGTTTTGTCGATTAACTATATTATTACTATTAATTTCAATTTTTGCGAACTTCAAATTAATCACAAGAACAATTTTTTGCTTTAAAAGAGATTCTTTGAAAATTGAACAATATTAACACTGGTTTAAGGGAAATAAATAGTTGTACTGATTATTAACTGGGGTTACTCACTGGTTAATATGATTAAGTTACGTGTATAAGAATAAACAAATGTATAAATTAATAATGTTTGGCTCGACAATTTGAGGTAATTCTATGTATATTAAAATAATTCAATTTTTAACTAAACAACTATTGATTTTTAAACTCTTCGTGTTCTTCGCAAAAATTATATTTATATGAGTGTCAATGTGTTGATCCACTAATTTTTTGCAGGTTGACTTGGAGTTTTGATGATTAAATCCAAAATATAATCCTCATCGTGGCGAAAATTTGAAGACAATTTGTAGTCATTAGCTAGATTCATCGACTAAATTGTCAGTTGTGAATTGATCAACGAGTGAAAGTCAAAATCAATTTATGATTTATATAAACTGTCCAAGATGAAGTGATTGTTGATTTGTTTAATCATCCTTTAAATTTCCAAATTTTCCTTCTGCAAAGTCCAATTGATAGAACAAGGTTTTGATAAAATTGATTCCATTCCAAAGTATAGTCAAGTTACATGGTTAAATCCAAGGAAAGAGATAAACAAAAGGTGAAAAGGTTAGTTGTTGATATTAATAGTAGAAAATGCATTCAAAATAAATTGAATGCCATCAATATTATTGCTACTTACCAGGATTTTCAAGACATTAATAAAACCAAGAGATGGAATCAGGTTAATGCGAACAAGAAAACCAGAGAATGATGTTTACCGGTGAAAATGCATAGAAGGAAAAGCTACAGAATCTCTCCAGTTGGATTTATATATTTAATACTGTGTCTGCGAGATGATGATGAGAATGGTGAAGAAACACAAGCAACAATAAATCAACAAAACTAAAATAAATTGAAAAGGTAAAATTAGTTAAAAATTTGCGAATTTAAATTGTTGTTGGTGTGTTAATGCTCGTTATATTTTTCAAAGGTTCATCAAAGGGAGGGAATCAAAACACAGTTTTCAATCTACACAATGTGAATTTTACAATAGCAGAAACATTTGTAGTATATGTACATTAAAAACTGTTACAATCAAGACATTCCCTATGCAATTGAAGGCAGAAAAAGATTGCAATGTCGACTCAATGACTTTGGTCTTGGTTAGATCACAAATCGATAAACGCTTGCGCTCTGGCAATAAACAGCTTCCAGTTGTCTGAGACTGTACATGTCTTACTTTCAAAACAACTCGAACACACACATAGGATAAAAGACAGAGGCAATTCAAAGGGAATTAAGGACTTGGAATCGAGACATCTTTCTTTTTCTTTCCTTGTTTCTTTTCTCCTTTCCACTTTTCCCCTCCAAGTCTCTCTTTAACCTTTCTTTAATTTTCTGTCTCTTTTCTCTTCTCGAGTTTTTTTTCTTCTTGGTTCCTTTCTCCTCTTTCCAATTTGATTAGAAACATGCGATGTACGATACACTTCGTTCAATAGTAAAATACAAAAAGTGGGAGCAATTTTATGAAAAGCGAAATGCCGTATAGCTAATAATATCTTGGAAAGTCCTTCTTTTTTGTTTTCCTTCCTTTTTTTGCCTTTCCAATCTCCTCTTCTTGGTGATGAGCAGAAAATTTAGTTTTTAATTCATTGTAATCTTTGGCAAATGAATTTGAGCTGCTTGTAAAATTTTCAGATGATGCGAATGATAAAAAAGATTATCAACAATAATGTAAATTGTGAAAGAGTTGCGATTGAAGAATGGCACGTAGAAATGTAGATTAAAAGATGATGAAGGACTGATGGTTATAAATGATTTATATATAATAAATTCTTAATCTTGTCAAGAGAAGAGAGGAATGAAAACATTCATGTAAACAGATACACAGTGTATTGGATTTTAAGATTGAAGCTAAATAAAGATTGTTTTTAAGACACTTTTGTCCTCTGGCTTTTCCAAGTCAACTTTTTTTGTCATCATGTTCAAATCACATTTAATATTAGTATTGTCACTCTATGTCTTGTGATTATCGTCTCCTGGTAGTTGCAGCTTACTTGATATTTTATCTTGATGCAACTTTTTTGCATACATAAGCCACTTGTTGGTAAACTTGTTAACCATAAACGCGTCAAAGTAATTAATTTTAAATTTCAACACATGTATTCATTCAGTTTGATTCCAAGAGAATTGGCAAGTGAGTCGATGAATTCAATGGTAACAAAATCAGATATTTGATACTTGATTAAACTGGACAGGGATGTTATGGTGACTGAGTTAACTTTGATGAGTAGCTTGAGAGAAACTAGAGTCTCAATTTGTGATAATAGCTGATTAGTTGGTCGATTAAGCATGTTACTCCTTAACTCTTCCTTATCCTCGTTGAGATACACCAAAGCTTCATAAATATGTGTAAGACGTTCCAAAGTGAACAGTTTAGGTCCGGTTATCACTGTTTCCTTTCTAGATGCGTTTCGAGCAACTTTCCTTTTATCAGAAGCAATAACGAACAGTTTTTTATCAGATGCTTTGGTATTGTTGGATGCGAGGAATGCTGCCAGTAATAAATATTTTGCGGCTTTAGGCAATTTTTCCAATTCATTACAATTCGCTTGTATCTTTGATGAAGTTGAATTTGTAGGGTTTGCTTGATTTTGTAACGTGACGGCTTTGTGTGCATAAAAATCGGCTTTTTCCGTAAAAAATTTGCGCAATTTAGCAACTTCACTAGTTCCTCCCATTTGATCAATTTGATCCAAGAAAGATTGCTCACAGATGAATGATAATTTATTAAGATCGCTGATGGAAAATGAAAGTGTTTGGGTGACATGCTCACAGTGGCTGAAATAAAATTAATAAAGTAAATTAAAATTGGGTGAAATATTGTATCGCAGTTAGAATTGAAAAGAAACAGAAAATAACGTTACCTTTTATAAGTGTCATCACGTTTTTCAGAAACAAATTTATTTAAAACAGTTGGAAAGGATTTAGCATCAAAGCCTGGGAAGGTGAAATTAAGCGGCCTGGGAATGCTGGAAAAGTTGTTGACGAGTCGGTCGTAATAAATTGTTGAGATCATGATTGTAATTACTGATATATCTTTCTTTAAAATTTCATGAATTTCATTTAGAGCTGGCAAAATACTGATATTTGAGTCAACCAGTTTGTCATAGTTGTCCAGAACGATGAAAAATCGGTCAACAGTAGGTGTAGGAAGATTTGCAATACTTCGAGATCGTTTACCGTTTGGAGTTTTTTTGACTTGAGATTTGGCCAATTTTGCCATCAAACGTTCAAGATTGGATCGAAACTCTTCAATAAATATCTCATTACTGGCAACTCGAGTAGGTAACTCTTCCTCATCCAAATCTTTAGGATTCAAGAGGTATCCAATGTCATATAATATTTTAATTTGTAAGTTTTTTAACGATGAAATTTCTAAACAATTGTTCCAGGAAAATGGGATATTCAATGATTCCAATAAAGCTCGAGTGATACTTGATTTACCAGTGGAATGTGCACCATTAATCAACATGAAAGGCCATCGGATATTAGCCAGTCGACGTTCAAGATCGTTAATAACCTTTTCACGGCAAGGAAATCTTTCTTTGATATCCAAACATGAATTTTTAATTCGAGACATCTTTAAACAAAAGTCACTCTAAAATTGAAAAGTGTCCAGAAAACTGATGAAAATTAAAAATAAATAGAATCACTCAGTGAGCCACAATTACATGATATCAAACCAAAACAAAATTTGAAAATTACAAACATGTGATGAAGATAAGGTTACCAAGCAACTAGAGATGCATCGCCATCTATCATGTGCAAATTTGCTGCAAAGATTCAAAAATGTTGCAAACCTATTGAATCAATAGTATTGATTAATAGTTGTTAATCGCATTTTAAGTTGGTTTAATGGAAATAACGATTAATGCAGCTAATGGATTTTCGTGTCAATGTTAACATAATCAGATTTCGTATTCGTAGGAATAGAGAAAGAAAGTTCGTTGGATTATTAACTGGAGCTGGTTCAATAACGATTTTTCTTTTAATCTAAAATAGACAGCTAAAGATGTAAGAGAAAAAACTCGTAATTAAAGTGTGACATACAGCAGTAGAAAAATATTTCAATAAATTATCTTTTTGCTGGAAAGAATCTCGCCGATCCCTGACCAGAGCGACTTCCCTCCCATAAAAGAGCAATGAAAATTATATCTTGAACCGTTCTTGTCCTTGTTACCATCACCAGAATAGATATATTTTTATGCTAAAACTGATGTCAATGTCAAAACTCAATGTTAAGAACAACTAACTTTTAAATTTTGAACTTTTTAACATTGTCTGATTCATAGTCACTCATTTTTGTTCAAGGTTTTTTTTCTCAGCCAGTTTCAGAGTTAGTTGTCTTAATCTTTCTCAACACTTCCAATTTGAAAAAGTGTATTTTCGTAAGGGTGAAAATCATTTCAATTTGTGTCATATTGTGTGCGACGAGTGCCTTTTTATGGATTTCAAGAAAGTACAGACAGGGATTCACCACTCACTGGATTCATCAATAAATTTACGTTTTTTTGGTATCCAATCAATGCACTTTGGTAGAGGACATCACCTCTTTTCAGGACTTTGAATAAGGGAAATGAGCATTTCCAGTTTAACTTCTTTCGTCTTATGGCCTTTTAGGTAATAAAATAGGAGATTTTTTAGAGAAGATTGAGACCAGAATAAAAGGACCAAATGTTATCTGGAAGCGAACGCTCATCACATTTAAGAGCAAGATTGCAGATTATTTCAGGCAAAGAGTCACCAATTCGCCAAGATACACCAAAAGAGAAGTCTTACGTTAGAAAACTGATTGACAAAACGTCTGAGAATTTGTTTGAACCATTCCACCTTTTATTGTGAATTTCCGAGTTTAAATATTAAATTAAACAGAAATTGAAACAATTGGTTTTCCATGAAAATTGGATATTTAATGTCTTCACTGTCGGTTTGACACCTTACAATTATTTATTGTTTCAACAATGAGTAAACGCAAACTCTAAGATTGGAACCGAGTTGATTGTAATTTTTTCATTTTCATAATCATTATAATTTAACATTAATCCAATTGACCACTCAGAGCCATCTTTCATTGAAAGTGTTAGTTTACTAATTGTAATTTTAGCAAGACTAAAGTTTCGTTTTTCTGTTTTTATCAAGTCTTTTTCTCTTGCTCTTACTAATCTGATTGGTCGTTAATCTAATAAGTGGAAAGCATTTATTGGCTGGTTCATTTAAATTGCTTGTTAAACAAATAGAATTCAATTCGAGAGGGGAAAAAATGAAACATCGCTCAAACAATGGAAGAGAAAGGGTTGAGGGACGTTTGGCCAAACTTTGTCCATCACTCAATCGTACTCAACCAATGGCAAAAATTGAAGGGAGAAAAATTTTAAATGAAGAAACGAACAATTTTCGCAGAGAAGAGAAAAAAAGAAGCAAAGGCAGGAGAAGAAACAGTCAAGACAAAAAGAGAAATAAGATGGAAGAAGAAATAATAGAGAGAAAAGTACATTGGGTTTGATTTTGAGAAGCATGAGCCATTCAGAACAAAAAGTTCAATCAGAAGATATGCACACACACAAGCACGCCGAGTTTACGAAGAAGAGCAGTGGAAGGGCAAAAGAAGAATAAGGAAATCACAATATGATAAAAAGAGTCACAGTTAGGGAGAGAGAGCGTAATAACGGGATGTTGATTGGCAAGGAAAAGGAAAAAACAAAAACAAAAAAAAACAAGATTTGTAAATTATCATAACACATCGAGAAAAAAAACCAGATTCGAGTGTGTGATTCCAAGCATATTTAGTTTCTTTGTAGTTTCCCTCTCCTTCTCCGTATTTCTCGTAATATCTTTTCGTTTAGTACAGGATTCTGTTCATTTTCATTTCTTGATTTTCCGAGGGTTGATTGCAAATTTTTTATGATACATAACCATGGATTAGTAATGTGTGTTGTGTGTATTAGTGTATTCAAGTATATTTTAGTATGTAAGGTAATGGATGTGTGTGTAAATGTAGTGTCTTTGTTTAGTTATGGATGTGACGATGCTTGTATACTTTATATGTAGAGGATACTGTACGAGTTGTACCAACATAATTATCATTTTTTGTAACACTTTTTCACAATCAAACTTCACTGATGAGTTTATATAAATCGTCGTTCAATTAAATTTTAGTAACTTAATATAAGAATGGTCCTGAAGTCTCTTTTTTTCTTTGAAATCACTTGAGAATTTTTGCCTGGTTTATGCGTTGCAGTTATATGTTCAGTTTTTATTAGCCACGAAGTTTCCAGTTTGATATGCTTTTTATGGCTTGGGATTTATTTCTTTATCTATTTGTTATCGTTGCGAATAGATTACTTCCATAGAACAAGGACGATGTAAAGCGAAAGAGAAAGAGGAGAGAGAAGAGAGAGAGAGGCAGATGATCGAGGAAGTTGAAACTGGAAAAATGTTAGAGTTAGAGAACGATTTCAACTGCCATAGTTCAACACAAAATCTCACGGAAATATTAGTTCCTTATAATAAGTTGTACTCTCATGAAATAAATTAGCTCCTTTGGTAGAGCTGCGAGAGTTGTTTTTATCAGGTGAACGTTGATATTGGCACAAAACACTTTCCCAAGCTAAAATGTATGATAAGAAAAACAAATAGAAGAAAATTAAACAAGAGAATTAAAAAACAAACATTAACAAATCAGGTGATCAATAAAGACTAACCAGTTTTGATGAAATTAATAATCTGACTGTAGTTAAAAGTGTTGGTATCAGCATCCATGTTTGTCGGAGGTTCAGCTAATTTAATAGCAATGAACTTCTCGAGACTAGTATTTTCAGACGATGATTTAGAACTTTTATCAGAAATCTAAAATAAAGAAAAAAAGTAAATTAATATTCAAGTATTTTTTTTAAATCAGTTAAGGGTAAGTAAGAAAAGTAAAATTGAATAAACAAAGTAAACCTTTCTATCTTGTGGTGCCTCAACTTGAGCTTCCGATGACTTTGATGCATCTAATGATGTAGAGTCAAGATTAGTTACAGAATTAATTATCGTTGCTGCAGTCGAATGAGCTGGAGTAGACGTGGAGGCAATCTTTAATGATTTAACATTTGAAAATGAAGTATTATGGTGATTAGTTTTATTGTTAACTGAGGTTGAGCTTGTTTCAGTAACTAGAGATGGTGATTTTGCAGTTGCAAGTTTGCTCATCACCACTGAGTCAGTAGCTTTAGTTGTAGCGACGGTTGATTTTGAAACAAAAGACATATTCATTCCAGGGTTTGATGACGAATTAGATGATGAAACATCGTCAAAGAAACCAAATGTAAATGGCGATTCAACCTCGTCGACTGCATCCGAATCATCATTCATAATCACTGGAGGTAAACTGCTTGGCAATTTAGAATGATTTGTTGAAATTGAATTATTTGGTTCATTCGATTCAACCCGAAAAGAATCATTTTTTACACTAGCTCCAGGAATACTATTAGATTTTTTGAGCATTAATGCTCGAGAAGTATCACTTTTAATAGAGGCAACTTTTGAGTCACTAAGTTTGTTATTTTCTTTTTTCATATCAAAAGTGGGAGTTTTTTCAGCAGGAGGAGATAATAAGGCTTTCAATGTTTTGGAACTTGATGAAATAGAAGATTTAGAAGCATTCTTTGTAACAATTGTTGATACAGTTGTGGCTTTTGATGGTTTTGAATCAGATGAGTTTGCAGAAACACAAGATGTAATAGTTGTTGCTGTAGATATAATTGCTGTTGATGTGTCCTTTTCCATTTTTTTATCATTCTTGGATCTATTATTATTTGAGTTATCTTCATTAATGACTTTTTGATTTTCCATTTTGGTCTCTTTGGATGTATTAAAATTTTTAGGACGAATGGCAACGGCAGCGAGGTTATTTTGGTTGGAACTATTTGAGGAAATAGTTTTACCATCTTTTGATGAATTTGCTTGGTCAAAATTGTTTTCACTTTTGATCGTTGGAGGGTTTTCTTTAGATAAAGTTGCATCTATTGATGATTCAAATGATTTGTTAATTTGATTATTCTTTACTGTTTTAGATCCATCAGGTTGGTTGGGGGAAGATAAACCTGAAGGTGAGATACAATTAGGACTGGAGTTGAAATAAGGGCTACATGAAGTAGAGGTTGAGTTGGTTTGAATTGATGTGGACAACCCAGAATCAACAGTTGAAATTGTCTTGGTGCTGGTGTCAGCAGAGCCACTGATATTACTAGAATTAATGTTATTATTATCATCTTTACCACTACAGCTATTATTATTATTGTCAGATTTAGAGTTATTTAAGGTCACGTTGGTTGATTGAGTACCTTTGGCAACACCAATAGAAGGTGTAACACCAATTACGGATCCCATTTTCGCGATATCAGCGTAGGAGACTTTAGGAGTTGATGAGATAGAGTTGGAGGATGCTGTTGGAGGCCCAGGTGGAGTGGGTAAAATAGGCATCCGTCCTGATACCGGATACGAACAGGAAGATTCCATGTCCGAATTATCAGCTGAATTTTGTTCAGAGTGTGGCATACTTGAGGCGAGTTTACGATGATTCAAATACTCCTTTCTTCTCCTATATTCATCGGCACAGTATTCTCTTTCACTTTCATATCCTCGAGCAGTCATTGAAGTATTCACTGAGTTACTAGTTGATGAAGTAACAGAGGGAGTTGTTGATGTAGAGGAAGAAGAGTTTGTAAAAATATGATTAGATGAACGTGGTAAAGGTGATGACATTCTTAAATCTCCTTTGTTTCTTGATACTCCTTTACGTCTTTTTAAGTGTTTTGATTTAACAGTTTGAAAACTAGTCTCTTGGTCAGCCATTTCTGAGTCTGAGGCTGCATACCTAGGCTCCATATAGCTATTCTCAAGGTCCCCATTGGCAGTGGTTATTTTGTTACTGGTATCACTTTCTTTGTTTTTTAAACCATCATTTATAATTGATTCCTTGTTTGAATCAAAGTCTTTGACTTTAGATTTAACTACGATACCAGTACCAGTAATCATTTTGGTCACAAGTTGCATTGAGGTTGCAGACGAAGATTCAGTAGAGTGAGACTTAGTAAGAATAGGACTAGTAGAGGATGCATCCAAAGATGAATTCACTTCACATTGAGCAACATTTGAGGGGGAAAACTTTGAGTCAAAGATTGTTGCTGAAGAGCTTCTTGGAATGCTTTTACCGAGACCAGAATCAACAGAACAAATAATCTTTTCATATTTATTTCCAAAATTTTTAACGTCATTATCACTAGCATTTCCATTGGTAGAGGCACAATTAACACTGCTATTAGCATTATTAAAGTTATTACTATTATAATTAAAATTATGGTTAACAGCAGAAATAGTAGTATTAGAGCTGTTATTCGATCCTTTTTTATTACGACCTTGGATGCTTGTAGAGCTATTTACTGATGATGATGATGTTGGAGATGAAGATGATTTCTCTTTTTTCTTGACCTTTCCTCCACTGTTACCATCTTTATTGTTTTTTGAATTGGTAGTCAACTTATTCTCACTAGGCGATGGTCCACAAACACTTCCACCATTATTACCACAACCACCAACAATCCCACTACCATTACTACTTCCTACCATGGTGATACCACTAGTAACACCACCACTGTTTCCAGTACCGATTTCTCCTTTATTTCCAGTCACATAGTAGACAAGATCATCTATTGATTGGTCACCAATGTGTCCATCAATGTCTTGAGCTGTGTAAACGGTTTCTCCTTTTTTTGATTTCTTCTTTTTCTCTGTTTTAGAGTTGCTTGAGCTACGATTACCCTTATTATTACTATTATTGTTACTAGTACTGGTACTGGTACTATTATTGTTATTAGAAGAGTTGCTGTTGTCTTTACTGACGTCTTTGTTATTATCATTGGCAAAATTGTTAGTATTAATAGCAGTTAAGTTAGGATTAATAGTACTATTGATACTGACGTTACTCTTAGTTGTAGAGTTATTATTTAAACTTGCATCTTCCATTGACTCACTGGTGGGTTCACTAGGTGGGCGTTTGAGACTATCAAAATTGACGAAAGAGTCCACACTCGAGCCATTTTGGTTGAGATTGGAGGTTAAGGATGAATCTGGGATTTTACAACTGTTGGCTGATGATGATGAAGTATTTATAGGGACACTAGAAGAATTTGAACCATCTGATCCTTTGCTTTCACTTGGTTTACTCTTGATATCACTTTGATTGGAACTCTTAGGTGAATGATAGTTTTTTAATTCAAATGTCCGACGGTATTCAACCAATTCAATAGAATTACTATCATCTACACCACGAGCACCACCAATAACATTATTGCCACAGGCACCAGGATAATCACCAGTTAATATTCTATCACCATTGCCCTTATTATTGTTAGGGTTCATCTTTGAAAAACCAACATCACCGGTACTCTTGAAATAACCACTAATTGATGCATTCAATCGACGAACCAGCGGACATTTTTCTCTTTCAGGAATTTGATGGTTGGTAAGTTCTTCCATTACATCTCGAAAGTGTTCATCGCTTAAATTATTGACCTCAATGTCCACACCAATGGAGTCAACTTGGTCAATGGGAAAGTTAGTTAGAGAACCCATATGAGAGGAAGAAGACAAGGAGAGAAGAGGAGACAGACAGAGATAGATAGATTTTGGTAGAAAAATGGAAACAAAATAAGGGAAGCAAGAGAAAGAGAAAAGAAAGAGGAGAAAAAGAAGAAGAGGAACGAAGAAATAAAGAGAAGGATAGAAAGAGGAAAAGAGGAAAATCAGCAAGTAGGAGAAGACAAAACACACCCTGTTTATGGAAAAAGATTAGATTTTAGTTCAAATGATTAAATGAAACATAATTACAATACATCTTCCAACAGCAGTCGTTTATCAGATTAACTTAGCATTATTTTACACAAAACTGACTGAGAAAATACAGTAAAATCAACCTTCACAATGAAGGCTTCTAAAGAGTCTTTAGAGAAAAAAATCCTTTAATACACAAGATGGCACCACCGGATGATCTGGTTATTTTGGTTATTTTGGTTTCGAGTGTGAATTTTTTTCCTGTTGTTCTGAGCTTTTCTGTTCCAAATTTTTGAGCTCAAATTCATCCAACCCAACTATGCAACTGTAAAGTGCAAAGACTAATCGTTGTGGAACAATTTCTCCTTTCTTTAACTAGTGATGATACATGAAATTGTCTTCAGTCAACTAAAATTTACGGCTCAATCCATGAATGTCTCCTTGGTTACATGTAAACAATCTTTCAGCATGTTATTTCTAATCAAGTGTTTAGTTAAATTATAATGATTCGTTTCTTGTTTAGCAATTAACTTTTAACGCTATTTTCATTAAAAAACAATGACCTCAACAATTAAATTATCACACCTGATTAGGTGTAAGTTTTCTAAATTAAGATCTGTACATCGTAACTGTGATAATCCCTTAAACCCGAATCGATGGTATTCACATGTATCCTGGAAATCTTCGCATTGTACAGTTGACCGACGAAAATTGTTGACATTCTCTCAGAATCAGCAACTCTTGTCTAGTATCGCCTGTTCCTCTAGATCTGTCTCATCCAATCCACCAGTATCAGTTGATGTTGATATAGGACCGTTGAATATTTCAAAAATAGCTGAAGAACTGGAAAAATTGAGTAACGCAGATAAGACTGGAGTTAGTCCTAAAGTTGCTGAGGATAGCGTCTCAGTTACTGATATTGATTTGACTGAATTTACTTCTTTAGTAGAATCTACTATACCAGAAGCACTTTTAACTGCGACTGACGTTGGGTTAACATGGTGGGCTCCAACAAGTTCGTATTTTTGAAAAAAACTCAATATTTCAACTTATTGCTAATTTCCATATCTTTACTATAGATCTTGTTTTCAAATCGTTGATGACATTTCATGAAAATTTACCTTGGTGGGGATCGATTGTGGCACTTACAGTTTGCGTTAGGATGATTCTTTTGCCAGTAATGATAGTAAATATGAGTAAGGCTTTAAGCTCACATTTCAAGGAAATTTGAGTTGATTATATCTTAATATCAATCTTTTACTTTTACAGGAGCTACAAAAGTTATTACACAAAATATTCGGGTCCTTGAAGAACGTCGCTCTGAATTCCGAGCAGCGGTTGAATCTGGAAATCAACCTATGCGTGAGTTTTGTTATTCAAGATTTTTTATCGATAATTAATGCATTTCATTTTTTATATTTATTTTAGAAATCAAAACCGCTATCAACTTTGTAGAAACTATGAAAAAAAATCATTTGGGAGTTTTCAAATCTATTGCCCCAATGATAGCAATGGTAAAGTCTAACAAACTATTACTCAACTTAATTTATTAAATCCTAACGATTTTCTTTTAATTTCTAGGGCGTCGTATTTTCTAGTAATTTCTTTGCCATCAGAGGTATGGCAAATTATCCAATTGAATCAATGAAGACTGAAGGACTCTATTGGTTCACGGATTTAACTGTGGCTGACCCGTACTTCGTTTTGCCGGCTTTAACATCATTTACATTATATTTTGTTATGATCAGTGGAAATGAAACTGGTAATTTGCATTATTTATTTCAATTTTTAATACAACATTTAACAAAAATATGATTTATATTACAATTTCACATTTCTCTTTTATTCAGCTCCGGTTGATCCAATGTCAGCTAAATTATTGAAAATTATGCCAGCAGTAGTATGTCCGGTGATTTTTATTGTTGGTGCAAATTTCCCCGCCGCTCTTGGCACTTATTGGCTCGTAAATAATATGATTAGTTTAGGACAAGGGTTCATTCTACGTAGAACAAAAATCCGTGATTTATTCGGAATTCCAGATACATCAAAAGCTGCCAAAGAAATGTCCCAAAGTGCGCTACAAAATACAGTGGATATGCAAAAAGGTTTGTCCGCATATTGCTCGTTTTTCAATCCATTTCAAACAGTTAATTTTCTAATAATTGTAATTTTTATTTTATTAATAATACAGATATCCAAGCTGCAACGGAGGTAATCAAGCAATTTTACCAAGTCAAAATGGCCGAGAATATTAAACTTAAGGCCGTTAAATTGAAAGAAGACAAAGAGAAGTGAAATAAAAGTGGTTTCGTTCAGTGGATTTTTTAGTCTGTGATCTACGATCGATAAACATTTACTTTTTCGCATATACTTTACCAGGATATCAGCTACTTCAACTTTCGGATTCATTCGATCTTAAAGTACCGTAATCAACTAAATGGACGTTTACCAGCCATTAAACGAGTATCTGATGACTTGGTGGATCAGTTGGAAAATCAACATGAACTTTGTTGTTTACATTTTCGGGCTTAGTTAGCTTTATTATATTTGTAAATAGTAGCCCCATAAGACATCTATTTCATCGTTGAATTAGAATCAGCCCGAAGTAATTGCTGTTTGACCAGTGTATTTTTTTCTAAATTTTGTTAATTTAATAGTCTGCTCAATAGTGTCGTCAATCAGTCAAATAATTTATTTGTATTATCTGAGGAAAATATTCACCTTTGAAATAAAGGTTGAAATAGTTCACCAAACTTCTAAATTGTCTCAATTTTTTCTGCTCGATGTAAGTTTTGTCAGAAATTTTTGTCCTCGATTTGCTTCTTTCACTATTTTGATTATTTTGTCTTCAGTTAACTGTTAGACAGTTATGTTGACAATTAAGTCCCACGAGAATCAATTCTCAGCACCGCGAATGATCAAAGTTGAATAAAAAAAAGCCTCCAAGATCCTATAGACCTAATTTCTGGTAATGATAATTTTGTGACAAGATTACTGAACTTTTTTTACTTTTTTTGTTTAACATTGAGCATCTTGTTGATTATCTTCTCATCTTATTTCCTTGTTTATCCTTTTTCTTTTCTTTTCTTTCTCTTTCTATATTGTATTGATTGGTTCCATTTGAAGTTTACACAAGACTCACTGTTAACATCATCATCATTCCCAGAAAGACAAAACTACAACATAACCATCAAAATGACGACAATTTAGGCTACCAATAAATGGTTAACACGATGACAGAAGGAGCAAGCAAATCAGTTACTTAATTGGTGATCAGGATAAGCTGAAGAACCTTTCAAATATTTGATCGCTCACTTCTCAATAACTTTCATCATTTGTAAGTAAATGAGAAACTCTTGTCAATAGTGTGAACCTTTATTTATTATCCATTTCTGTCCAATTATCAAACATTTAGGTTCCTTTATGATGTCATAAACAACAACCTTCCAAGGATCGAGAGCAATTAGTTTACAATTAAAGTGAATTTAAACAAAATACAAAAGGATATGCAAGAATGTAAATTGGATTATTGATCAACAAGTTGAAAGATCAAAGAAAGACTCAAACAATAGCAATTTACCCGATTGTCAAAGGCAAATAATTGGTTGGAAATTTGCCTAAATTTGATTCAATTGTTCCCACCAATGGATGGATTCAACTCAATGTTAAAACTGATTCTTCATTACAAGTGATCAAGTAAAATGATTTTCATTTAAACTCTTCATAAGACGTGAAAAGAGGAAGATATATTTGTTGATCCTGATTGTTACGATAAATTAACAACAAATATAGATGATGAAGGAAACATATAAACTCAATCAACTTACGTTTTGAGAAGAAAGAAGGCAAAAGGAGAAAACCAAAAATCATTTAAGCTTGTTTACTAATCTAAATGAGAAATGGAGAGCAAAAAGAAGACAATAAGACGAAAAATACAGAGGAAGGTGATAAAAAAAAGAAATGTATCAAGAGAAAGATTTTCATCATTCTTTTATTGTCATTGTTTCCATCATCAAGTTCATCATTCTCATCTTATTTTCCCTTCCATCTTCATCAGTGAGCTTCTTCTTCCCTTTATTCAATCTTGAACGCATAATGGTTAAAGTGAAAATTGCTGTTCTGAATTTATTTGCTGATACTTGAATCTTGCTCACTCCTTCTCTCAATCATCCTCTAACAGTTCACTCATCATCATCTTTTTTTTGTTACTTTCATTGGTGGAAGAAGGGAAAAAAAACTTTCATTTTCGATCTTTTTTTCCTTGTTTTTAAAGGAATCTTCTTCCTCTTGTTAAATTGAAGAAGAAATAGAAACTGAAAGTTCCTTAAAGTATATCATGTCAATAGATTTGGCTTTTGGTTTTGTCTCTTGAGATTGAGAAAGGCAAAGATGAGAGAGACGTAAAAAGAGGACATGATGAGAAGAGAAAAAAAGATTTCATCTTTACTCAGGACCTTTCCCTTTAAATACCAATGTGAACATTGAACTGAAGCAAGAATTGAAGAAGATTATAAAAGGTGTGAATCAGGAATAAGATGTATTGATGTTGACTGTTATCAATAAAGGTACTTCCATCCATTTCAATTGATTGTCAAATTCAAGGCATGTATATCCGGCCTCACCAATTCCTGTGAAATGAAATACTTCATGTTTTATTGTATTTCTACTCCTTTCGGAGCAAAATTTTTCTTTATCATCTCAACTCCAATTTTCCTTCTCATCCAATTCAAGTCCTTACCTTACTAATTTTCCTGCCTTTTCACAGTTAATCCAATTGCATTTTAAATCAAGTCAAGTAAAAGGTTAATCACAATCATAAAGCAAGTCCATGAATATCTCGACCAATTTCAACATTTCTTATGGACTCAATTTCGGAATAAATAATCAAGCAAAAATCAAGTTCAGGATCCCATACAAGCTCAACTAATTGCTGTAGTTTATCACGAAAATTATCGATGGATTTTTTTATAACTGAAATTGTACATTGAGTAAATGTGATGATTCGGAGCTTCAAATGTTGAAGGAACAAAAAAGGCGATTTCGTAGAAAAAGATAATTTTATCTTTTGTTGGAACAAATGGTTCAAACCTTGGAATGATGGCTGAAGAGGGAAAAAATTTAACCCATGATGAAGTTGATCCACTGATTTGGTGTAAAAGAGGAACAAAAAATGATTCCCTTGTTCGTTTTAATAGATATAATAACATCATTTTCACTTTTTTTTCACCTCACATCAACTCTCATCAAGCCATTTATCATCATCGTCTGTAGGTTAATCTTTCACTTTGATGACACAAAAGAAAGCCAAAGAGAAGGTAAAAAAGCTTTAATCCAAAAGAGGTTTGTAGACAAGACTCGAGACATGTGATCTTGAGAGTTCAATCAGACCAGGTTGTAGTGATAATGAACAACAGGCTTAACCGAGAATTGGGTGAAGATAAAGAGGACGCTTAAAAAGCGAACGTGATTTACCTTGAAAACCAATGAATCCATTAAAGGTGAGTGTGTTTCAGTTGCACAACTAAACATGTTGAGAAGACTATAAATAGCAAGTCATGATTAACAATTTCATTTTATTCCAATCATGAAATTATTGAATCCTATTATTGCAACTTTTGAATCCAAAGCATATCCATGTTTTCATCCAAAATGAAATGTTAATGTGATTCCAAGAAATACACTGTCAACATAATCAAATTTTCATCACTAATTGACATTAAAATTAACAACCGAAATAAAAGTCAATGAAAAATCAATCCATTTTCGATGAGACATAAAATAAATTCAGTAAATTAAACATTAAAATAAAAACAATTTAAGAATAAATTTTATCCAATTTCAGTCAACCTCAAATGTTGCCCGATAGATGGCAGTAAATTACTAGAAACAAAAAAACCTTTCAACTTAATTGTCTCAAGTTGAATGTTGATTAATAAAGAGATTTAAAAGACGCTCAATTGAACAAAGAATAAATTGCTCAAAAGATAATCATTTAGTAAACAGATTTTATTAAAATTTATATTAAATAATCACTTTGATTGTTAAACCCATATTTAAATATAAAATGAGACTTTTGTCTGAGAAAAGCAATTTTTACAGTTAATTGTTGATATAAAAGAAACTGATTATTACAAACAATTAAACATTTTGTATAAACATTTTAAAATAAAACTTGTAACAATTCAACATTGAAACACTTTTGATTAACAATAAATATTACTTTGGTAACAATTTAAATTTTTTGAGCTCCAATTTTAAATGTTGATATAAAAAGGTTTGAATGAAAAATATATTAAATTATTTCGTTGGTAAGATTGATTGTTGCTTAAAACCCTGTTGTTGTTAGATGGCAGTGATTACCATAAAAGGTTGTATCGATTGGCGTGTTGGTTGATTGGTTGATTGATTGTTGAACTTGTTGCTGTTGAAGGTGATGATGGTGAGATGGAGCAATGAGATGAGCATGATGTCCAGTTAGTGGATGATGATGGGAATGGTGATGTCGACCGATTAAAGTCTCGTTTGTTTGATCAGACAAGGAATTGCATTCATAAATTTCAGCCTCAACAGTTCCAGTCAAGACTGGGATTGTCATGAAGCCCGATGAATCAATCAACTGAGATGCAATCAAATCTGGACCCCAAATGTCCTCAATACACTCTAATGATCCAGTCAACTGTTTACCATTAGATTCACAGGTATCGATACAATTGGCCGTCGATTCTTGCCTAGAGAATGAACCAGAAAAAGCAATTGATTAATGTATGAAACTTTTTTTTCGCCCTTTTCTCTATTCTCAACGTTCCAACGATTTGAAAGTTGGAAAAGTGGAAAGTCAAAAATGCAATTGTCAATTTTGTGAAATTGTAAAATTGATTATATTGCATTAATAGATGAATGCGTCGATGATGATAATGATGATGATAACAGAGCAAGATTGATGTTATTCAATGTAATCTTTAACATTAACTTACTTGTTTCCTGAAATCCTTGAGAGATTCATCAAGTTTGATTTATCTTGATAAGTTGTAAAGAAATTGAGGCAAAAGAAGAGAAAAGAAGAAAAAAAGTTTTAATAAAAAGCAAAACTATCAATTAATCATTATAAACAATTTATTTAATTAAATGCAATTCATCAAGAAGAAGAGGAAAAAGATAGAAACAGTCGAAAGTCAAACCAAGTTACAATTCATTTCTCCTAACATACATTGCTTTTCGCATAATTTTCATAAATTTTTCAGAAACTCAGAAGATTTTTGGAATTTCGTGATTCAGAAAACGCAAAAAAGCTTCAGAACAATAATAATCTAAGAAAAGCTTTTGAATATGTAACAAACAAGATTTTCTAGAATTATTTACTAAAGTCAATTTTTACTTCTGATTTTCTTCAATTTCAGTTCTAACAACTTGAAAGTAAAGTTTTAATGAATTTTATCCGAAATTTTTGAACACTTACACTTAAGCAGAATTTCTAAAATTTCTAAAATTTCGTTTTCGCTCAAGATCGATGTTTATGTCAAACCTTTAAAATAGTTTCCATGATTATCAATAAGAATTAGATAATTACTTTTCCAAACGAATTCTGAGTTTTCAATATTTCTCTTTACCAATTGGAAAATGATAAACAATTAAATGAGGATAAAAGTGATAATAATAACTCCCTGTAAGTTTATCAACATATTTGTTTCGTATTTTATTATTATCGTTACTTTTTATTATTATTATACAATAAAACCATTATTATCATTATTTTATACCATTTATTGTTATTACCATTATCATTGGTTTCCTATTATTATGTCGAGTGAATTGTTTTTATTGACTTTCATTGTTAACGAAGAGACAGAGATGAACATGAAGATAATTATATCAATTATAAATTGCATTTTCCTTTCAACTTTTAATGATAATTAATTGAGATTAAAGTTTAATTAATTATAAGCAGAGGTTTATCGAGATACATATTTCAATATCGTTTCAATGGAATTACAAATTATCAACAAAATCCCTGTTTTCCATGTTCTCTTATAACCATGATAATGATATTGATCCAGATAATCAGTCAACTTTATCATAATTATCTTGACCAACATTTATTCATGAAATGTTTTCAAATGTGTTGACCAAATTATTGATGAAAATTTTAATCAATCTGTTAATTCGTTTGGGATTTAGAGTCAATTGACTCACATTAATCTAAATTTAATTTCACATTTAAAGTTTACTATTTGCACAATCAAACTCGCATCACTCATGAAACTGTCATTTTCACCGTAATAGCTTCGATCAATCAAATTTTCAGTTTTGTCCAAAGTCATTATCATAAAAGGGAATAAAAGTTGGAATAAAAGTTTCAGTGTTAACTTACCTTTACGAGAATCATCGTCACTCCGTATCTTCATTATGAGGATAACAATTATTGCGACGATGATTAAAGTGGTGACAGTTCCCATCAGGAGAAGTACTGAAGTGCTGACAACAGTTTCTTCAAAATAATCTGAAAACGAAACAAGACTTTAGTTAATTGATGTTAATTTGAATTTCGATTAATTGGTTTTAGTGAGATTCATGATAACTTGTCATTTGGTCAGGAAGTTGGTTGATTGACCTAAATATCGTTAGAATGTTGGAAAGGAAACTTGACTTTTAATCGATTGGTTTGGGTTAGCGCACAACGAAGCATGAGGCTAAAGTAATAGTTTTTTAATGTTTTCATAATCAATCGTTAAAACTACTAAAGACCCAAAGTCACTGTGAAGAGCTTTGGATTTTGATGAAATTTTGAATTCGATGAATCAATTAAATTGACATTAAGGGAAATGATGCCATTTATTATTTCGACAGGATGAAGCCAAGTTGCAATGAATCTGGTAATGATGCTTTTCGATGGTGAATATTTTATGAACACCAATTGATTGAACTACACTTATGAAAAGGGCAAAAATCGTACAATGTTTAACTCGAAACAAGATGAACGAAACAAATTCAAAACATATTCCAACTGTTAAATGAATCCCTCAAGTCACTAGTATTGAAAAGACGTTTTGCATGAAAATTTTAATCTTAGCCTTTTCTTAATGTTTATAAACGGACAAATTTCGAGAAAAGTCAATTGCTAAACCTTTCCAGGCTTCCATAATAGATGTCTAAATGTCGATTTGATCAGTTTATCAAAATATTCAATGCAAAATTCAAATTCTGTTGGCTTAAGTGTTATTTAAGTAATGATGGAACTCACCTGTTTGCCATCTTTCAGCGACCAAAGTGTTCCCATTGATAGTCACAATCGGACTTCGTCCTCTATTGTTGGAAGCATAAGTTACTAAATGAAACAAGTTGCCTGCAGGAAGCGCATTAGCGATGAAGAACGGATATTCCGATGAGGTTAGGTTGTTGATAAGGCGTTTCTTTCCACTTGCATTGATATAAACTTCAAGATGAAAGGTTTGCTCAAGTCCACCACTGTAGCCCGGATTACATTCAATGGTCAACGTGTGTGCAGTTATATTGGTCAATGTGCAGTTTTCCGGTGAATCGGGAGGACCTAGAGATAGTCAAAGTACTCATTAAAACCCATTTTATTCTTTTACCAGTTCAAAACATTTCCACCAAACATGATCGAAATACATTTAAAAATTTTGTAAAAACTCTTCTCTTGACAATTGCAGCAAACAATGTTATATTTTATTAACAATTTAATTCAATTGTCAGGTAAGTTGACCATTTTTCTCGTCTAAACATGTAAAGACAAATGAAAGGCAAAAAGGCTTATTATACATTGATAAAGATGGGAAAAGAGTTTCCTCGTGGACAGAAAAGTCTAACATTAATTAACTTGTGTGTATCCATGGTATTGAAATGAAGTAAGGATTCGAGTAACAAGCACCAAATAACATGATGATAAAGCTTAATCAAATCAAAGGTAATCCATGTTAATCAAGTTAAACAGTCAACACACCAACACCAGGAACAAACTCATTCAGCAACAACCATTAGCCTAATATTTGTATATGTAAGCAAAGCTGAAGCAAAGAAGAAGCAAAAAGCAAGAGAAAAAAGATCTTTTTCCTTCTTTCTTCTCCACACTTTTTCACTCGAAAATCTTGACCTTTGATGGCCAGTCAGAGAGAAGAGAAACTCAGTAAAAGAAGAGAAAATCAAATTTCAATGTTAAATGACTGCAAGTGACCACTGGAAAGAGGCAACCATTGGTCATGAAAGTTTATGAATCAACTTCTGTGCATCAAATGGTCATAATGCTAGCACCATTAACCAGAAGAAGGAGAAAACGAAGAAAATGAAGAAAAGAAGAAAAAATTTTTTCTTTTAATGTATTTAAGGTAAAGAATGCAAGAAATACATGAAAAGATGTGTGAATATAATGAGAAATATAAGATGATTTGTACACTTGAGAAGGCAATGGAAGAAGAAGAGATGAAGATCATATTTTCGTTGCTCTTTTGGCTTGTAACATGGAAAAGGGAAAATTGCCTTTGCTTTTCTTCCTATTAAATGTTGCCACTTTTTACACTTGTAATGTTACTTTGCTTCTCAACTTTTTTTGTCTTCACACTGCCATTGTCATACCATTTGCAGATGAATATTATTTTGCTTATTGATATACAAGAGCATGTATTGCATGACATTTTTGGCCGCTTCTTCATCCTTTCCTTTTCTTGTCGTTTCTCTTTTTTTCTCTCTCTCTCTCTCTTCATTCTTCATTTTCTCATCATAAGCAAATTCAATCACTTTCAATGAACTGATTGACAATAAAATGTGCAAACCATTTTTAGCTTTACCCATAATATGCAAGAAAAAAAACGCAATCATGGAAACGAGTAAAAGAATCACAAATCAAATGGCAAAAAAAGGATAAACTATCATATTAATCATATAAATACAAGTTGAACGAAAAGACGATGTTAGATTGATGATGTTTCTGTCAACAAAAAAAGCCAAAACAAAGTTGACCATTTATGTTTCAAATGGAAGAGTTTAATTTTGTGGAAATAAAAATGATTGACATTCAATTGGTAATTTGTTATTACAACACTCGGCCAATATCACGAGTTTCAATCTTTTGTTGAAAAGGTCAACAAGCACAAAATGAACAAATTTTTAGACATTTTATTGGTTCCAAGTAAAGTGTTGAAAAATTCATGTAAAGATTCAATTGAATCTTGTTGAATCATTTTATTGATCTGTTAATGCCTTTTAAGCTTTGACCAGTTTTGACAAAATTGTTGCAAGAAAAATTGGTTTCTCTGGAAATTCAACTTTTAATTTCAAACGATTAGTGTTTTCCAATTTTAATCACAAATTAATTGTAAACAGTCTCAAGGATCTCGACTGATCAATGAAGGAAACATTAACTTTTCCTTGTTTCAACAATTAGACAATTGACCAAACTGAAAATCAATCCAAGTACAATAATCATTACCAATTGATAAATGATTAAAGTTTACTTCTGTTGTTCATGAATCAATGAAACTCTCATTTTTATAATCAATTAACAATGCAAAAATCTCAATCAAAGAACACATTAACAAGTTTGATTCATTAATCAAGTTGATTATTCACAAAATTTCCATTCAAGGAAAAGAACGGAAAAAAGGGAAAAAATTGTGACAAAATGTTAGACAAGTTTTCATCGGTAAATTCAATGGAAAATGCTGGATTCTTTTTCTTTGGATTTTACAATTATCTGTTTAAATTCATCGACTTTGTGCAAAAGTAGAGTGAAAAAGTTTGAAAAGTTATGGAAAAATGTAAAGATAAATTGTTTTACTGAATCAAATGTGACATACAGAGAAAAGTAAAAGAGTGAAACATTGAAGCGCAAAATTGAGATGAAAAGTGATTCAAGATGAACAAATGTTCAATTGGAAGAGAGAGAGAAAAATCGAAAGACTGATGAAGAAGGGAAAAAGTATTAATAATAATAATGAGAACAAGAAGTTTGAAAGGCCAAGTTGAAATTTTACTCCCAACATTGAAAAATATAGACATTTTATCGTTACTTGGATGGAGGCAAAAGTAGTGCAAAAGTAGATTGTGTTATTATTGCAAATAAAAAGCAATTTACAATAATCCATACATTTTTTGTTTTCCATTTTTTCTCTTCATAACAAACTGAGTGTAACAAGTAATTTGTCTGTGTCAAACGAGTGAAAAAACTTGTCCTAATCAAGTACACAATGTCACACTTGATACAATTTTTTGCTTCTTCTGGTAATGGATAAACTTTGGTTTTCACTTTCAACAATTTGTTTTGCCTTTTCACTCTTTTCCCCTTAAATTTAGTTTATTTTTGGATTCCCTGTCAAGTTATAAAAAACTATCAAAGCAATAGCTTTTAGTGTTAAAATGATTATCGGACAAAATTTTGATCTATTTTTATTATCGTTTTGATATTGGAAGGGAAAAGGAAAGTAGAGAAAACCAGACTCAACGAAAAGGGCAACAGTTAAGGTCAATTGAGAATTTATCTAAATCTTTTTGAATCAATTGATAAGTCATTTATTGAGCTTTTAGCAATTTTATCAAAAATGTTGTTCTTTTCTTGCGTTTTCTGCATTTTTGTTCATTCGTTATCGAATCAGAATTTAAGGGTAAAAGGATAATTTTTTATCTAAATGTGAAAATCTAAAATAACCATTTTTATACCAAATCAAAGTCCATTAATGCAATAATTAAAGTTTCGTTGGAATAACGATAATAATGTCGATATTGATTTCTCTAAAAATACAGTTCTCTCTGTGGTCTCTCTGGTTTATCCTTGCAGTAAATTCATGTTGGTTCGGTAGATAGACTCAGAAAGAGTTGAAAGTTGAAATTTGAAATTCTGCAAGCTTAAGAGTTGACATCTTTCTTAAATACAAAGTTACGCAGTTTCATCAAAACTCTCATATCTCAAATGTTCTCATATCGAAAGTTTTGCTCGTTTAACATTGTTACTTTAAGAAATTTCTGATTGGGTTCCAATAGCGTCTTTAAGGCTCATTCATCATTTGCAAGGAAAAGTGTAACTGATGCGATTTTTTCTCGTGCTTATTACTGCAGAGAATGAAAAATTATTAGATACATGCTCTGATTTTCGAGTGTCGTTAGTAAAGTTAGTCGTTAGTGTACGGTCCATTTCAGCTAATGCCTATTTTTGGCTATCACTAGAATTTGAGACTGACCGCACTTAATTTTTTTATCGAATTTTAAAAATATTCCTTTACTATATCGTGAGGTTATTCAAGGTTATTTCACACCTAGACATTTAGAGGCCATTCAAAATTTTTGATCTCTTTTGTCACTGCAAAATATCCATCATTCACATCCATTAAACTGGGCGTTTTTTATTTTTCAACCTGTTTGTCACCATAACTCACGAATGGTTGAACAGATCTCAAATTTGAATCATAAGTTTCTGCAGATTGAAGAACCCCAAAGCCATTAAAGGTCACTATGTTATTTGACCTCTAAATGTGAGCTCTGAAACTTTGTAAGTTGGTTGATGTTTGTTACATATCAAAAACTTAATCCGTTGTAAAGAGGCGATTTTTTCCCCAACCAATTGGTTAACTGAACGGCTTGGAAATACTCATATCCTTTGGCCAAAATGAGTAATGAATTTTTTACAAGCATCAAACAAACTGGAAAAGTTTACATTCTCATAATATGACCTTCAAATTTGGATATGAGATCTGCCGTATGAACCGCTCGTGAGTTATGGCCACAAACAGGCAGAGAAACGTCCAGTATAACTTGCTGTTCCAGTTAAACCTTGCAAGTCACCATGAAAGTATCACAATTTCTCATCGATTCCCTTTATAGAGCAACTTGAAGGTGATCCATCAGATGAGATTAACCTGTACAATGCAGGGTCAAAGTTATCAGATTAATTGAGATTGACAAAATAATATTTTGTCTTTGTTGAAATCTAGAGTTTTACTTCTGGTGAGGAAAGAAGTGACGATAAGATGTTTGTCAACGTTCAAAGTAGAGTGAAAAGTAAACATTTGTTATTCTCTTTTCTCTCTTATTCTTACCCATTTATCTGATTATCTCATTATAATCATTAGTAAATCAATTGTAATGTCAATATAATAATACTGTGCATTGAAATTAATCAAGTGAACAAAAAGGAGATGAATCAACGATGTGTAAAGCAAAAATATCAAGAAGAAGAAGAAGGAAGAAGAAAAAAATGGAAAAAAGTTTTGGTAAAGAAAAGAGCATGAAAAGTTTAGTCCATTTCATCATCTTTAATCATCAATATTATCATCATCATAGTCAAGTTGATGATGAAGATTGAGATGGAGTAAAGAAAAGATGTAAACAGGTAAAAATGAAAAGGCCAAAAGTGAACTTGAAAATGATGATTAAAGCAATTGGCTTCAATTGTTTACTCAAACAACAGCAACATTGAAAGTTGATAAGGAAGAAAAAAGTTGATGATGAAGTAAATAAAAATTGAAGGCAGAAGCAACTGAAAATATAATTAAATGTAATAGTCAATATGGATGATAACAAGGGTTAGTTTTCACCTTGTTA